TTATTCTAAAATGGATTAAATAAATACAAATTCTCAGCAATCTACACAAAATACCCCATAATGGCAAAGCGAAATCAGGTTTTTATAAATTTTAGCAAATGTATTAAAAATAAAAGAAATTACATAAGTATTCAGACCCTTTGCTATGAGACTCGAAATTGAGCTCAGGTGCATCCTGTTTCCATTGATCATCCTTCAGATGTTTCTACAACTTGATTGGAGTCCACCTGTGGTAAATTAAATTGACTGGACATGATTTGGATAGGCACACAACTGTCTATATAAGGTCCCACAGTTGACAGTGCATGTCAGAGCAAAAACCAAGCCATGAGGTCAAAGGAATTTTCCGTAGAGCTCCGAGACAGGATTGTGTCAAGGTACAGATCTGGGGAAGAGTACCAAAAACATTCTGCAGCATTGAAGGTCCTGAAGAACAAAGTGGCCTCCATCATTCTTAAATGGAAGAAGTTTGGAACAACCAATACTCTTTCTAGAGCTGGCCGCCCGGCCAAACTGAGCAATCGGGGGAGAAGGGCCTTGGTCAGGGAGGTGGTCCTCTGTAGCTCAGCTGGTAGAGCACGGCGCTTGTAACGCCAAGGTAGTGGGTTCGATCCCCGGGACCACCCATACACAAAATAATTATGCACGCATGACTGTAAGTCGCTTTGGATAAAAGCGTCTGCTAAATGGCATATTATTATATTATAGGTGACCAAGAACCCAATGGTCACTCTGACAGAGCTCTAGAGTTCCTCTGTGGAAATGGTTGTCCTTCTGGAAGGTTGTCCCATCTCTGCAGCACTCCACCAATCAGGCCATTTTGGTAGAGTGGCCAGACGGAAGCCACTCCTCAGTAAAAGGCACATGACAGCCCGCTTGGAGTTTGCCAAAAGGCACCTCAAGGACTCTCAGACCATGAGAAACAAGATTCTCTAGTCTGATGAAACCAAGATTGAACTCTTTGGCCTGAATGCCAAGCGTCACGTCTGGAGGAAGCCTTACACCGTCCCTACGGTGAAGCATGGTGGTGGCAGCATCAGGCTATGGGGATGCTTTTCAGCGGCAGGGACTGGGAGACTAGTCAGGATCGAGGCAAAGATGAACGGAGCAAAGTAAAGAGATCCTTGATGAAAACCTGCTTCAGAGCGCTCAGGACCTCAGACTGGGGCGAAGGTTCATCTCCCAACAGGACAATGACCCTAAGCACACAGCCAAGACAACGCAGGAGTGGCTTCGGGACAAGTCTCTGAATGTCCTTGAGTGGCACAGCCAGAACCCGGCCTTGAATCCGATCGAACATCTCTGGAGAGACCTGAAAATAGCTGTGCAGCAACGCTCCACATCCAACCTGACAGAGCTTGAGAGGATCTGCAGAGAGGAATAGGAGAAACTCCCCAAGTACAGGTGTGCCAAGCTTGTAGCGTCATACCTAAGAAGACTCGAGGCTGTAATCGCTGCCAAAGGTGCTTCAACAAAGTACTGAGTAAAGGGCCCGAATACTTATGTAAATGTAATATTTCAGTTTTTTTGTTTTTTAATTTCAACAAATGGTTTTTGCTTTGTCATTATGGGGTATTATTGTGTGTAGATTGATGAGGGGGAAAAAACAATTTAATCAATTTTACAATAAGGCTGTAAACGTAACAAAAAAATGTGTAAAGCCAAGGGGTCTGAATACATTCCGAATGCAATATAGAACAGAAATATAAATGCAACGTGCAACAATTTTAAAGACTTTACAGTTAATCGAAGGAAATCAGTCAATTGAAATAAATGTATTAGGCCCTGATCTATGGATTTCACATGACTGGGCAGGGGCGCAGCCATGGGTGGGACTGAGAGGGCATAGGCCCACCCCCTAGGGAGCCATGCCCACCCACTGAGGAGCCAGGCCCAGCCAATCAGAATGAGTTTTCCCCCACAAAAGCGCTTTATTACAGACTAGAAATACTCATTTTAAATTTACATTTTAGTCATTTAGCAGACGCTCTTATCCAGAGCGACTTACAGTTAGTGAGTGCATACATTTTCATACTGGCCCCCCGTGGGAAACGAACCCACAACCCTGGCGTTGCAAGCGCCATGCTCTACCAACTGAGCTACAGGGGACATACTCCTCAGCACCCCCCTCCCCCTCCTCAGACGATCCCGCAGGTGAAGTAGCCGGATGTGGAGGTCCTGAGCTGGCATTGTTACATGTGGTCTACGGTTGTGAGGCCGGTTGGATGTACTGCCAAATTCTCTAAAATGACGTTGGAGGCGGCTTATGGTAGAGAAATTAACATTACATTCTCTGGCAACAGCTGTTGGACATTCCGCCAGTCAGCATGCCAATTGCACGCTCCCTCAAAACTTGAGACATCTATGGCATTGTGTTGTGTGACAAAACTGCACATTTTGGAGTTGCCTTTTATTGTCCCCAGCACAAGGTGCACCTGTGTAATGATCATGCTGTTTAATCAACTACTTAATATGCCACACCTGTCAGGTGGATGGATTATCTTGGCAAAGGAGAAATGCTCACTAACAGCGATGTAAACAAATGTGCACAAGATTTGAGAGAAATAAGCTTTTTGTGCATATGGAACATTTCTGTAATCTTTTATTTCAGCTGAAAACAAAACTTTACATGTTGCGTTTATATTTTTGTTCAGTGTAGTTTGTATTCTATGTATACATATGATAGGCTAACTATTATCATGACACCTTGTGTAGGTGGCTACTATCTTTGTATCACTGCCCTCTATATCTGTCTCACAAACTCACCAAGAATTGTTCAAAAAAGTTAGGTAGCCTGTTACAGTAGTTCTCTCTCTATGGGAAAACTTGACTCACTTTCTCCATATATTACTTTCAGCGACGCACAAGTACAGTTATCTCTACCACAGCATCCCTGCGGCTCCGCCTAGCCCCAGTATATTTCTTTAATCATAGAACCGGCTTGTGATTGTTGTAAATGTCTACACTAGACTGCAGATTTGGTCCAGGCAGTAACCGTTTCAGAAGTCCATGTTAGTCGGCGGTCCGGTGTCGTGCTGGTAGCTGGCGCTGGGCATGGTGCAAAGGAGGAGCGGAGCTGTGCTATAATTGGAGCGTGAGCGAGGAGGCAGCAGAACTCTCACAGACACGTGAGCCCGCGCGGCCGTGTCTCAGGTCATCCACAATGAATAACCATAGATGCAAAAGGAGTTAGAGAGGATGCGAGGCAGAGAAACAGAGAGGAAAAAACTGAATGAAAAACAGAGAAAAAAGAGCAACGTTGATTTATTTACTGTCATTTATAATGACTGCCTATATAATGACTGAAGTTGTTTGCATGACGCAAAAAAAGGTTTCCATTCAATTGGCGACAGATTTTCATGTGAATATTCAAAAATCTGCATAAAAACAATATGCGCACATAAATGGGTTTTCATCGAGTTTCAATTCTACTGATGGTTTTCTCAACAACAACAAAATCGCGTTATATAGCGATTGTGTCGCTTGCACGCTGTTGGCTAGAGCACACGTGTAGCCGACATCAGAGATCATCAACTAGATTCAGCCGCGGGACAATTTCTTGAGCTGATGGTCGGGGGGCCAGAACATAATACAAAATAATTTTTAGATTGCAAGTTGACCGCAAGAAGCCAAAACAGATATAATATTTGACTAAAACATAATAATTTAATTCCTTGCTTATACGATCACATACAGTGCCTTCAGAAAGTATTCACACCCCTTGATTTATTCCACATTTTGTTGGGTTACAGCCTGAATTGAAAACTTTGTAAAAGCACCTTTGGCAGAGATTACAGCTGTGAGTCTTTCTGGGTAAATCTATAAGAGCTTTCCACACCTGGATTATGCAATATTTCCCATTTAATATTTAAAAGATTCTTAAAGCTCTGTCAAATTGGTTGTTGATCATTGCTAGACAGCCATTTTCAGGTCTTGCCATATATTTTCAAGCAGATTTAAGTCAAAACTGTAATTCGCCCATATAGGAATAGAAACGTACAAACTGCTTTGTCCAATTTTTGTATGTATTACTTTAGTGCCTTGATGCAAACAGGATGCATGTTTTGGAATATTTGCATTCTGTATATGCTTCCTTCTTTTTACTCTGTCATTTAGGTTAGTATTGTGGAATAACTACAATGTTTTTGATCCATCCTTAGTTGTTTTGTCCTATCACAGCCATTAAACTCTGTAACTGTTTTAAAGTCACCATTGGCCTCATGGTGAAACCCCTGTGCAGTTTCCTTCCTCTCCGGCAACTGAGTTAGGAAGGACGCCTTTGTCTTTGTAGTGACTGGGTGTATTGATACACCATCCAAAGTGTAATTAATAACTTTACCATGCTCAAAGGAATATTCAATGTCAATTTTTAATTCAGGCTGTAACACAACCAAAATGTGGAAAAAGTCAAGGGTTGTGAATACTTTCTAAAGGCACTGTATGTCTCTCTATTATGCATGGGAACAGGTTTCCAAAATGAAGATCACTTGGAGCTGATTTCCTGGTGTTTTTACAGTCTTTTGTACAACAATGAAAATAAAAAAGAATTTTTTTTTTAAACTTTGGGGGAAGGAAACGTGGTTAGTGTGAGTTAGAATTTGGTTGGGACAGAATCCATGCTCACTCTGTTGCTGTGCTTCCAACATAATATTTTGCGCCTGTTCTCTCCCTGAACGCGCAATTATGGCTATTAGGCCTACATTCATATGAGGCTGCGATGCAGCAAATTCTCAGAGCTGTCTTTTACAGGGTCATAGACATTTGTGCAACATTACATCACAGTAAAACATCCTACATAACATTTTATGCACTTGTATAATAAATAAAAACATCTACATAAATGCATTGGGACAACTCTTAAAATATGCAATGATTTTGCATGCCTTTAAAAATGTTACATTCTGCACCATATCCTGAACTTGGTGATCTTTTTAGAGTAAACTTCTTCTCAGCTATCTGACTAACCCCACTACCTCTCTGTCTCTGTTTTTCCAACAGGAAGTGTTATTCTGTATGCGCGCAGCTCAGGCAGCGGCAGCCCTAGCCCTGGCAGCCCGTCCAGTGGGTACCAGTCCCCCTCCTCCACCCACTCTCAGCCCTCCTCCCCAGAGGAGGTCACCTTCACAGAACTCGGGCCCCTGGGGTCCCTGAAGGGCCAGAGAGGGGGAGGATGCACACCTCCATCCTCCAAGCTGGTGTTCCACTTCCCAGAAGTCTACAATGTGGCTACATCAACATCCACCCACCAGCACACGTACCAACACCCCATCGCTGGGAAAAGGCCTTGCGGATTCACAGGACCTTTCACCAGTGAGTAGCATTCCTTCCTACCTTCTTTTGTCGCCCCTCTCACTCTTTCTATCCTAAACCAAAACATCCACCCTATCCAATACCCATCTCCTCCCACAATCTTTTTCTTAATGTACACTACACAACATATTTTGTTGCTTGTAACGTTGGTGGGTAGTCACCTTCACTTCTGATCTGATAACATTTCTGACTGGCTGTACTTCTGTTTCTCTCTCTATATCTACAGAGACTGGTGGGATGGTGCTCCTGTGTAAAGTGTGTGGAGACATTGCATCTGGGTTCCACTACGGAGTGCACGCCTGTGAGGGTTGCAAGGTAAGAAGACCATGATGACTAAACACATTCAGAAAGTGCCTCTGAAATGGCACCCTATTCTCTATATAGTGCACTACGTTTGACCAAAAGTTGTGCACTATATAGAGAATAGGGTGCCATTTCAGATGCAATCTTACTGTGTACAATAAGTAGGTGGGTCACATTCATCATTAAAACCAACCAGGATGCTAACTAACTGTACATCTGCTTGTATTTCCTGTCTAGGGCTTCTTCCGTCGCAGCATTCAGCAAAACATCAACTACAAGATGTGTGTGAAGAACGAGAACTGCCTCATTATGAGAATGAACCGCAACCGCTGCCAACACTGTCGCTTCAAGAAATGCCTCTCCGTCGGCATGTCCAGAGATGGTAAGAGTTATAGTGAAATCTTACTGAGAGTGCAGCCTCAGACAATCGTTTGAGGCCATACAATGCAAGTTTCTCAGCACTGCACCAACCTTATCTTTCACCTGAGACATTGCACTAACCTACTGTTGAAGGGCACACTTAGGAAACTAACCTATATCCACACAGCCTTTGCACATTCATACGTTTCAAAGTCAGTCTTCCTTCCTGTTGTTCAGATTCCTCCCCTCTCCATGTTCCTTTCGTCCATGTTCCCTGAGCTCTCCCTCCATCCCGCTCTCCTCTCCGACAGTGATTTATGAGAACAGGAGCCTTGAAATCCCTGAAGCTGTCTGTTATACAGAAAACTGCAGCAAACACAGGAATTATTTTGGGAAATTAGAACAGGGGAACTTGATTACCTTGTATGCTGTTTGCCCTTATAACATCTTGTACAATTAATGAGGGATACGGCAAACAATTAAGCTCGAGATGCAGAACAAAACAGCCCGTCCTTGTCCTAATCTCACCTACTTTACTTTTAGTCTTGATAGCTAAGTATTGATAAATTGCCACATCATAACGGATTACAAAAATAGTGTGGGATGGTTTCAGTTGACCTAAAAAAGCAAAGCAAACATTTTACCTATAGCATACTGGTACATGGTGACCTAGTTGGGATAGTTTGCCTGCCTTCAGTGTCTTCTCAGTGTGGCTTCAACCCTCCTGGGTTCTATCTATTGCTTAATCTACGAGAGAACCAAGTGTGATTTCTGCATGCGGTCGACAGTTTGGGTGTTCAAAAATGGAGTACAAGAAACTAGGGTAGTGAAGATGTTTTGATGGAACATACACTCATATTGACCCTATTAAAAACACAATCTTGAAAGTGTTAAGAACCACAACCTAGAAACCTCTTTCCTTCGGCTGCAGCTGTTGTGAAAACAGAAAAACCTCAGTCAACTGCCTGCAGTCCACATGACAGAATACGTCCTGATTTCTTAGGAGCCTGATGATGTGTGATTGTGATACCATATAGGCACGGCAAATATTTAAGTCACTTTCCCTCATCTTCTTAAAGATACAGTCAACACTTTCATCCTTAACGCAGTGCATTAAGCTCATTCTCACAACTGTAATGACTAGCTAAAGTCTAGACAGACTATCATGCCACAAAGTGGATTGATGTAAATTAATATAGCAGAATTCCATAGATCTGGTGTAACAGAATGTCACTGTTATTGCCCTTTTTAGCTTGATCTAGATCTATGATCTTTAGGGACAGTGCATTGCACACTACAGAGAGAGACCCAGGAGATCATGTAATGATGCCAGAGATGTGTTAACACAGATGTTAACAGTCATACATCTAACTGAAGCAGAACACAAAAAATCCCCCTGATGTCATAGCTTAGTGCAGTATCTTGTTTTGATCTCAAACACTTGAAGTTAGTTTAGTTAATTTGTTTCTATGAACATGCATGTATGTTCATGCTTGCACTCTTCTTAATTATACATCATTTAGATCTTGCCTCATGCATTGTGCTGGCTTGGTTGAAGAACTCTCAGGAGCAGGACTGCCATTTGAAGTTTCTCCCTTATCTCACACTCCATCTTGTGATGTTTCACTCTTCTCACTCACTACATTCTCTCTGCAATCTCCTATTTTCAACCCTACTCTTCACTCTCACTAACAACCTCCTTCTCTGCAACCTTTCCTTCATGCCTCCCTCCATCACTCCTTCTCTGCATCCTCTCTTTCCTCCCCCTTGCGTGCCGAGAGCCCACCTCTATTTCTCTCCCGACGTAGCAGTAGCAGTGACATCGCGTTCACGATGAGTCACTGCCCTACTTACAAAGCAGAGAGGGAGGGAGGGAGGGAGGGAGGGAGGGAGGGAGGGAAGGAGAGGAGAGTGATAGATGGGGAGAGGGTCTATAAATAGCATTTCCAGCTGATGGATATTCTTGGAGAGGGGGGTGGGGAGTAGTAGGGATGGGATCCACAAAAGACTGCTTACAGGTTCATGCATGAAATACACAAGATGCAATTAATGCATTTTAGTTACCAAGGGGAACGTATGAACATGATCTGTTTGTTTCTGTGTAGACTGGACCTTAAGACTTAATATCTATAAGAGAACTATGGTCAGATGTTGACCAGTTCCCTCCGTTTGTGTCTCCATCAGCTGTGCGTTTTGGCCGTATCCCTAAGAGGGAGAAGCAGAGGCTTCTGGAAGAGATGCAAAGCTACATGAACAGCCTGAATGAGTCTGCCACCATGGACATAGAATCCTCCCCCATCTCCGAAGCCCCTCCCAGCCCAGCAGAGGTTCCTTCTAAAGAGGCCATCAGAGCCATCTCTCGGGCCTATCAGGACATCTTCACCAGCAGCCAAGACAAGGCAGCCAACAGGGGAATCAACATCAACAACCTACAGACAACATGTCCGTTCAAGAGCAACACATCTCAGGAGATCAGCTACACCAATGGCTCCTCCCACACCGGCTCTGACTCCACCCAGGGGTACCAGTCCTGTCCTGCAGGCCTTGGCCCTCGCTGCCCAGACACCAATGACAACCACCATACATTCCCCTCTGTGGACAAAAGTCGCTATAGTTGCCCTGCTGCTTCATCCAATCATGACCATGGACAGTCTAATGTGGGCACGCCTCAACGGGGCAGCTCGGCCAATCACAACAGTTTCTCCATGAAGGTAGAGACTCAAGAGCCCCAAACTCAGACGTCCTGTCCATGGAATTTAGCTGCTGGAGCCAAAGTGCTGGTGAGTAAACTAAGAGTTGTTAGAAAGTTGCTATAAAGCTTTACATTTGTGAAGTTTAAAAAACAATAGGATAGTATGATTTGAATCTAACTTTCTCTCTCTATCCCTCCCTTTCTCTCAGGCCTGTCCTCTGAATGCGTGTCCTGTCTCTGCGGCCAGTCGTTCTGGACAGCAGATATGGGAGTCTTTCTCCCAGTGTTTCACCCCGGCAGTGAGGGAAGTGGTGGAGTTCGCTAAGGGTATCCCTGGCTTCCAGGAGCTCAGCCAGCACGACCAGGTCATGCTGCTCAAATCAGGCACCTTCCAGGTAATAACCGCTTGTTTTTAAAGTAGTCTATTTTAGTCCAGGTCTAGGCTTTATCTGTACCCAGGAAACCGGCCCTAAATCCGATTACATTTCTAAACACAGCTTAAATAAAGGACAAAACACCTTAATTTTCTCTCCCAATACATGTAATCCCACTCCATATTGACTAACATTCCATTGTGTCTTCTGTCTCGGTTAGGTCTTGATGGTGAGGTTCTGCACAATGTTCAACCCTGAGGAGCGGACGGTGACCTTCCTGAATGGCCAGACATACCCTCTGTCCACCCTGCGGGCGCTGGGGATGGGGGCGCTGCTCGACGCCATCTTTGACTTCAGTGAGAAGCTGGGAACTCTGAGGCTGGAGCCTGATGAGATGGCTCTGTTCATGGCCGTGGTGCTGATCTCTGCAGGTGAGAAAAGAGCCATTTAATTCATCACTAAAGCAGTGACAATATGAACAACATGGCATTAGGAAGTCATAGAAGAGATGTATATCTTGACTGGTATGGAAAGAAAATGTGACAGAGTAAGTATGAAGAGCTTATTATGAGCATAACGATAAACTGACGATAAAGTTGTGCAGACATCCATTGATAGATAGATAGATATTGTGTCTCAAACAAACTCTCACCCTGTCTCTTCTTGTCTCCTCAGACTGTTCTGGCATCGCTGATATGGGGGCAGTAGAACAGCTCCAGGAGGGGTTAATCCATGCCCTGCGTTCCCTCATCCACTGCCGTCATCCCGAAGAGAGCGCATCCATCTTCCCCAAGCTGCTTCTGCACCTGCCCGACCTGCGCACCCTCAACAACCTGCACTCCGACAAGCTGCTGGCCTTCCGGATTGACCCATGAACAGCCCTGAACACACTCACACACAGCAATTCAGAACTCGCCCATCACCACTCTCTCAGGGCAGGACTTCCAAGGAGATTGAGGAACACTGACTTGAGCAATCAATCAACAACAAAAACACGTTCAAGATGCATGTTTGAAAAAGGACAATAATGAATACATTGATCTTCATCACTGTTTTAGGCTTACCGTTACCCTTTTGGACAGATCAGATGTGTATGGCTGTTTTCCAGTCTTTAGGAGAACAAAAGCAAGTTCACTTACTTGTTTAACTTATTCCTAATCTCCTGACTGTCGCCAAACCACAGTTGAGAGAGAATCAGTGAGAAAGATGTTTGTGGACAATGATAAGTTACGGATCCCTAACATTATTGGTGACTGAATGTGTGGGAGTTTAGTGTTTGTATAAGAGAAAGGAACCCTGTGTATTATTATAATAATAATAATAATAATAATAATAATAATAATAATAATACATAAAATGTACACTTAAGATCATATGACTCCCATTTCACTTATAAACACATCTGGGGTTTAAATATGCAATTAAGTCTCAAATATATTCAACAGACTAATTGCATATAGAAAAGCGATATTCTGTATATTATTAAGTCTACATCAGGAATCACGTAAGGTTTAATGGAACCAGAACTTTGTCTCCAAGCATGTTGGGTTTTGTACTCTGTTTGTACAAAACCCAGTGTAGCTCAGTTGGTAGAGCATGGCGTTTGCAACGCCAGGGTTGTGGGTTCGTTTCCCACAGGGGGCCAGTATGAAAAGAAATGTATGCACTCACTTAACTCTAAGTCGATCTGGATAAGAGTGTCTGCTAAATGACTAAAATTTTAAAATTTGTTTTGGATTCTTTTGTTGTTGTAAATAATATATTGTGTTATTCAAATGTCTCTGTATTAATAACAATATTTGGTGGATCTGCTGGGCAAGATCAGAGTGTACACTACCGTTCAAAAGTTTGGGGTCACTTTGAAATGTCCTTGTTTTCGAAAGAAAAGCAATTTGTGTCCATTAAAATAACATCAAATTGATCAGAAATACAGTGTAGACATTGTTAATGTTGTAAATGGCTATTGTAGCTGGAAACGGCTGATCTTTAATGGAATATCTACATAGGCGTACAGAGGCCCATTATCAGCAACCATCAGTCCTGTGTTTCAATGGCACGTTGTGTTTGCTAATCCAAGTTTATCATTTAAAAGGCTAATTGATCATTAGAAAACCCTTTTGCAATTATGTTAGCACAGCTGAAAACTGTTGTGCTGATTAAAGAAGCAATAAAACTGGCCTTCTTGAGACTAGTTGAGTATCTGGAGCATCAGCAATTGTGGGTTCGATTACAGGCTCAAAATGGCCAGAAACAAATAACTTTCTTCTGAAACTATTCTTGTTCTGAGAAATGAAGGCTACTCCATGCGAGAAATTGCCAAGAAACTGAAGATCTCGTACAACGCTGTGTACTACTCCCTTCACAGAACACTGCAAACTGGCTCTAACCAGAATAGAAAGAGGAGTGGGAGGTCCTGGTGCACAACTGAGCAAGAGGACAAATACATTAGAGTGTCTAGTTTGAGAAACAGACACCTCACAGGTCCTCAACTGGCAGCTTCATTAAATATTACCCTCAAAACACCAGTCTCATAGAAAAGCCATATCTCTGACTGGCCAATAAAAAGAAAAGATTAAGATGGGCAGTATGAGATATGGCTTTTTCTTTACAACTCTGCCTAGAAGGTCAGCATCCCGGAGTCGCCTCTTCACTGTTGACGTTGAGACTGGTGTTATGTGGGTACTATTTAATGAAGCTGCCAGTTGAAGACCTGTGAGGCGCCTGTTTCTCAAACTAGACAATCTAATGTATTTGTCCTCTTGCTCAGATGTGCACGGGGCCTCCTACTCCTCTTTCTATTCTGGTTAGAGCCAGTTTGCGCTGTTCTGTGAAGGGAGTAGTACACAGAGTTGTACGAGATCTTCAGTTTCTTGGCAATTTCTCGCATGGAATAGCCTTAATTTCTCAGAACAAGAATATACTGACGAGTTTCAGAAGAAAGTTATTTGTTTCTGGCCATTTTGAGCCTGTAATCGAACCCACAATTGCTGATGCTCCAGATACTCAACTAGTCTCAAGAAGTCCAGTTTTATTGCTTCTTTAATCAGCACAACAGTTTTCAGCTGTGCTAACATAATTGCAAAAGGGTTTTCTAATGATCAATTAGCCTTTTAAAAATGATAAAACTTGGATTAGCAAACACAATGTGCCATTGGAACACAGGACTGATGGTTGCTGATAATGGGCCTCTGTACGCCTATGTAGATATTCCATTAAAAATCAGCCGTTTCCAGCTACAATAGCCATTTACAACATTAACAATGTCTATAATGTATTTCTGATCAATTTGATGTTATTTTAAATGGACAAAAAAATGGCTTTTCTTTCGAAAACAAGGACATTTCTAAGTGACCCCAAACTGTTGAACAGTAGTGTATATAAGATAAGTCTATGGATCAGAGATTACTGGAGCGTTATGGAGTCTCTGTAAAGGGTGGGGGTTGGCAATGAAGAAGTGGGTTATGCACAGGAGAAAATTATGTTGGAGAGGGCTCTGTATTGTATTGGTGAGAGGGACTGTGTCAGTAACACTCACCATGGTGTCAGATCAGATGAGGTACCAGAGCAGCGGAATCCCTGCATTCACCAGCACTCCTCACTCCACAACCCACAAAACGCACCTTCTCCCCTATCCCCATCCCCAAGGTTTGTCATACAAACTGAAAAAAGATACTTTCAGGGTGAAGGCTCTTACCTGATTGCTACAGATCTGATCCACTCACTGCTAGTTGAGATTATGGTTCATTGAGCACATCTTGTACATTTTGTAAATTGCTATTTCTTCATCCATATAATAAGATAGATAGGGCTTGAGAAAGTATTCATCCCCCTTGGCATTTTTCCTATTTTGTTGCCTTACAAACTGGAATTAAAAATGGCTTTTTTGGGGGTTTGTATCATTTGATTTACACAACATGCCTACCACTTTGAAGATGCAAAATACTTTTTTGGGTGAAACAAACAAGAAATAAGACAAAAAAACAGAAAAGACTTGAGCGTGAATAACTATTCACCCCCCCCAAAGTCAATACTTTGTAGAGCCACCTTTTGCAGCAATTACATCCCTTGGGGTATGTCTCTATAAGCTTGGCACACTTTGACTAGGCCATTCCAAGACATTTACATGTTTCCTTTTAAACCACTCGAGTGTTGCTTTAGCAGTATGCTTAGGGTCATTGTCCTGCTGGAAGGTGAACCTCCGTCCCAGTCTCAAATCTCTGGAAGACCGAAACAGGTTTCCCTCAAGAATTTCCCTGTATTTGCCGCCATTCATCATTCCTTCAATTCTGACCAGTTTCCCAGTCCCTGCCGATTTAAAAACATCCCCACCGCATGATGCTGCCACCACTATGCTTCACTGTGGGGATGGTGTTCTCGGGGTGATGAGAGGTGTTGGGTTTGCGCCAGACATACCGTTTTCCTTGATGGCCAAAAAGCTCAATTTTACTCTCATCTGACTAGAGTACCTTCTTCCATATGTTTGGGGAGTCTCCCACATGACTTTTGGCGAACACCAAACGTGTTTGCTTATTTTTTTCTTTAAGCAATGGCTTTTTTCTGGCCACTCTTCCGTAAAGCCCAGCTCTGTGGAGTGTACGGCTTAAAGTGGTCCTATGGACAGATACTCCAATCTCCGCTATGGAGCTTTGCAGCTCCTTTATCTTTGGTCTCTTTGTTGCCTCTCTGATTAATGCCCTCCTTGCCTGGTCCGTGAGATTTGGTGGGCGGCCCTCTCTTGGCAGGTTAGTTGTGGTGCCATATTCTTTCAATTTTTTAATAATGGATTTAATGTTGCTCCGTGGGATGTTCAAAGTTTGGGAAATGAAAGATGAAATGATGTACCTATTGAATTCCGCCTCTTGCGTTTCTTCTTTGGTGTTCATTCTGTCCTATGAAGAGAAAAAAAATCAACATGTAAACATTAGATGAAGATGTCTTTTTTTATTGTATAGACAGTTTATTACATTTTTTTATTTTTAACACAAAACAACATCCAATATATGAAACAAAAAAACACAAATACAAAACACAAATACATAGGGAGATTTTTTCCTGATAAATTATATGCTATTTTATGGCCATGGTATTATTTTGTGTGCCCTTAGTAAGGAAACACAAGAACCATTCCCATATTATTTTTCACCAGCCTCTTTGCTAACATGAGTTCATATGATGTTGTTTTTAATCAACATATTCATCCACTCCGTGAACATTGGCTCATTAGAGCTTTTTCAATGTTTCAGGACCAGCCTTAACACAGACACAATACCTAAACATAATATTTTAAATTCTGTCTGGTTAATCCCTCTTATTTAAGCCTCGTCACTCAACAGACAGTGGTGACCTACTGTAGGTCTCCCATGTACTGTGAGGCTTTGTCCCATAGGGTGTGCACAACCGGGCATTCCCACAGTTCCACTCCGGAGCTGATAGTGATAACTGGAGTGGTGTTAAGTGTTGAGGAGGATCAATTGAAGTTGAAGATTCCCAGTGTCTGTGACACCCACCCTTTGGTGCAACGCAGACCCGGTGGAGAGCGTGGTGAAACAGAGAAGACACTGTCTGTACTACTGAACTTTGATGCAGTCTTTACCAGATAAAGTGAAGTTAGGATGTGTCAGTTATCCCGTGAGCGCTTTTGTCCCAAATCCATTACGGTGTTTTAGGTGTCAAGCTTATGGTCATGTGGCAGCAGTGTGTAGGAGGGAGATTCCTAGATGTGAGAAGTGTGCAGGAGGACATGAGACAAAGGAATGTGTAGTATCGGTGGGAAAAGTTGTGTGTGTAAACTGTAGGGGTACCCATGGTGCTGGAAATCAGAGGTGTCCGATGAGAGAAAGGCAGATTGAGGTTGCCAGGATCAGAGTAGTGCAGAAGGTGTCATATGCTGAGGCAGCGAAGAGAGTAGTGGAGGAAGATGGGTCCAGGATCCTAAGAGGATCCCTGTGAGCAGGCCGAGGCCAATAGAGTGATAGAGAGTGATAGGAATAGCAAATCACAGAGGATACGATGTTGTGGTGGCAGCTGCAGAGAAGTACTTGGGTGTACAAGGTTTTACTGCAGAATAGTTACAAGATGTTTTCAAAGATAGTGTCCCGTCCTCCCAGGCTGCTGGCCTGGAGTAGGATCAGATACGGCCAAAGTAGTGGAATAGGGGTGACGTTATAATGGGTGCAGAGTTAGTTGGTATGGCAATTTTTTCACAAAGTGTTATGAATTCATACTACAGCATAGTAGGCTGATACACAGCCAATACAGTAGGTGGCTGTATGCACCTATAACATTTGTTTGCGGACCGCCATAATACCGAAGAAGAAGAAAGCTGAACGCACAATCCGTATAGAGAAAGGCTGCCGATCAGTGGTGAAGTTGTAGTATGTGTAGAACTGCAGCAAAACCCGGAAGTTGGAGGCTGTTGTAGAGCACGATTTATCGAACTTCGAAGCTAGCTAATTCCTTTCTTATTGATTTTAACACGACTTTGAGTATGTAAAGTGGCATGATGCGAGTATCAAACAAGATGGTAAGAAAATCCGTCAGCTTGTTTGTAGCCGATTTGGTGGCTTCACATGGCAAGATGGCTAACTAGCTAGCTATGCTATCTGCCTAGCTCTGGCCCAGTGCAGTTGTCACTAGTTACCAACGCCTCAGTCAAAATGGGATATTTCGTAAAAAATGCATGAAAACAAGAATGTGCTATTTGGGCTTAATTTAAGGTAAGGGTTAGTCATAAGGTTAGCAGTTTGGTTAAGGTTAGGTTTAAAATCAGATTTTTAAGAGGAGGAATTGTAGAAATGGGCGGGGTTTCGCCATAATTATGACTTTGTGGCCTTCAACTCCTTTTCCATTCATGCCTCCATAGTATTTTTTCACGCTTTTGTTTAGTGACAGGTTTCCACATACTTTTGTTACTCACCAAAGTAAAAATGTTGCTGAGGAACTTTGATCTGAATGCCGCCAAAGTAGACTATCTAGCTTTTGTCCTTGCGCATGCGTAGGATGCGCAAGCATCTCGTATACGCATTGACCACACCACCGCTAGACTGGCGGTAAACAAATTGTTCAAAAGTTTAGGTCGTATTTTAGAGAAACGATAGTTTGCACATACATAGAAAAGTTCATCATCACTACAAAAAAATACTATATGGAGGGATAAACGGAAATATGCAGGGCGTTAAAGAAGGCTTTAGCTGCATGTAACGCCCTGGATCAGAGCTACTACTAGCTAGCTGCTTAACTTGTGAAATATCTGATGGTCGTCAGCAAACTTACGTTGGTAGCCAGTGAGGTTGCCCCTTTACAGATCTTTAGTTCAGTTTTCAGCCTCTGAAAATATCAAACACATTATAGACTAGGCTACATTCTGTCACCATGAAGGATGAGATGACACTAAGCAAACAACTTCTCTGGCAAGTGTGGATGCCACGTTGACATGACCTACCTTATTTGTGTTACCAGATATTCAATATTTCTGTCTTTAAGTAAAGGTTATATCCTCTCTTTCTCCACAGCCTTTGATTAATCCTCCTAGGACTACAAGACAGGAGTAAATCGACCTCCCCCATCCCTTCTCTAACAGTCTCACTTGGACAAACTCACCATGTTGGTGACAGCCTACCTGGCCATCGTGGTCCTACTGGCGCTATGTGTCGGTCTGGAGCTCACGGCACGTCGCCTCACCCCACCTCAACCCACCCCCTCTGCCGTGGGCACCAACCCTGCCTTCCGTCGCTTCCAGACCCTGTTCCTAAGAGGCTACCTCCTAGCCCTGTGGGCTGACTGGCTGCAGGGGCCATACCTCTACAAGCTGTACCGTCACTACAGCTTCCTGGAGTCCCAGATAGCCATCCTGTATGTCGTTGGCCTGGCCTCCTGTGTGCTGTTTGCCCCCGTGGCCGGCTGGCTCCCTCAGGTAACAATAACGAAGACCACAAAGTAAATACGTTGTTAGACTTAGTTTTTTAAAATCTCAATAATTGTTTTATGTATTGTTGTATGTATGGCTGAGGCAACTATGTTTTTTATTTCATTTGTCAAATGCATTCATTCAGGTCCTGGGGCGCAGACAGACCTGCCTGCTCTTCTGCGTGGCCTACTCAGCCTGTTGCCTCACCAAGCTATCCCGGGACTACTTTGTCCTTATCGTGGGTCGCATGCTAGGGGGCCTGTCCACCTCTCTGCTCTCCACAGCCTTCGAGGCCTGGTACGTTCATCGACATGTGAACGCCCACGACTTCCCTAAAGAATGGATCCCCAGCACCTTCACCAAGGCTGCTAGCTGGAATCACGGGCTGGCAGTGGGGGCCGGGCTGGTGGCTAACATGCTGGCTGAGTGGCTCCACCTGGGGCCTGTGGCTCCCTTCCTCCTGGCCGTGCCCTGCCTGGGGGCCTGTGGCTGGGTGGTGCTGACTGACTGGGGCCTGGAGGAGGAGGAGGGAGGCCTGGAGGGGGACAACAAGACATCCTTGCTGGGTCCTTCTGCTTCAGTGCCTCTGGCCCGGGCATCTGCACGGGCCCGGTTCTGGCGCAGCTGTCAGGAAGGTCTCCGCTGTCTGTTATCAGACAGACGTGTGATGCTACTAGGAGGTGTCCAGGCTCTGTTTGAGAGTGTACTTTATATATTTGTCTTCCTGTGGACCCCCGTCCTGGAACCCCACGGCCCTCCGCTGGGCATCGTCTTCTCCTGCCTGATGGCAGCCAGTATGGCGGGGTCCCTGCTCTACCGTATGGCCACCTCTACCCGTTACCGCCTCCAGCCTGGTCACCTCCTCTGCTTCTCCATGCTGCTCGCTTTTTTCTCCTTCTTCATGCTAATCTTCTCCACCGCCCCGGGCCAGCCTAGACCGCGCGAGTCCCTGCTGGCCTTCCTGCTGCTGGAGCTGGCTAGTGGCCTCTACTTCCCCGCTGTCAGCTTCCTCCAGGGGAGGGTGATCCCAGAGGAGAAGAGGGCTGGGGTGCTGGCCTGGTTCAGGCTGCCTCTGCACCTTCTGGCCTGCCTGGGGCTCCTGGCTCTCCATGGAGAGGTGTCTGGGACTGGAGGGGGCGAGGGTGGTAGTGGAACTAGAAACATGTTTGGGGGCTGTGCTGTTATGATGCTAGCTGCACTCTTGGCTGTGGTCAGTCTCTTTACACTGGGAAGGAATGATGTGGATCTCAGACTAGAGGGGCCCAAGGGAGAGGGAGAGATATGACATTCAGAAAACTTTATTGTCCCAACATTGGACAATGACTAGGAATACAGTTACTGCTTTGTTGACAGATGAAGACTCATTTGGGAAAGTTAAATAAACTTTTGAGGGACTGAAACCTGACATTTAATCAACCTAGGAGTTACCAATATTAGACAATTATTTAAAATAATCTGGTGTCAGTAAGGTATACATTTTTGGTTACAAGATTCTGATATTTATTTGTTTTAATTTTGTTAACTGGCACTAGAAATTGTTTAGCTATGTTGTTGGGTATATGAAGGAAAATAGTTGATTTTGAGTTATAATGCTGCAGTCTGCGTCATCACTTAGCCTTCTTTTGAAGCATACTCGCACTGACGCACATGCTGGTGTATTAATGTTGTGCCAGTAGGTGGTGCCAGTGTAGCTCCAGGATGTTCTTCATATTCTACCCTGTACATGTTAGTGTTTTATCAACTGCGTTGTTCAGGGTGTAACACTCAGCCATGGCAGAACAGGGCTTACATCACTAGCACAGCTGCTTGCTTCGACAGAAATATCACCCACTCTCATATCATATAACAAGTACAAAATATAAATTCACTCTTACTGTTTATGACTAAAGCAACTGTGAAATCAATCAATGGGCATGTACAGCTACACTTTGGAGTTCTTGCCATTTGTCAGTAGTGTCCAAAAGGGGGAAAAAATATTAGAAATGGCTTGTTGCGTGGACCAATATCAGGGTCATTCCATTATCAATGCCTGTTTTGGTATACAAACAGTTGCTATTTTGACTTTTATGGGGCTTGCTAGGTACATTGTAGTAATTAAACACCAATGTTGAGGGTGTTTTAGATTGTGAATGCATACTGAATGTGTCTTGGAGAGGCATGGATATTTGCCTTGGTCCTTTTCTCTTTACGTTCTCCTCCAGAACCTTCAGTAATATAGGGCATATTGTAAATATGGAATAAATACGATTTTAATACAGTCTGTCATTTTGTGATCCTTTGAATTGCAGTGATAAGATTTAGGTTGTGATACTACACATGCACTCACCGTCCAGTTTATTAGGTACAACACCCCGTTCACAAAAATGGATCGCTCCTACAGACAGTGAGTCACGTGGCCGTTGCTTGTTATATAAAGCCGGCAAACAAAGGGGTGTAATGGGTTCGCACTCGAAAAGTTGTCGCATAAAGCTTACTTCATTATTCAATGTTTTTAATTATGTTCACTGCATCAGGGATAGTGTACACAGACGTTTCGGCTTTACAGCCTTCTACAATTTAATTTCAGTCTGCCAATCAGGGATGTGGCTTTTCTGGTCTACCTGTATAGAAGTTAGTCACAAAGAAATACAGAATTATAGGGTATGGGATCAGGCACGAAGGGCAACTCACAAATCAATCGTCCCAGGTGTCCGCTCACCTAAATACATCATGTCAATTCAAGGACATCAGGCAAAGCTGTTCATAAACGATATGATAAATCTGAATTTCTTTGTGACTAATTTGTATACAGGTAGACCAGAAAAGCCACAACCCTGATTAGAAGCACCCGCTGCTCATCTATTGTTCTTTACAATGCTGTTTTGAAATTGTACCTACAAACGTCTGTACGCTATCCCTAATGCAGTGAAAATAATGAAGTAAGCTTTATGTGACAACTTTTTGAGTGCGAACCCATTACACCCATTTGTTTGTCTGAATTCGTGGGTTTTACGCACCAGCCAAGCTTCTGGGAGAGCGCTATGGTTGTCTTTTATATAAAGCAGGCAGACAGTCTGATCATCAGTGCCAGGCGCGCCGGATCCAGTATCTCAGAAACTGCCGCCCTGTTGGGCTTTTCACGCACAACAGTGTAGGGTTTACTTAGAATGGTGCGACAAACAAAAAACATCCAGTCAGCGGCAGTCCTGTGGGCGAAAACAGCTTGCTGATGAGAGAGGTCGAAGGAGAATGGCAAGAATCGTGCAAGCTAACAGGAGGGCCACAAACAATCAAATAATGGCACAGTGGTGTGCAGGAAGTAGGGGTGCTGAGGGTGCTGCAGTACCTCCTGATAAATCGAAATTAAAACATTTATAATAACGTTGACAGCACCCCCAACCCAAAACATCTTCCTGAGGCCACGGGTGTGCAGAACGGCATCACGAAACGCACAACTCGTCGATCCTTGTCACGGATGTGCTATTGCAGCAGACTACCACAACGGGTTCCACTCCTATCAGCTAAAGACAAGAAGAAGCGGCTCCAGCGGGCACGTGATCACCAACACTGGGCAATTGAGGAGTGGAAAGACATTGCCTGGAACATGACTGTGAGTTCAGTTTACTTGAGTGGCCAGTGCAGTCCCCAGACCTCAAACCAATAGAGCATATTTGGGATGAGCTGTAACGGGCTGTTTGCAGTATTAATGTACCGCCGTCCAATCTGCAGCAACTGCGTGATGCCATCGCGTCAGCATGGACCAACATCCCTGTGGAGGTTTCCGACACCTTGTAGAATCCATGCCCCGAAGAATTCAGGCTGTTCTGGAGGCAAAGGGGGGTCTGACCCGGTACTAGATGGGTGTACCTAATAAACTGTCCGGTGTATGTAGATAAAATGCAGGCCTATTCTACAGTCTTACAATAATGTTTTTTTTAGTAGGGGCTTCTAGTATTTTCATGAATGTTTGTAGCCTTTCGTGAATTAATGTAGAATGCTGCATCAGTGAATTACCTAAAAATAGAACATTTTATACCAGTGATGCTTTTTCTTGCTCTTTAGTTAATGGAGAAAATATGTATGTGATGTCAAAACGAGAGGAGAAAAAAAAGTTTATATTTTTTGCATAAGTGCTACTGACAGGGATGTAGAGGGCAAACATGTAACTTTCAGATCATGTATTCCCTTCTACGTCACCCTCTCTCCTTTTTTACTGCAGACCAAATATTCCAGTTCTCTCTGGCCCTATCCTCACTTGAGCAACGTACTGATACAACATCTGTCCACCCCTTTTTGCCAAGCGGTTTGGTAGAGTCCAAGCTTCCCACAGCACTGCTGCTTCACCTGGATGTTGCTAGAATGTTCCTTTTTTGTGGTGGGGGGGTCTGTGAGAATCCTAACTGCGTGGGCTGTTGGATTAAGCCACTGCTGCAGCATCAGAAGGGGTTTAATCTACAAGAAGCAGCAGCAGAGAGAGACGCTATTTCCCAGGCTCTATCTTACCTAGTGTCAGTTCTTTTATTTGACTGTACAAGAACTGCTGGGCATCAAGGATACTACATACAAGAGGATAGAATATCAAGGAAGGAGGAAAGCGGAGCTTCTTTGACTGGAGCAGAGAGATAAATAAAGCATCATAGTGTCTGCTGCAGACACCAGACACAGCCATTATGACCCAGGGCAAGGTAAGGGCCTTACAGACACATTCTATAGATCTAATTCTATCCTCATTCAGTCCATGCTCATTCTGCAGTAAATCCACAGTAAAAAGGGAAGATTATTGGCTTATATTTTATTTCAGTGCGTGTGGTCCACAATGTTATGTAATCATTGTGGCAGCATGTACGTAGGCTGTATCTGTCGCTCCATCCTCTCATCTGCCTCTATTGAGAAGCTAATCTTATTGTGTTGCTCAGTAATGATGCAACGTCTTCAGCAGCAGAGAATAGTATTGTCATCAGGGAATGTCAGAGCGAATTAAATGACAGCTATAAACTAGATTGTATGGAGATAGAGAGAGGGTCATGTTTAGCCTGTGTCACTATCCTTCAGTCCAGAGACACGGACGTACCACTCCCCCCATTGTATAAAACCTTAAATGTTGCTGTTATGTATTGACTCAAAGCTGATGAAGTTATAGAAATAGAATTAGCCTACCTGTACTAATGACTGTAAATGAAATCACAATAGACTACTAATTCTATTTTTATGCAGGAAATATGGAGAGAGAGAGGAGATGGATATTCATATTCATTGGTACATTCATTAGCCATCTGGACAGTGTTGTGTAATGATGACTCATTCACTGATCCTGGAACGTCTACACACAGAGTGTGGAGCTAAGCTACAGCAGAGGGCTCGTCTAAGGACTGATCTCAGTCCACATCTTACAGTCAGCAATCAGAGAATCAGATCAGATTTCAAATTAGTCCCAAATTGTGAATCTGAATTCATCGTATTTGCTTTTAGAATGTGAATTGTTGTTATTGTTGTTAAAAAAGGAATTTGGATTTACAAGTTGGGCCTAATTTCGGCTCAAGTTTCTCAGTTGATTAGAGAGTGGCTCATTATCATCCTCTTTTTAAAAATTTATTTTATTTATTATTATTATTATTTTATTTAGGGGGTAGATCAGCTTTAATATTGCAGATAGATTGTAACTTCCATCAATGTAATTGTCTGCATCACTTCCAATCCCCCATATGGTTTTTTCTCTCGCATATATATACAGTGGGGAAAAAAAGTATTTAGTCAGCCACCAATTGTGCAAGTTCTCCCACTTAAAAAGATGAGAGAGGCCTGTAATTTTCATCAAAGGTACACGTCAACTATGACAGACAAATTGAGAAAACAAATTCCAGAAAATCACATTGTAGGATTTTTAATGAATTTATTTGCAAATTATGGTGGAAAATAAGTATTTGGTCACCTACAAACAAGCAAGATTTCTGGCTCTCACAGACCTGTAACTTCTTCTTTAAGAGGCTCCTCTGTCCTCCACTCGTTACCTGTATTAATGGCACCTGTTTGAACTTGTTATCAGTATAAAAGACACCTGTCCACAACCTCAAACAGTCACACTCCAAACTCCACTATGGCCAAGACCAAAGAGCTGTCAAAGGACACCAGAAACAAAATTGTAGACCTGCACCAGGCTGGGAAGACTGAATCTGCAATAGGTAAGCAGCTTGGCTTGAAGAAATCAACTGTGGGAGCAATTATTAGGAAATGGAAGACATACAAGACCACTGATAATCTCCCTCGATCTGGGGCTCCACGCAAGATCTCACCCCGTGGGGTCAAAATGATCACAAGAACGGTGAGCAAAAATCCCAGAACCACACGGGGGGACCTACTGAATGACCTGCAGAGAGCTGGGACCAAAGTAACAAAGCCTACCATCAGTAACACACTACGCCGCCAGGGACTCAAATCCTGCAGCGCCAGACATGTCCCCCTGCTTAAGCCAGTACATGTCCAGGCCCGTCTGAAGTTTGCTAGAGTGCATTTGGATGATCCAGAAGAGGATTGGGAGAATGTCATATGGTCAGATGAAACCAAAATAGAACATTTTGGTAAAAACTCAACTTGTCGTGTTTAGAGGACAAAGAATGTTGAGTTGCATCCAAAGAACACCATACCAACTGTGAAGCATGGGAGTGGAAACATCATGCTTTAGGGCTGTTTTTCTGCAAAGGGACCAGGACGACTGATCCGTGTAAAGGAAAGAATTAATGGGGCCATGTATCGTGAGATTTTGAGTGAAAACCTCCTTCCATCAGCAAGGGCATTGAAGATGAAACGTGGCTGGGTCTTTCAGCATGACAATGATCCCAAACACACCGCCCGGGCAACGAAGGAGTGGCTTCGTAAGAAGCATTTCAAGGTCCTGGAGTGGCCTAGCCAGTCTCCAGATCTCAACCCCATAGAAAATGTTTGGAGGGAGTTGAAAGTCTGTGTTGCCCAGCAACAGCCCCAAGACATCACTGCTCTAGAGGAGATCTGCATGGAGGAATGGGCCAAAATACCAGCAACAGTGTGTGAAAACCTTGTGAAGACTTACAGAAAACGTTTGACCTGTGTCATTGCCAACAAAGGGTATATAACAAAGTATTGAGAAACTTTTGTTATTGACCAAATACTTATTTTCCACCATAATTTGCAAATAAATTCATTAAAAATCCTACAATGTGATTTTCTGGATTTTTTTTTCTCAATTTGTCTGTCATAGTTGACCTGTACCTATGATGAAAATTACAGGCCTCTCTCATCTTTTTAAGTGGGAGAACTTGCACAATTGGTGGCTGACTAAATACTTTTTTTCCCCACTGTATGTATATGTATATATATATATCCTTTAAAAAAATATATTTCCCTTTATTCCTTTCATTACTTTCCAACCCCACCACACCTTCCCTAATTGGAGTAAACTAGTGAACAACAATGCTTAGGCCTCAACTTCCATCTTATACATACTATATACATTTTATGGACACAGTCAATTTTACAATAATTCTATTTTGTTTGTTTTTACTCCAGAACTTCCTCTACCCTCAACCTCTCCGATCATTTTCATGATGTCCATCCGGTTTGCTTCTATATGCCATATCTTTCTAACTCTGCTCTTTCACAAAAGCTCTATTTCTAAACATTTACATTTACATTTTAAACACCATCCATATTGAATTTCTATTTGCCATATATTTTTCAACTGTACTGTGATGTTTTACAAACGTTCTGAACCTTTCTAATCATCCTCTGTTGGTTATTAAAATGTATTTTATTTCCAGACAGCTATTTAGTCCTGATTGGTGATCTTATGTTATGTACCCACAGCTTTCAGTCGCAAACAAGGCTGCTGAAGCAGGAGAGAAGCAGTATGGCACTTCAAGTGGAGAAGCAGGAGGGCCACCGGCCCCTCCCACTTATGAGGAGGCCACTGGCGCAAGTGAGAAAGGTATGTCAGTGTGGCAGAAACTTCACTCCGCTCTCTTTATAAACATAAGTGTGAAAAATAACTGACCATTTACTGTGTGTGTGTGTGTTTGTGTTGAACTTGTCAGCAGGCGTCAGTGGCAGCCCCTGTTACAGCGGGGCCTATCCTGGTGATGGGGAGATGCTCACAGAATTCAGCTGGAGTGATAAAAACATCAGACGGATCTTTATCCGCAAGGTAGGCTATGACTATAGCTATTACTACCTTATTACAACCCTATTACTATATTATTACCCTATTACATAGCACTACCTATACAAGCCTATTACTACATTATTACTACCGTATGTTAAGGCCATACAGATACTGTATGCTATTCTTAAACTGTATTTTTCATTACCTCCTTTCAGTTGTCTTTTTTTTCGTTACCACCGTTTAGGTTTACGCCATCTTGATGATTCAACTTCTTGTCACTCTTTCCATTGTGGCTCTCTTCACATTCTGGTAAGTTTTCTAATACCTCCAAATATGGATGCTACTCTCCATCCTTCAATAGTTTTATCTGGTCAGGCAATAGATGGTCATGAAAATCACAGGAAATCCTACACTTTGATACAGTAATGTTAAATCACTGTGCACCAGCCATGAACCTGTCACAGGTACTAAATAGGAAGCAGCAGAGCTAGAACATTTACCATAACAGGCAGGAAAGTGCCTTCAGAAAGTATTCAGACCACTTGACTTTTTTCCACATTTTGTTACATTACAGCATTATTCTAAAATTGATTAAATTGTTTTTAATCAGTACCCCATTGTGACAAAGCAAAAACAGTTTTTTTGAAAATGTTGCTAATTTATATTTAAAGAAAAAAGGAAATATGACATTTACATAAGTATTTAGACCCTTTACTCAGTACTTTGCTGAAGCACCTTTGGCAGCGATTACAGCCTCGAGTCTTCTTGGGTATGACGCTACGAGCTTGGCACACCTGTATTTGGGGAGATTCTCCCATTCTTCTCTGCAGATCCTCTCAAGCTCTGTCAGGTTGGATGGGAAGCATTGATGCACAGCTATTTTCAGGTCTCTCCAGAGATGTTCGATCGGGTTCAAGTCCGGGCTCTGGCTGGGCCACTCAAGGACATTCAGAGACTTGTCCCGAAGCCACTCCTGCGTTGTCTTGGCTGTGTGCTTAGGGTCGTTGTCCTGTTGGAACGTGAACCTTCGCCCCAGTCTGAGGTCCTGAGCAGGGTTTCATCAAGGATCTCTCTGTACTTTGCTCCGTTCATCTTTGCCTCGATCCTGACTAGCCTCCCAGTCCCTGCTGCTGAAAAACATCCCCAAAGCATGATGCTGCCACCACCCTGCTTCACAGTAGGAATGGTGCCAGGTTTCCTCCAGACATGACGCTTGGCATTCAGGCCAAAGAGTTCAATCATAGATTCATCAGACCAGTGAATCTTGTTTCTCATGGTCTGAGAATCTTTAGGTGCCTTTTGGCAAACTCCAAGCGGGCTGTCATGTGCCTTTTACTGAGGAGTGGCTTCCGTCTGGCCACTCTACCATAAAGGCTTGATTGGTGGAATGCTGCAGAGATGATTGTCCTTCTGGAAGGTTCTCCCATCTCCACAGAGGAACTCTAGAGCTCTGTCAGAGTGACCATCGGGTTGTTGGTCACCTCCCTGACCAAGGCCCTTCTCCCCAGCCGGCCACCCACCTCAGTTTGGCTGTGTGGCCAGCTCTAGGAAGAGTCTTGGTGGTTCCAAACTTCTTCCATTTAAGAATAATGGAGGCCACTGTGTTCTTGGGGACCTTCAATGCTGCAGAAATGTTTTGGTACCCTTCCCCAGATCTGTGCCTCAACACAATCCTGTCTCGGAGCTCTACGGACAATTCCTTCGACCACATGGCTTGGTTTTCGCTCTGACATGCACTGTCAACTGTGGGACCTTATATAGACAGGTGTGTGCCTTACCAAATCATGTCAAATCAATTGAATTAACCACAGATGGACTCCAATCAAGTTGTAGAAACATCTCAAGGATGATCAATGGAAACAGGACGCACTTGAGCTCAATTTCAAGTCTCAGAGCAAAGGGTCTGAATACTTATGTAAATAAGGTATTTCTGTTTTTTATTTTTAATAAATTTGCAAAAATGTCTAAAAACCTGTTTTCGCTTTGTCATTATGGGGTATTGTGTAGATTGTTTTTATTTCATTTTAGAATAAGGCTGTAACGTAACTAAATGTGGGAAAAGTCAAGGGGTCTGAATACTTTCCGAAGTCACTGTAACAAGTACTTTGAGGAAAATGGGCAAACATTGCATATTTACAATCCTTTTTGGTTCCTTCATCAGTGAACCAGTGAAGAACTACATTCAGTCCAACCCTGGATGGTACTGGGCTTCTTAGTAAGTCACAGCTTTGATCTTGCATAGATCATTACTATGTTGATTTAATTCTGAAAGTACTAAAATATATGTGTTATTTATTTACACAGTGCTGTGTTCTTTGTCACATATATTACACTCGTCTGCTGTCCTGGACCAAGGTGAGTTTACAATGTTAATGTGTGTGGTTAACACAACTTCAGTTAATATGATAATAGAGAATGTATAATTTTAGCAGAATCTAACAACAGTACTTAAGTACAGTACTTATTATGTTTGATTACTATTTCCTATAGGAGACAGTTTCCATGGAATCTGATCCTGCTCGCCATCTTTGTAAGTATCATATAGTGTTTGAAACAATCCATATCTTTAGAAAATGTATACACATTGTCTAAAGACAATGGAGGGGGCTAGACTTTAAAATACTACACATAATTCAGAATCACAGACTTTTCCTTTGAGTGTAACCCCTCTTTCTAATGTTTCTTTACTTTGTAATCTCTCCTGTTGCAGACCCTCTCTCTCTCCTATATGACAGGGATGCTATCCAGGTACTGTCTCCCATAGCTGTGTCTACAGTTTGTTTGTCTCTGTTGTCCACTATGTTTTGCATGCCTGCTTCTTCAGACTTTCAGTATGGCTAGCATGATGGTTTTTGCAGCCAGGTAAACTGCTAATGTGTTACATTAAATTCAGCTAAGTTCTTGGTGAACAGCTAATACGTAGAATCAGGTGTGCTAAATTCATTTTGGATTGAAAACATGTATGGGATGGTAAATCTCAAGGAAGAGGTTTGGGCAGCCCTGCATTAACCTGTGTCAGTGTCGATCAGATATGCTAAAGGTATACATGGGCTTACTAACACTGTTGTACATTTTAGGCTTGCTTAGTTACTGTGTATTCACCAACATAAGTCATTAATATGTTATTCCTGTATAAAAAAACTATTTGAGTATGTCATTTCTTAGTAAATAAATACTTGGCAAATAATTTCTTTACCATTTCTTCCCCCCTCTAATAGTTATTACAACACCAAGTCAGTGGTGATGTGTTTGGGTATTACTGCTATGGTCTGTCTTACCGTCACTCTCGTCAGCTTCCAAACTAAGGTCAGTCTGCCTGCGAAAAAGGACATTCTATAATTTAATAGGATCTCTGTGCTTCTGTAATTCACCATTTGTTATAGGTTGTTCCCTTTTCTCATGGCCAAGTTACCTCCTTTTTTCTGTCCTATCTTCCCGTTTGTCCTATTCAGTTTGATGTGACATCATGCCAAGGTGTATTGTTTACCTTCTGCATGGTCATGATGGTGTCTGGACTGGTCCTGGCCATCGCCTTGCCCTACGGATATGTAAGTAATAATAATAATAATAATAATACACTTTTATTTGTAGAGCACATTGTCATACATGAAAGCCTGCAAATCAAAGTGCTATACATAGTAGGAAGTAAAACTACCCTAATCAGAAACGATATAATTAATGAGGTGAATAAGTAAATGCAGGTGGAGACTAACACGAGGAATTAGACAGAGCTCTCTAAGGCTATGTTTAGACAGGCAGCCAATTCTGTTCTTTTTTACATTTACATTTTAGTCATTTAGCAGACGCTCTTATCCAGAGCGACTTACAGTTAGTGAGTGCATACATTATTCTTTTTTAATTTCTTCATACTGGCCCCCCGTGGGATTCGAACCCACAACCCTGGCGTTGCAAACGCCATGCTCTACCAACTGAGCTACATCCCTGCCGGCCATTCCCTCCCATACCCTGGACGACGCTGGGCCAATTGTGCGCCGCCCCATGGGTCTCCCGGTCGCGGCCTCATTATTCTTTTGACCAAACAGATCAGATCTTTTCACATCAGACCTTTTTCAGAGCTGATCTGATTTGTCTGAAGACCAATTAGTGGAAAAAAGATCAAGCCTACAGCTGGGTCAGATCTAATTGAATGTGTTGGATATGATATCATTTTCTAGAGATATAATAGCAGCTTTTTTGTGCTCAGGTGCCCTGGGTGCATGGTGTCTATGGTGCCTTGGGAGCGTTACTGTTTACCATGGTAAGTGTAAAACCTATATAGTCTGTTTTACTTAACAGTCCATCAACGACAAAGAGAGATGTACAACTACTATAATACTTCAACTCTTTTCTTCTCTGTTTCAGTTTTTGGCGTTTGACACCCAGCTACTGATGGGGAACAAGCGCTACACAATAAGTCCAGAGGAATACGTCTTTGCCACTCTCAACATCTACCTAGATATCATCTACATCTTCTCCTTCTTCCTCTCACTGTTTGGAACAGAGAGGACAAACTGAATCCACCTCCAGGCCAGCATCACAGCTTTTCCATCTAAACAGGTCCCGTATTCATAGTCTCAGAGTAGTAGTGCTGATCTAGGATCAGCTTTGCCATTTAGATCATGGTGAATAGTATTATACATACAGGGGGGATATGATCCTAGGTCAGCACTACTCGGAGACACTGTGTGAATAAAGGCTCTGATCTCACCATCATGATGTACTGTACACAACCTATAGATCCTTGATTCTTGATCCACCACCTCTTCCCACAGTCTCAGCTTAGTGTGATCCTCCTTCCCCCTCTAGCATGATATGGACCTATACTACTGTATTGTCTGCTTAGCTGTCAATCTCCAGAATGTACAGTACTTTTCACCCATAGGGTCGGCGATCTATAGAATTCCATTGCTAACGGTAGATAGGTGTGAAAAACACATGCTAAATACTGAGTCTCAGTCTAAAAGCTTTAACTGTAGGTGTTTCTGTCTTATGCAGATGTGATGTCTTGCGTTCTCCTGTCTTTTAACAACAACAGTCATTTATGACACTGCTCTACAGGAGATTATCACCTCTTATGAAGAGGAACTCAAAGTATCTGCCCTAAATGCATGAATATCTGAATATCTTTCAGTGTAGCAACGTAGACATCATGTAGTTTTCATCTTTGTTCTTAGTTCATCAGTAGTGCACTAGGCTACATCCAGTTACATCAGTGTATAACACATTGTGATGACCCTCAGCTTTAGAGTAGAGAGAGAGAGTAAAGTATGACTTTATTGAAATTGTTTTTATCACTCAGCATCATCAATAAATTAAAAAGGACAAGACACATATCAATGACAAACAAAACAAATGAAAACACATATTAAGACACATATAAATCAATGGCACCTGTCGTTTGTTGTTTCTCTAATGCCTGTCTTCCAGTCTGTCAACTCTTAGCCTACTGGTTGAAATCTCAAACTAACATAAGATCCGGAGCATGAAGGCAATTCAATCCAATTCTGATTTAATTTGAATGTAGACTAATTGCTTGGCTTTCCTTGGCTGCTTTTCACTATAAAAGCAAGTTAATCAAGTTGCACTAAAACTGGAGATATAATGCAATCCTGTCAATATGATGAGCCATAGTCCAATGATGTCAGTAGGGGTTTACTCACTAACCTTGTCTTTCTTTGTAACATTCTGTTCTGTATTATTGTGTTGTGTTAACACACCCCTCCGTGTTACAATTTTCCAGCAAGGTTGGCTGCTATTTAACTCTTAAGTTTTCATTTATTTACAGATAGCTAAACCAGAGTCATCCCACTGGGCACAGATGTCAATTCAATTTCTATTCCACGTTGGTTCAACATAATTTTGTTGAAATGAAGTGGAAACAACGTTGATTCAACCAGTGTGCCCAGTGGGATTTATTTAGAATCTAAATATATGGCTCTGGGACTGGGTTAAACCAATGACTTGATACACATGCTTTGCTAAGCATGTTTTGGGGGCCAATCTGGAAAACTTTTACAATGTGAGGATGTGGAAAATTAATGTATTTGGTCCAGTAGTTATTCAGCGCCCTACGTAATTATTGGGAGAGTGACACATTGTTGTTGTTTTGGCTCTGTACTCCAGCGCTTTCGATTTGAAATTATACAAAGGTATTGGGACAAATTTACTTATGTATACTAAAGTAGTCAACAGTTTAGTATTTGGTCCCACATTCCTAGCATGCAATGATTAAATCAAGCTTGTGACTCTACAAACTTGTTGGATGCATTTGCTGTTTGTTTTGGTTGTCTTTCAGATTATTTTGTGCCCAATAGAAATGAATGGTAAATAATGTATTGTGTCATTTTAGAATCACTTTTATTGTAAATAAGAAAATAATGTTTCTAAACACTTCTACATTAATGTGGATGCTACTATGATTACGGATAGTCCTGAATGAATTGTGAATAATGATGAGTGAGAAAGTTACACAATACATTATTTACCATTAACTTCTATTGGGCACAAAATTATCTGAAACACAACCAAAACAAACAGCAAATGCATCCAACAAGTTTGTAGTCACAAGCTTCATGTAATCGTTGCGTGCTAGGAATATGGGACCAAATACTGTACTTTTTTTCTACTTAAATACACATAAGTGAATTTGTCCCAATACTTTTGGACCCCTAAAATGGGAAAATGGGGGGACTATGTACAAAAAGTGCTGTAATTTCTAAACGGTTCACCCGATATGGATAAAAATACACTCAAATTATAGCTGACAGTCTGCACTTTAACCTCATCTTCATTGTGTGGTCCTCTGTAGCTCAGCTGGTAGAGCACGGCGCTTGTAACGCCAAGGTAGTGGGTTCGATCCCCGGGACCACCCATACACAAAGAAAATGTATGCACGCATGACTGTAAGTCGCTTTGGATAAAAGCGTCTGCTAAATGGCATATTATTATTATATTATTATTGTATCATTTCAAACCAAAGTGCTGGAGTACAGAGCAACAAATAAAAAAAATCGCTGTCCCAATAATTACGGAGGGCACTGTATATTGATGGTATAATGTTTTTATAGACACTGAAATAGTTGTTATTTTTTTGTAAAAGCAAAAGTTTTGATTATTGTGACAAGAAAGAGTTAACGTTAAACATGCTTGCAAACTTGCCTGATGTGTACATGGCAACAACAACAAAAATACTACATTGGGTATTTGGCCTGAAAAAAAGCAAACATATATTTTCTTAATAAAACACTGAATGGTTAATTTGTGTATGAAATATGTGGCCTTGGAATAGTCTTATCTGAACAAATTGTAATTAATTTGCTGGTGTAAAAAATGCTTCTGTTGGTTAAGTACATTGAGTGTTATTCCATAGTGTGTTAGGAAATTAATTTCCATTTACAATTCTTGCTGTAAATAAAATAAATAAATGTACTCACCGATCTTCTCGTTTTTTTTGTATCTCAGACACTAAACTAGAATAGATACGAGCAAAGATTTCTATTATATTGACAAGATAGTCGAGGGACCGCTCTAACAATGGAAATGTTTCAGAATTCGACACTCATTAACCTCCATACAAAAATTCCTCACTTCATGGTCTTATTTTGGTGGACAGATTGTGGGCGGAGTAAACACTCTGGTTCCGGCTGTTACTCTCTTGAGACGCGTTGAACTAGCATGAACATCATCAAAGAAGCGCCATAAAAAAAGCACTCCAAACAGCCAATCACGTTTCATAATTATTTTATCCCATTCGATTTGCTCATCCAATGAAAACGTTTCATGGTAGAACGTCAAGGTCGGCCATGTTGTGGGGTTTCCACTAGTTACCACATCCACAAAGTCAAACGTGGCTATATCGTAAAAATTGATGATTTTTTTTGTTGCTTTTTAGTCCTCATTTAAGGTTAGTGTTAGGCATATGGTTGGCAGTGTGGTTAAGGGTAGGGTTAGGTTTAAAATCACATGTTAAGAAGATACATTTTAGAAATAGGCGAGGTTTATGCCTTAGTGGCTGTGGTAACTAGTGACGACCATGTTGTGGTTTTGAATGAGGAAGAAGCGGGAGAGGTTAGAGGTTATCGTTTAGCGAGTTATTTTTTATTTAAAGTACTACATTGAGTTACTTTGCACTTCTTGGCTATTTAAGAAAGATAAATGGCATTGTCGAATGTGGTAGTAGTGATTAAAATCCTAGTCGCTACAGCCACATAACCAGGATTGTTAGCTAGCTAGTTTAGCTAACCACAAGCTAGCTAATTTCAAGGGAAGGGGAAAGGTAATTTGATAGCTAGCTGGTTAGCAGTGTTGTTTAGCTAACTAGCTACGATTTACTTCCCCTGGCCGAATGACGTTGGGTGGCTTTATGTGCTTTTGGCTACGCTGGCAGGCGGGTTGGAAGCAACCATAGCGATACACATTTTCGCGGGCGGGAGGTTTTAAACTTCTCTAAACATGTTCAATAAATTTTACGAATTAATTGGAACGGGCTTCGCTAATCTCCGCAATGGAGTACCAGCTCCCGACCAACAAGATAATGACACACACAGAGTACAACAAGGGGGACAGATAAGGAGAAAAAGACCCATCGACTGGTAAGTTAAGGTTATGCTAATGTTGGCTAGCTATATGTAATCTATTTGTTGTGTAGTATTCTAATTTGGCTAGCTAACTAACGGTAGTCATCTAATAAGCTAACGTTAGCTAGCCAATTTAGCTTAGTTTACTAGCTGGTGTGGCGGCACTGGATGCCCAGTTTGTTTGATGACCTAGCTAACATTAGCTAATTGTCAACTATTTGTGAGTTGTAGCTAAACTTGCGGACTTGTCTATTTGAGATGGTGGTGAAATTTAGACCAGCCAGTTAGTTACTAGCTAGCTAACGTTAGAGGTATGGCACACTGTATGGCACATTTGGGAGTGGGGTTGAGCAACCAAAGTGCGTACTCCGCAAGTCCCCCCCCCCCATGACCGAATATAACCCCTATGAGTGGAACAGGTCACTGACTAAAGTGAATGTAGCTAGCTTGCTTGCTCTACCAGAATTATCACGGCCAAAAAACAAATATAAGACTGCCCACACTGTCACTGATTCTCTGGCACATATTCATGTTGGATATTGTTTCCCCCCTTTTTTCATAGTTTGGAGGATGGCGACCAAAATGACCAGGCGCTAGCAGTGAAGAAATTTCGGATGGGTAAACTAACTGCAATCTTGGCTGTGCATATACACTATATATACAAAAGTATGTGGACACCCCTTCAAATTAGTGGATTAGGCTATTTCAGCCACACCTGTTGCTGACAGGTGTATCAAATCGAGCACTCAGCCATGCAATCTCCATAGACAAACCTTGGCAGTAGAAGAGCTCAGTGACTTTCAATGTGGCACCATCATAGGATGCCACCTTTCCAACAAGTCAGTTCGTCAAATTTCTGCCCTGGTAGAGCTGCCCCGGTCAACTGTAAGTGCTGTTATTGTGAAGCAGCAACCGGCTCCGCCGCGAAGTGGTAGGCCACACAAGCTCACAGAATGGGACTGCCGAGTGCTGAAGCGCGTAAAAATTGTCAGTCCTCGGTTGCAACACAAACTACAGAGTTCCAAACTGCCTCTGGAAGCAACATCTGCACAAGAACTGTTCCTCGGGAGCTTCATGAAATGGGTTTCCATGGCGGAGCAGCCGCACACAAGCCTAAGATCACCATGCGCAATGCCAAGCGTCAGCTGGAGTGGTGTAAAGTTCACTGCCATTGGACTCTGGAGCAGTGGAAACACGTTCTCTGGAGTGATGAATCACGCTTCACCATCTGGCAGTCCGACTGACAAATCTGGGTTTGGTGGATGCCAGGAGAACGCTATCTGCCCCAATGCATAGTGCCAACTGTAAAGTATGGAGGAGGAATAATGGTCTGGGGCTGTTTTTCATGGTTCTAGGCCCCTTAGTTCCAGTGAAGGGAAATCTTAATGCTATAGCATACAATGACATTCTAGACGATGTGAGGTCCATACAGAAATGGTTTGTCGAGATTGGTGTGGAAGAACTTGACAGGCCTGTAGAGCCCTGACCTGAACCCCATCGAACACCTTTGGGATGAATTGGAACTCCGACTTTTAGCCAGGCCTACTCACCCAACATCAGTGCCCGATCTCACTAATGCTCTTGTGGCTGAATGGAAGCAAGTCCCCGCAGCAATGTTCCGACATCTCGTGGAAACAATTCCCATAAGAGTGGAGGCTGTTATAGCAGCAAAGGGGGGACCAACTCCTTATTAATGCCCATGATTCTGGAATGAGATGTTCGACGAGCAGGTGTCCACATACTTTTGGTCATGTAGTGTATCTTGTGGTGTCTAACATGTTCCCGGCACAACAGTGTATACAGTGTTTGATAAACAGTCCATGGCTCCCTATCTGACCTGATATGGTGTGTTTGTGGATATGACAACAGAGGTCCTCATTGACACAGTGAAGACTGCGGCTGAAGGGGTGAAGAGCCATAGCTCCAACGTGGCTTCCTGGGTACGGAATAGTGTGACTCCTACCTTGAGGAACATACTGCCCGCTTCCCCAGACCCCCCTCCGGAAGAACACTCTCATGAAGAGCCAGCAAGAGAGTCCCAACCGGAACCCTCAACTTCTGCACCTCATCCCTCAACTTTCTGGGAAGAGACTGAGGTATTGGATCTCTATATGATGTTTCAGGGCCCTTAATTCACAGTGTTTCTGTGTATTAGTGCTGATCTTGGATACGTTTTTGAGTTTTAAATCATAATGAATAAGAAGGGGGACTTGATCCTAGATCAGCACTTTTGAGACAGTTTTTGAATATGGGCCCAGATCTAGTAGTAGATTTATACATATTCATTACTCCAGTTTATTACAGGCCAGCACTCTGTTATATTCATATTGAACAATAATGTAATTAGTTTTTATGGTATTGTTTTCAGGTCCTTGAGGTGAGGTGCTCTGATCCCCTGGACGGGTTGTTTGTTGCTCCCTCGACAACTCTGGAATGGAAAACCTCTAAATCAGGCAAGACTCTATTCTAAGAATGTCTATGAAACCATTCCTGCTGCTGGCTCGAAATGTCACTAATGTTGCTATGGAAATGGAACAGTTGTTTGATCTACACTCTTCTTCCTCCTTTGTTCACTGCAGAGTCCTCTAGAATTGAGAAGACGATGATAGGATCGAAGGTTTGCAGACGCCAAGTGTGCATGGCTCTCACACATCGTGATGCGCCCAAAACTAATGGGCACTCTGTCAGTCTGCCTCATTCCTCCAGCAGTACCCCTAAGCCATGTCCCTCTACCCGCCTGGGCAGGAGCCACCTCAGAACACCTGCATCAACAAGGTATGCTCATATTGTCAATAGATATAGGCCTACCTTTCTCACTGAGGAAAAAAGTAATTCTGCTATTAATCAAGCATTGAAAACCTTGCTTGAATTTCAGAGTGCTTGAAAGTGCATTATTTTCCGTGCCTGATAGTGCCCCATTCACAATAATATGAATAACATGTTTGCTGTAATAATTTCATTCTCTCTGTCTGTAGCCAGTTTACCTCAGCAGGATGTAGCTCCTTCACCAGCATGTATGAGAAGACCTTCCCCATCCGCGTAGTGCAGAGTCCTTCACACGGCAGCCCTTCCAACCGCCTCCTTAGAGCCAGGGCTCACTGCACCGCACAAGAGGTCAGATACCACCTACCAGCATTTTTATGGCTCCCACTTGCTGCACCGTTTGCTGAACTTTTGCTATTGGGCTGTTTTCAAATAGATAGATAGTTATATCGACTAACAATGCAGAAGAATAGTCATATGACTATTCTTCTGCATTGTAAGTTGATATATACCTTGATAGATACATGTAGTCCAGAATATACCTGGAGAATGTCAAACGCCACAATTTTTGTTTTGTTGCATCTGCTCCACATCCAATCCTTATTTATAATATAGAAGGTTGGGTCCTCTCTGTGTTGCTCTAGTCTGTCTGTGAGGAGGAGAAGGTGGTGTACAGACAGCTGCTGGCCATGGTCTCAGGTGGACAGTCCTTGTCGTTCCACAACGGCAGCTCCCATGGCTTTCCGCGCTCACACAGAGACTTGTGAGTATAACAACCACAAAGCTAATGCTACAGTCCTCTCACTCTCCTCAAGTCATTGAGGATGACTGACAATTCAGTCGTGCTCAATGACCTGTACTCGCACGTTGATGCAACCACACACAATTTCATCAGGAAATCTACCTTTTTGTACTTCTCCCTGGGTTTCATAGTCCTACATCTTGGCCATTTGGTGTACTGGTGCTCCTTTCTAATAGCCCCCTCCCCTTTTTCCTTTGTTCTGACCTGTCTCTCTCTCACTCATTCACTCACTCAGCAGGCGTCTGCTCCAGTGTTCATCCCCTTCAGGGGCTGGAGATGCCTCAGAGGGCCCCAGTGAACCCCCAAGCCCCCGTCCAGAGTCCAGCCAGGGCTGCAGCAACGTCCCCAGCCCAGGGGAGGGCTCCTCCAGTGGGGCAGGGAACCACACCTGGGGCCCTGACTCAGACCTCAGCCCCAGGGGACCAGGGACACTACAGTCTGCCCCCTCTCCAGCTACCCTACATGACACCTCTTCTCAGGACACACAATCATCAGGTGAAACTTCTTAGCACATTTCCACTTCATCAGAGTTGATCTAGTAGTTTATTGACCACAAGGAGGGAAATGGATGTATCACCACCACCATCAGCAGTATACAGAGACAGGACATGATAGAGCTGTAGTGCAAAAATAGTTTTATGTGTTGTTTCCATAAAAGTCTACGTGTTTGTCTCGTGTGCTAATTTTGACCATGTCTTGTTCTGCAGCACATGATGGGGACTCCGTAATCATTGTGAAAGAGCAGAAGGGCAAAAAGCCATGCAGTTCAAGGTAAGTGTTTTGAATAGTTTGTTTTTGTTAAATTGTGGGTGTTATGTACTTTGTATTCCCCATCTAACCTGGTTTCTCTGTCTCGCTCTCTCTGTGTCTCTCTCCAGTGTGCCATGCTTCCAAGCTGAACTCTGGATCAAGGAATTGTAAGTCCCCTAATTTGTAACATTCATGATTGGTACATTTTCTCGTCATGTGCCTGTGCATACTAAATACAATTTAAATCCACCTCTAGCTCATTATAGAAGTCCTTTCCTCAAGTCGATGTGTGTGTCTGTGTTTTCCAGGACAAGCATGTATGACTCTCGTTCCCGGGAGAGACGGAGGCAGATAGAGGAACAGGAGGCCCTAGCTGCTCAGCTGCTGCGACAGGTAGTTAGAATCCCCTTCTCTGTCCTCATTGGTGTGATGTCAGCCCTCATGTCTATACCAAGTCCCACATTTACCACAGACGCGGTCAATGGAAAAGTTAACGTTTTCCCTCTATGCTTTATTCAAGCTATAGTTTATTAACTGTATGAAATGAGATGCTCTTTTAAATGGTGAGGACCACTGAAATAAACGTTCAACTCTATAGTGGTCCTACTAACCCTGTACTCAATAGAAAATGATATGGTGCTCTGTCTAACCCTCCTGTCCTGTGGTCTGGTCCAGCGTCTGTCAGATGACAGCCAGCTGGGCAACAGGTCCGTGGAGCTGCATGTTAGAGTCCCCCTGGAGAAGGAGGTTCCTCTGGCCCCCCTCATAGAGGACCACAAACCAACTGAGGAGAAACCAGAGTTCCCTGAGCTCACTGAGGTACCATTCACAGTCTTTTGGTTATGTGTATTGTGCTTATTTTATCACTGCGAATGTGAGCCAGCGCATTACCAATCAAATGCATTGTAATAATTTGATTGAGTTCATTGAGACGTTTTGAATAAATGAAATGGATTTTCTCACTGTGTGCATCAGGATGGTACATAGCATGCAGCCTTTAGCTGAGCCGCCATGTTTGTGTGTGTCTGTCCAGGAAATGGAGGGGGAGGTGGGCCAGGCGCTGAGGGGAGGCAGCCAGGACGAGGTGCTGAGTGAAGGCTTCAGACTCACCATCACACGCAAAGACCTCCAGACACTCAGCCACCTCAACTGGCTCAACGACGAGGTGAGAGCACATCACACTGCTTCTGTTTATGTCGTCATCTTATGCCACTATTTTTGGAGACTGCTAGTCATTTCTTCTCTCTCTGTGTCTGAGCCTATACAGGAAAGAGAATAACTAATACAGAAGTGGTTTATCAGTGGATCTATGCTGTTTTCTTTGCTTCACCCGCTGTCTCCTTACTCTCCAGGTGATCAACTTCTACATGAACCTGCTGGTGGAGCGTGGTAAGGATCCCGGCCTGCCGACGGTCCATACCTTCAACACCTTCTTCTTCCCCAAGCTACGCAGTGCAGGCTACTCTGCCGTACGCCGCTGGACCAAAAAGATGGACATCTTCTCAGTGGATGTCATACTGGTGCCCGTCCACCTGGGGGTGCACTGGTGCCTCTCTGTGAGTTAACATACAATATATTGTACTTTACTGCTGCTGCCTGTCTACCTGGGGGTGCAGTGGGCTGGCCTGGTTACGCATCCACCATAGTTTTTTTATTTTATTTATTTTAATTTCACCTTTATTTAACCAGATAAGCCAGTTGAGAACAATTTCTCATTTACAACTGCGACCTGGCCAAGGTAAAGCAAAGCAGTGCGATTTAAAAACAACAACACAGAGTTACATATGGGGTAAAACAAAACATAAAGTCAAAAATACCACAGAAAATATATGTGCAAATGTAGCAAGTTATGGAGGTAAGGCAATAAATAGGCCATAGTGCAAAATAATTACAATTAGTATTAACACTGGAATGATAGATGTGCAAATAGAGATACTGGGGTGCAAATGAGCAAAATAAATAACAATATGGGGATGAGGTAGTTGGGTGGGCTAATTACAGATGGGCTGTGTACAGGTGCAGTGATCGGTAAGGTGCTCTGATAACTGATGCTTGAAGTTAGTGAGGGAGATAAGAGTCTCCAGCTTCAGAGATTTTTGCAGTTCATCCATTCATTGACAGCAGAGAACTGGAAGGAATGGCGGCCAAAGGAGGTGTTGGCTTTGGGGATGACCAGTGAGATATACCTGCTGGAGCGCATACTACGGGTGGGTGTTGCTATGGTGACCAATGAGCTAAGATAAGGCGGAGATTTGCCTAGCAGTGATTTATAGATGGCCTGGAGCCAGTGGGTTTGGCGACGAATATGTAGTGAGGACCAGCCAACAAGAGCGTACAGGTCACAGTGGTGGGTAGTATATGGGGCTTTGGTGACAAAACGGATGGCACTGTGATAGATTACATCCAATTTGCTGAGTAGAGTGTTGGAGGCTATTTTGTAAATGACATCGCCGAAGTCAAGGATCGGTAGGATAGTCAGTTTTACAAGGGCATGTTTTGCAGCATGAGTGAAGGAGGCTTTGTTGCGAAATAGGAAGCAGATTCTAGATTTCACTTTGGATTGGAGATGCTTAATGTAATTCTGGAAGGAGAGTTTACAGTCTTAACCAGACACCTTGGTATTTGTAGTTGTCCACATACTCTAGGTCAGACCCGTCGAGAGTAGTGATTCTAGTCGGGTGGGCGGGTGCCAGCAGCATTTGATTGAAGAGCATGCATTTAGTTTTACTAGCGTTTAAGAGCAGTTGGAGGCTACGGAAGGAGTGTTGTATGGCATTGAAGCTCGTTTGGAGGTTTGTTAACAGTGTCCAATGAAGGGCCAGATGTATACAAAATGGTGTTGTCTGCGTAGAGATGGATCTGAGAGTCACCAGCAGCAAGAGCGACATCATTGATATACACAGAGAAAAGAGTCGACCCAAGAATTGAACCCTGTGGCACCCCCATAGAGACTGCCATAGGTCCAGACAACAGGCCCTCCGATTTGACACATTGAACTCTATCTGAGAAGTAGTTGGTGAACCAGGCGAGGCAGTTATTTGAGAAACCAAGGCTATTTAGTCTGCCAATAAGAATGCAGTGGTTGACAGAGTCGAAAGCCTTGGCCAGGTCGATGAAGACGGCTGCACAGTACTGTCTATTATCGATCGTGGTTATAATATCGTTTAGGACCTTGAGCGTGGCTGAGGTGCACCCAGCTCGGAAACCAGATTGCATAGCGGAGAAGGTACGGTGGGATTCGAAATGGTCGGTGATCTGTTTGTTAACTTGGCTTTCGAAAGGCAGGGTAGGATGGATATTGGTCTGTAACAGTTTGGATCTAGAGTGTCACCCCCTTTGAAGAGGGGGATGACCGTGGGAGCTTTCCAATCTCTGGGGATCTCAGACATTACGAAAGAGAGGTTGAACAGGCTAGTAATAGGGGTTGCGACAATTTCGGCGGCTATTTTTAGAAAGAAAGGGTCCAGATTGTCTAGCCCAGATGATTTGTAGGGGTCCAGATTTTGCAGCTCTTTCAGAACATCAGCTGTCTGAATTTGTGTGAAGGAGAAGCGGGGTGGGCATGGGCAAGTTGCAGTGGAGGGTGCAGAGCTGGTGACCAGGGTAGTGGTAGCCAGATGGAAAGCATGGCCAGCCGGATCAAAATAATCAAAATTCTCGATTATTGTAGATTAATCGGTGGTGATAGTGTTTCCTAGCCTCAGTGCAGTGGGCAGCTGGGAGGAGGTGCTCTTATTCTCCATGGACTTTACAGTGTCCCAAAACTTTTTGGAGTTAGTGCTACAGGATGCAAATTTCTGTTTGAAAAAGCTAGCCTTTGCTTTCCTAACTGCTTGTGTATATTGGTTCCTAACTTCCCTGAAAAGTTGCATATCGCGGGGGCTATTCGATGCTAATGCAGTATGCCACAGGATGTTTTTGTGCTGGTCAAGGGCAGTCAAGTCTGAGGAGAACCAGGGGCTATATCTGTTCTTAGTTCTGCATTTTTTGAATGGGGCATGCTTATTTAAGATTGAGAGGAAAGCACTTTTAAAGAACAACCAGGCAAGTTTTAGGGAGCGTTTGACAGTGATGAGGGGTGGTCGTTTGACCGCGAACCCGTTACGGACGCAGGCAATAAGGCAGTGGTTGAAGACAGCTGAGGTGTATTTAGAGGGTAAGTTAGTCAGGATGATATCTATGAGGGTGCCCATGTTTACGGATTTAGGGTTGTACCTGGTAGGTTCCTTGATAATTTGTGTGAGATTGGGGGCATCTAGTAGGATGGCCGGGGTGTTAAGCATATCCCAGTTTAGGTCACCAAGCAGTACGAACTCTGAGGATAGATGGGGGGGCAATCAATTCACATATGGTGTCCAGGGCACAGCTGGGGGCTGAGGGGGGTCTGTAGCAATCGGCAACAGTGAGAGACTTATTTCTGGAAAGGTGGATTTTTAGAAGTAGGAGCTCAAACTGTTTGGGCACAGACCTGGATAGTATGATAGAGCTCTGCAGGCTATCTCTACAGTAGATTGCAACTCCACCCCCTTTGGCAGTTCTATCTAGATGGAAAATGTTGTAATTGGGGATGGACCTTTCTGAATTTTTGGTGGCCTTCCTAAGCCAGGATTCAGACACTGCTAGAACATCAGGGTTGGCAGAGTGTGCTAACGCAGTGAATAACTCAAATTTAGGAAGGAGGCTTCTGATGTTAACGTTCAGAAAACCAAGGCTTTTACGGTTACAGAAGTCAACAAATGATAACTCCTGGGGAGTAGTAGTGATACTGGGGGCTGCAGGGCCTGGGTTAGCCTCTACATCACCAGAGGAACAGAGGAGGACTAGAATAAGGATACGGCTAAAGGCTTTAAGAACTGGTCTTCTAGTGCGTTGGGTACAGAGAATAAAGGGGGCAGATTTCCGGGCATTGTAGAATAGATTCAGGGCATTATGTACAGACAAGGATATGGAAGGATATGAGTACAGTGGAGGTAAACCTAAGCGTTGGGTAACAATGAAAGAGAGAGCATCACTGGAGGCACCGATTGAGCCGGTCTCGGAGTGTATGGGGGGTGGAACAAAGGAGCTATTTGAGGCAGTTTGAGAATGACTTGGGGTTCTATATTGAAATTGTATAATAAGAACTAACTGGAACAGCAATAGGCAAGGCATATTGACATGGGAGAGAGGCATAAAGCAATCACAGGTGTTATTAGAGAGAACTAAGACCACAACTGGTAATGACGATGAAAGTTTGGGCTGAGGCTAAACAGATAAACAGGACAGGGTACCGTGTAAAGGAACAGTCCGGCATGCATCAGCTGTGCAGCTGAGTGATCATAAGGTCCAGTGAACAGCAATATGTGAGTCCGAGAGCAGTTAGAATTGGTGCTAAAGCACAGCGAGCAAGAAGCACGGCTGCTGTTTGCGTGTGCTAGCGGGCGGGGCTAGCAGATGGATCTTCGTGGTCGTCGCAACGGGAAGCCTGTTGAAACCACAGACGATTGTTGCTGGAACCATGCTGGAAAGGGCAATGTGAAAATAAAATATTCAAGCCTGCACAGCATGGTTCAGATGGGCTCTATAGTGGTAATCACACTAGACAGAATCTGTAGTGTGATGTTTATATTGACTGTTTTCTTTCTTCTTTTTCCTTTCAGGTGGTGGATCTCCGTAAGAAGAGTGTCACATACTTTGATTCAATGGGAGGAAAAAATGACGAAGCCTGCCGGATATTACTGCAATACCTGCAGCAGGAAAGCAAGGACAAGAAGGGCAAGAACCTGGATACGTCGGAATGGACTCTGCAGAGCAAGAAACGCAACGTACGTGTTACACTATGATATCTAACCGAGATCTGTCAACTCAACATGCATTGACACTTCACTGATTGACGTTGCCATCTTTTGAAAAATGTATCTCAATCTATTTCTCCCAACAGGAGATTCCTCAGCAGATGAATGGAAGTGACTGTGGAATGTTCACATGCAAATATGCAGAGTACATCACCAAAGACAAGCCAATCACATTCACACAAGTAAGTACTTCAACCGCCCAGCTGCCCCTGTGTCTGTTGGAGAGAGGCCAGTATTGGAGGCCAGTGTTTAATACTGTTAGAGGTGTGCAAAGCCCAGCTCATCCATTTGTGATTCTGATTTCTACCTCTACAAGTTCATTAATAACCTCTAAAGTCTAAGCTGATTGGGAGGGTTCTACTAAGCTAACATATGGAATTGTTTTAAGATGGTCATACCATGGATCGTTTAGCTAGGAGATATAAGAAAGCTCCGGAAATATGTGTGTATTTGTTGGCACAAAACTACCTCCATACTTCCATTTAATTTGTATGGGTTACCTTATACGAGTCCCGTGTGGGGAGAACACCATCGGAGAACACCATTGTGTTCGTGAGAGTCTTCTCTTTCCATAGAGGGGTCATATTCATTTGTAGGGCAAACTGTTTTTGCGAGAAGACCGATTTCCGGGATGTTTGGGTTGGGTGGCAGAGCATCATGGGAGTTTTGTGAAACACTCGATAGAAAGTCTGCATCTCGATTCACTTCGTTTGGAGGGACGACTAGAGGGCTGAAAAGGCACTACGCCTCGCTCAAAGTTGACTTGGGATACCACTACGACTCGATGGGGATCGCTCAAAACGGAGGGGTAGGGCTAAGGGAGTGGGGTGGGAGGCATTGGGATTGAGCCTATGAGTAACTAACTCAGTATTTCCCTTCCTTCCAATTGACAGAAACACATGCCCTACTTCAGGAGACGGATGGTCTGGGAGATATTGAATCGGAAACTGTTGTGATGAAATCGGGAAGAGATTTCTGAACAGGTAGCTACTGTTTGGTCAAGGGCGTGGAAGTGTGTGAAATGATGATGGTGCCCATGACGCTGTGGCTGTTCCATTGCAGGAGGATTCATTTATTGCAACCACAACATCCTGTGTATTAGCAAGCAAGGGTCTCTCTTTCAATTGGGGTTGTTCTCATTTACAAATCATACTCTGAAATTTTCCAGTCAGAACGCCTGTCTAGTGAAGTTGCCTTGTATTTGGTCACTGTCGATATTTTTGTAAACTACTCAAAGGTATAGTTCAATGAAAGCTTGGTGTTCTGATGTGATGACTGTTAACACCTTATTTTTATAGTTTGTGGCCAACACCCATACCTGGTTAAATAAACTGGTTAAATGTGAGAACAGAGCTCGAGATGCGGTGACATTCTTTGATTTATATCTGGACACCCACATTTGATAGTTGTTGTTAGCTAAATAGAAAATATATGCAACAAACTTCAGAGTATAATTTGTAAATGGGTAGGCCTAGATATGGAGGTGGTGTGTTGCCATACATTGCTATTGTGTGGTACTTGAGCTGACACGAGTATCTTCATTGGTTAATTGGACCCCAAAACAGATAAGCTTCAGTGATGCTTCCTTGACCAAGAGACCCGTTATTCCAAGACTAAATTGTGGCCTGAAATTTAAAGTCTATTTTGTTTAAATAAGCAAAGCAAAAAACTGTCTGGTGCATTTTTTTCTGGCTATTTTCGACATGTGTACATACTGATGAGTATACAGTTTCTTGGATAATGTATTTAATATACATTTTGTACCTTTTTATTATCTGTTTTGTATCTAGAACAAAATCTTTTTAGAAATAAATTCCACAAGTATTGTGTATGTGCATCTCTTATGTTTGGAAAGGTATACATTACATGAGCATACACACTCTTGGTAATAAAAGGCACATGGACAAAATATATATTTTTTATAAAAGGATTCCTTTTAATAATACAAAAAAAAAAGTTCAAAAACATCAAACCAAAGAAACATTTTGAAAAGCTGTGTTTGTCAAGAAAGGGGAATTTTAGGCTGCATTTACACAGGCAGCCCAATTCTGATATTTTGCCCAATTATTGGCGAAAGACCAATTAGTGGAATAAACTCAGAATTGGGCTGCCTGTGTAAACGCAGCCATAGACCTGCTAGTATGGCACATAAGGACAAATTTAATGATTGACAAAAGTGAATAAGATTGTACATGATTGCTTTACAATGGACTTGATAAAGCCAGGGAATAGTAATGTTAAGGCTGTGCGCCAATGACTATGAAATGTGTTGCTTTTTAACCTGTCTGACTGACTTTACATGACATGGATGACTTATTGCTGGACGGAGCTTCAACTAATATTTTCTCCCTCTAGTTTGCATTGTACAATGAAAGACAAACCGTAGAGCCCACTCCTACGCAACCTTTAAAATCCTAAATTAGCAGCAAGATGTTTCAAGTGGACTTCATGTAAAGGATTATCTGAACTATGGAAAAGGGCGAGAGCATTCTGACATTTCAAACTAAGGCTGACATTTTTTTATTTAAACACATCTGGAATGATTGTGGCCTCAAAATAAATATGACAATGTAACAAACATTAAATTGTGGTTTCCTAAGACTGATTCTACTACATGAGAGTAAATCTTACAAGAAAATAATTTGTTTATCATTTGCAGACAGTGCATGAATGTTTCCAGATAGCAATTTAGCGTGTAGCACACTTTAAATCCTCTCTTGATGAAATCTATAAGGCATTTCTGATAATATTCTTCCTACCACAAATTAATTCATGAGACCATTCATAGAGCTTATTAATAGTGTCAACAAACCTTTTCATGTACAGTCACAAATCAAGGAAAAAGAAAGAACTACAGATGTATTCTAAACCGAGCATTGATCACTTAGAAATGTCCAAATGCCTACCGGATGATGTCTTTGGTAACAAACAAAAAATCAATAACCAATATTTTGGTTGACAAAATAAGGACTGTGCATCTGGATGGACAACAGGTAGTCAGTATCCTATTGTTAGGAGATGGTGTGAGGCCTTTAGCAAGATAGCTGAGTGATTTTCTTTCTGATTTTCTCCAACCTCATGACCATGCTGTACATGAAAACATGGTAATGCTTTATTTGGATTAGATGTTCAACAGATGGTCATACTATCAAGGTTAGTAGATAGTTCAAATGTCATTGATTGTCTGTAGATCATATACAGATATTCCCTTCTATGCAGCCATCTCACTGTCATTAGATGAGCAATGAGGCGTATAATCTTACAACTAAATGTTTTGGATGAACTAAAATGAAAGCCACCAATAGCAGAATGCTAAGTTTCAAAAGTCACTTGACAAACAGCCTATTGTCACCTGAAAAATAAAAACTTCTGATATTCATCTACAGTGTAAGTATTGCATTATTGTGGACAATAAATTAATTGCATAGATCACTGGCCATTTTAAGAAACAAAACAGTCTGATTAGATGTTTGACCTGGGATTTAGGCCTGGTTTGTGAACGTTGGACAGAAGAGTGAGGATATGGACACAGTACCTGCTGTGACTGTGAGGATAGCCTTGAGAACCATAGAAGGTATGACCTTATAAAACATCTCAGCACCTTGCACACTAACCCTCAGCTGACTTTACATTGCTCTAGTTGCGTAGGAGGTAATATTACTTTTCACACTGCATTCCCTAACCACTGACTGACTTAATGACTACTCTACCACGTGGGACACATTTCTGAAATCATTTCTAAGAGGTGTTACACTTAGGGCTCTATTCAATCTGTAAAGCTGAAGTGTTACAGATTGTGCAATATAAATGTAAAGGTCATTTCCAATTGAGCCGTTTACCGTGAATGCGGTCTCCGCCAATGCGGGAACGTTGCCTTTACATTTCAATTGGGATTGAATAGAGCCCATAATTATCTTGGATTGATGAGCAGTGAGCACACCTCATTAAACGGTGAATGTGCCAAAAGTGATGACACAGACTGATTTGAAATCTCTCAAACATTTAGAGCATTTACCATGTGATTGAAAATTAAAACAGAGATTGAGAAAAAATAAAAACTCAAATGACAGACATTATTTCAAAAGAAAAAGCCAACAAATCTTTTTTTTTTTTTTACTACTCAATGCACACTACCAAAATTCAAATGGATCAATCTGAAACGTATTAAATCAAATAAAACATCTCACAAACGTTCTTTAAATTAAAAAAAAACAGTCACTTGGAATCAAAACAAAAACAAATCAACAATAACAGAGGAATCAACGAACAGACAGAGAGGAAGTAGCGAAGCATCTCATTAGGCTACTGGCCATATGTTTTGGATCTCTCATTTACTTGTTTAAACTAATAGCGCAACACTCAACAATATGAACTCCTAAGAACAACTTTGGGTCTGTTTAAAGGGTAGCAGCTTAACCCACTAAAACCAAATGTAAAGACTTATTTATGTTGTTGGTTAGCATTGGAGCAATATAGGATTAAATTCCCCAAATATAACCAGCAACTAAATGTATTTCATGTCAAATTTAATCATGCATATATTTTGTATTTTCCCTATATAATTGTATTATAATTGGCCAGAATCTGGAAATAATCAGTTAAATGTTTGATTGTCTTAAGCTTTATTTCTAAATATCTATTTAGATTGTGAGAATTATTGTGAGAATTTCAACTAGGGACCAAGTGCTAAAAAACTGCTCTGAGTTGATAGCACCAGATATGGCACACATCTATGATCTAAGTAACTTAAGCAGTTTTTCAGCCTTCTTTCTTCAAACATTTACCAAAAACAACAAGCAGTGTGAAGTGAAGAAAACAATTATTTTTGAATCAACACAAAATAATTCAGGTGAAAAGCTTACAAATAACAGATGATAAAATGAAAAACTAAATCAGCATATTTTACAAAAAAGTACAACTAATCGACTTTATGTTCCTGATTTCATTCTGGCTCACCAGAATAGTTAGGAAAATAATTTGTTAATACGTGCACAAAAAATAATGTGTGTGTGTGTTTTTTTCTCTTTCTTCGACTATAGAGTCATGTTCTGTGGTCAAAATAGATGCTCCAAGTTCTGTTCGTTTTCACAGTATCCATTCATCTCTATTCAAGAGTTTCCCGTAACCTCTGATTTTTAAATATCCTTTTCTCTTTAGTGTGACTGTCTGGTGCTTCTGTCCAGAGCCACTAGTCACTGAGCTGAGCTGAGCTGAGCTGTACGGACCACAGGTGGCCAGGAAATAGACTAGTGTAACCCACCTGTCCCTCCTCTTCACTTGCTATGCTGATAGGAGTAACCTGTGTGTTCTGTGGGAGTCTCCAGGGAAACCTGTTGTTGGATGGCACTTTCCTGTTAACATATTGAAGAGGTATTCATCAATCAACCAATCATCAGTAAAGTGACCAGTTGTTTCATACCACAACATTATAGTTTTAAACGTGTACATGATACTGCAACATATTTACCCCACTGGGATAATAAAGTCAGTAAAGTAAATTATAGTAGGACGTTTCTTACCTCAACTGAAACGGTGGTCTGAGGCACTTGGGTGTACTGGGGGATGTAGGTCCCTTGCATAGATGTGTTTGCAGGCATATACTAAAATAGAGAGGATAAAACTATTAGAACGTAATCATCAGGGGCGCAACTTTCACTGGGGATGGGGACATGTCCCCCCCACATTCTGAAATTGCATTTTTGTCCCGCCCCCAGTTTTATCATTGGAATGTGTGATACAAAACGAGGTAACGGTGAGCTTTAGGACCAGGCGGACGCCTCCAAGCGGTTCGGTAGGCTGTTTGGAGTGTTTATCCAACTGGATAAAAAATAAAGATTATGTCCAAAGTATCTACTGTATGTCTATACAGTAGTGTGCTGTGAGGACTGACCGTGCCACTGCTGCCCATAGAGAGGTGGCTGAGCTGCTGTGTGAGAGGCCCCATCATAGAGGTTGGCTGGATGGACATGGTGTGGTCCATGCCCGGCGTCAGGACTTGGCCCTACGGACACACACACACAGAGTTAACATACACATAGACAAACAAAAATGCACTTATGCATATATGCGCATACACACACAATTGTTTGTCACACAGCTGAAACGTTGAGTGCAAACATCACACAGAGTGTCTATGTTAATGCTTAGCAGGTGTCTCTCTCGAACACAAAAAGAGAGAGACAAGGCAGATCTCACTGATTCACTAATAGGCAGTAACAGTAGCGGTGGGTAAAACTCACTGAGGGCTGCATGAGGTACTGCTGATGATGATGCATCCATGACTGTGGACCGTGGATCTGCAGCAGGGAGAAAAGATAGACAAACAACATAAGATGTATGCTTTCTGCAGATTTTCAGAATAAGAAATAAATCCTCTGGACACAGTAATATATCCACAGAAATACAACAGACTGACCTGGTAGGTATTAACAGGAGAGTGCATGTAGGGGGAGAGGGAGGTCTGAGCTATCATTCTGTTAGGGGCCATACTGTAGGGGGATGAGTAGAACCTGGAGACCGAGAGAGAGAGAAGACAGCCATCAGTATCCAACACATACTGTCATCCCTGCAGTACATATGTCTCGGATTATCTCAGTGAGGTTTGGTGGAGTATCTGCTCACCCATTCTGTAAGGCTGTGGTGTGGTCATATGTCAGTGTCATTCCTCCCTGTGGTCAAACACATACAGATACGTGCAGTAAGCACACATACAGTATTACATGCATTTGACTGAGAAATATCTAACCAGAAAGACAACTCCCATTTGAGCTTTAAAGTAACTGTTCAATCTCACTTTTAAAAGTACATGTTCTGTTACCGCATACCCAAATGATGTTGTTGACTCATCCTATACTCGTATTTGTGGCCAAAGCATAAACTGTAGACAAAAACACTTCAAACTTGTATCTCAAACAGACCGTTTCAAAAATGCTTGCTGTTTCCTTGTAGAAGATGAAGCAACGTCGGACAGTTACTTTAATGTTACTGTACTTAATACAGTTGAAAGTACCTGAATAGCCTTGTTGAAGTGACAACATTTGCAAAGACAAGAAAGACTACAGGGAAGATGGCAGACTGTTTACTGTCTGAATGAGAACTCACCGTTTCCCCATCTGTTGTCCAGAGACGGCCATTCTGCAGGTACTTTCCCTGGCTCTGTCTCTTCTTCTGTCCTCCATCTGCAAACTTACATAACAGGGGTTCCGAGGGCACTGGGAGGAGAGGAGAAGAAGAGGGTTGAGTGACTGTGGAGCACTGAAGGGGTATAATCTGTGTATTGTACATTAAAATATGACAGTGAATCAAGACACTGTGGAAGATGGGCGCCTTTCTGTTGCTCCTGACCCTTTCCCCCCAAAAACATCATACAGAACAAACTGTGTTATAAAAAGAAATTGAAAACATGATGGGATAAAGATGAATCACCTGGTACTCCAGGTGGACTCTTGATATATTTGCCATTGAAATGTTGAATGATAGTCTCACATTTCTCTGTTGACTCCATCCTGCAAATAAAGAATGATTTACAGGATGATGTACTAACCCCAGTAACCAGCAGAGGGCTCAGTAGACAGTTGAGTTCACCAGGCGACGCAATGTTTTGGAATGTTCAGATAGAAATAGGCTATGTAGAAGAGACATGCTTCCCTGACATGTACAATTAGTAATCACATCAGCTCTACTCATGGCATTTCTATCTGCAACGTTCAACAACATTTGGCAATTGAATGTGACCCTGGCAAGCCAGCCATGCCTTGACAAAGCCAAGGTATATATGACCATAACATTGAATTTGTCAATAAATGTTTAAATATGGAGGTATACATGATACAGTATGCAGGAGTCCATTTTTGCTTCTCTTACATACTTTATTTCAGAGGTGTAAAAGTTGGTTACCTGGCGAAGCCCACTCCTCTGCTGGTGCCGTTGGCGTCTCTGAGGATGCGTGTAGAAATGACCTGACTGAAGGGCTTCAGTATATTCTCCAGCTCCTGCTCGTCCATAGACACAGGCAGGTTGGAGATGTACAGGTTAGTGGGGTCCTGCTCCTGTTGCTTTGGGGGGGAGGGAGGAAGAGAGGGAGGGGGGAGAGAGAAATACAGGGTTAAATTTGCTCGTCCATAGACACATGCAGGTTGGAGATGTACATAGACACACTTTCACACATTCACCTCCTGCCTAATTTACGACCGAGTGTTAACGGTCAAAACCCCCACACCAGTTACCTCCTCCCCTCTGCGGGTGGAAAAGGGCTCTGGTTGGAGTTTATTCATTGCACCTAGTCTGAGCCATTGGATCCTCACGTGTAGTCATGACACTAGCCTCGAAGCGAGCATCGAAGGCATTTAGCTCATCTGGTAGGCTCGCGTCACTGGGCGGCTTGCGGCTGGATTTCCCTTTGTAATCCGTGATAGATTACAAATCCTGCCACATCCGACGAGCGTGTGCACAGATCCTTGCAACATGGGGGCCGTGCATTACCATGCTGAAACATGAGGTGATGGCGGGGGATGAATGGCACGACAATGGGCCTCAGGATCTCGTCACGGTATCTCTGTGCATTCAAATTGCCATCGATAAAATGTAATTGTTTTCGTCTTTCGTAATTTATGCCTGCCCATACCATAAACCCACCACCACTATGGGGCACTCTGTTTACAACGTTGACATCAGCAAACCGCTCACCCACACGACGCCATACACGCTGTCTGCCATCGGCCTGTTACAGTTTAAACCAGTATTAATCAGTGAAGAGCACACTTATCCAGCGTGCCAGTGGCCATCGGAGGTGAGCATTTGCCCACTGAAGTTGGTTACGACGCCGAACTGCAGTCAGGTCAAGACCCTGGTGAGGACGACGAGGACGCAGAAGAGCTTCCCTGAGACGGTTTCTGACACAGTTTAATCAGCTATGGCTCGTCTCAGACCATCCCGCAGGTGAAAAAGCCGGATGAGGAGGTCCTGGGGTGGCGTGGTTACACGTGGTCTACGGTTGTGAGGCTGTTTGGACATACTGCCAAATTCTCTAAAATGACGCTGGAAGCAGCTTATGGTAGAGAAATTAACATTCAACTCTCTGGCAACAGCTCTGGTGGACATTACTGCAGTCAGCATGCCAATTGCATGCTCCCTCAAAACTTTAGACATCTGTGGCATTGTGTTGTGTGATAAAACTGCACATTTTAGAGTGGCCTTTTATTGGCCCCAGCACAAGGTGCACCTGTGTAATGATCATGCTGTTTAAACAGCTTCTTGATATGCCACACCTGTCAGGTGGATGGATTATCTTGGCAAAGGGGAAATGCTCACTAACAGGAATGTAAACAAGTTTGTGCACAACATTTGAGAGAAATATGTGTTTTGTGTGTATGGAACATTTCTGGGATCTTTTATTTCAGCTCATGAAAAATGGGACCAACACTACATTTTGCGTTTACATTTTTGTTCAGTATAGATGAAAACTCTCTTGATAAATATTATGGTCTACAGCTTATCATGAGGTATTCTAAACTCAGTTGAGCAGAACCTCGAGACTTCCTTAATATTAGAGATCACTCCGAGTTTACCTGATGCTGCCGTTCTGTCCTGCCGATGTGTAGAAAAACTAGCTAGATTTATATTTTCCATGTCCTTGTTCAGCCACGATTCGGAAAAACATAGGATATTACAGTTCTTCATATCACGTTGATAGGATAGTCTCGAACAGAGCTCATCCAGTTTATTCTCCAATGATTGCACGTTCGCCAATAGAACGGAGGGTAGAGGTGGTTTATCCACTCGCCGACGTAATCTTGTCAGTTATCCCGCACGCCGGCCTCTATAATGCCGCCTCTTCCATCTTCAAGTGTCGGGATTTAAGCCTGGTCCGGGATGAGCAATATGTAATTTGCCTCCGACTCATTGAAGTAGAAATCATCATCCAAATCGAGGTTTTTGGTCATAGGAAATGAACAAACAAAATAGCACAATTGATCAGGAACCCGTAAAACGGCTGCTATTCCCTCCCGCGCCATCTTGGTTACCATGTTCTCAGAACATACAACATTAATGTTCTTCACACGTTTCATGGGATGTTGCAAGAACATTCATGTGACCAGTTTTCTGAGGGTTCTGAGAATATTCCATCAACATCCCACCAAACATACACAGAACAAGGTTACCATTTTCTCAGAACATAAGATATTAATCTTGTAGGCATGTTTAATGGGAACGATGCAATAACATTTATGTGTCCATTTTTCTGAGATTTAGGAGAATATTCCATCAACATCCCACCAAACATACACAGAACAAGGCTACCATTTTCTCAGAACATAAGATATTAATGTTCTAGACACGTTTCTGTGTATCAGCACGTTGCCTGATGGAAGGAACCACTGATCCATTCATAGCTCTTTGTCTATTGGCAAGGTCAAGGATCCTCACACACACACAGTGCTTTTAACTTACATATTTGACATACATGATTACATTGTGCATGTATACAGTAATTATTATTCAACAGTCCTCACGTGGGATTTGAACTCACAACCTCTTGGTTCATGGTACGCCGATTTTCTTGCTATGTGGGTCTTGGTTTTATTTTAATTTTTTATTACACCTTTATTTAACCAGGTAGGCCAGTTGGTTAAGCTAACTATTCTCATCATTAATTTGAGATACTTATTTCAGCGATATAAGGGCTTTCTGTATAGTTGTCTGATGTTGGTGGGTCATGTTAACCTGTTTTAAGGATACTCCACTATGATGTGCCTAGGGAGGAGGAAGGGCTTCTTCTGGACAGGACATTGTCCAACAATCACATGTCAGAGAGGGGGGTGCAACTCAATATTAGGAAGGTGTTCTTAATGTTTTGTTAAGAATGTGAGAGTAGGGTGATTCCCCTAGTGGGTCTTGAACCCAGGCCACCAGCACCAACGTTAAATGCCTTAATCACTGTCCCAATAAGGGACATCTCTAGAGGATGTGCTTATTGGGCCAGTATAGTTAGGCCCTGTCCAGAAGAAACCCTAACCCCTCCTCCCTAGGCACTTGTGTAGATCTGAAACTACTTGATAGGTGTAAGCAATAGGGTGAATGCACTTTTAAGTAAATCTCAGCTCTGTTAAAGGTACACCTAAGAAAAACGATTTTATTGATCATAGTAATTCAGGACTATCATTAAAACAGGTTAACATGCTCCAGCAACATTAGACAACTATACAGAAATCCCTTAAAACGCTGAAATAAGTAAATCAAATCAATGATGAGAATAGATTAACCAATATCTAACATGGACATGGTGGTGTCGCAGGAAGATCGGAGTACCGTGAACCAAGAAGGTTGTGAGTTCAAATCCCAGGTGAGGACATGTTGAATAATAATTGAATGAATGAATGAAAATGCACAATGTAATCCTCTACGTCACAGTGTGTCGTATATGTATGTTGAAAACACTTAAAAGCACTGTTTGTGAGTATCCCTAACTTGCCAACAGACAAAGAGCAATGAATGGATCAGTGGTTCACCAATCAGGGCCTTGATTGGCTCGGTAACAAGGCGTGATGTATGATTAACTATTTTTTTGGGGGGGGGAATGTTTCTTTGGGACCATCAGGCGACATACTGATACACACAAATATTCCTTCGGGCCTCCCGAGTGGCGATGCAGTGCTAGCTGTGCCACTAGAGATCCTGGTTCGAGTCCAGACTCTGTCGCAGCCGGCCGCGACCGGGAGACCCATGGGGCGGCGCACAATTGGCCCAGCGTCGTCCAGGTCAGGGGAGGATTTGGCCGGCAGGGATATTCTTGTCACATCGCGCACTAGCGACTCCTGTGGCGGGCCGGGCGCAGTGCACGCTGACACGGTCGCCAGGTATACAGTGTTTCCTCCGACACATTGGTGCGGTTGGTTAAGCGGGCATTGTGTCAAGAAGCAGTGTGGCTTGGCTGGGTTGTGTTTCGGAGGACGCACGACTCTCGACCTTCGCCTCTCCCGAGTCCGTACGGGAGTTGCAGCGATGTGACAAGACTGTAACTTCCAACTGGATACCACGAAAAAGGGGTAAAATACAAAAACATTTCAATAAGAAATGTTCCTGCAACGTTCCCATGAAACGTGTCTAGAACATTGATATCTTATGTTCTGAGAACATGTGTAAGTTCTATTTGACATTAAGGGAATGGTCTCTTGGAAACATTCCTTGCACATCACAGGGAACATTCCTATGAAAATGTTAGTTAATGAGAGAGAGAAGTCCAGCTAGACTCTTGGGAATGGGCACATTCTCTCAAGTTGTGGGAACGTTTGTTGTTAGCTGGGAGAGTCTAGCTGGACTTCTCTCTCTCTACTCCTTTCTTTGCCTCCCTTTCTCTCTGTCTCACTCCCTCTCTATGCCTCACTCCCTCGCTCTCAGTCTCTCTGCGTCTCTAAATTATCTACCCCCCCTCTCTTCAACACTTTATTAGACAGCCAGTCACTGAGAGAGAAGAACACAGGCCCATTGTGTGAGACTATTTATGTTAACACGACTGAAGGTTCATGCGTCAGTCAAGTAATATGATATCACAGTATAATTGCAATTAAATGGGCTCTGAGTCTCCACTGCTGGTCTCTACAATAATTGTGTGATATTTGTGGAGAATTATACGCTGTCAGAGGGCAGATTTGGACAGAGACTTTTGGAAATCATTCTGATTAATTTCTATGGCTCCACACACCATCATATTCCCAATGGGGATCTGACCAGGGCATGACAAAATGTGTCAGTCACATGCATAATCTTGACCTTGAATTCATATGCAGGTCTCAGTAAAATTATGCAGCTATGACAAATACGATCTGAAACTCAAGGAGCCAATGAGTCCTCAGAAAAATTCTTAGTTTTTCCAGGAATGCTTGAATTATGTCATATGCTTTTGATTAATTCAATAGATTTTCCACTTCTACTCAGTAAACTACCTGCCTGCCCAAACAAATTGAATTGAAATAACAGCAAAGTAAGATAGTTGTATGATAGCGTATCTGAATCTCAACCATAACTGTTTTGCATATTCATTAGTGTGCAGATGTGATTAAAAAGCTGTAAAATGCATTTGATATTCATCTCAATATCATGAATTATGCATAGTGTAATCACTGCGACCTGCAGTGAAGGTGATTTGTCTCTCCCTGAGGAACACACACACACACACACACACACACACACACACACACACACACACACACACACACACACACACACACACAAACACACCTCCAACCTTTCATTGCCACATCATCAACAACACACACCAAACCCACACTTTGCAACCACACACACACTATTCCAACCATCACAGACACACACCCAACACCAAGAACCCAGCTATTTTAGAGAACATACCCTTAAAGAGGCAATCTGCAGTTCAAACAATTACAAAGCAGTTTGGTAAACAGCTGAGCGATGGGGCTGGAGAAATGTAACCACTCTCAAATTCATAGACAGAGATATGGATGCAAGGACTGACCATACATGATATCCCAAATATAATTTAATCATGTTTTGAGGCTATAGAGTGTTTGTTTACAATTGCATTGTTTACAAACAATTGTGTAAAACAAGCTTATATTATTGGTTATGATGGGGTATGACAGTTGAACTAAGCCCATGAGGCATTTATAAGTTATATCCTTCAAGAATCAATTGGTATACACTACCAGTCAAAAGTTTGGACACACGTACTCGTTCAAGGGTTTTTCTTTATTTTTACTATTTTCTACATTGTACAATAGTTTTGAAGACATCAAAACTATGAAATAACACATATGGAATCATGTAGTATCCAAAAAAATGTTAAACAAATCAAAATATATTTTATATTTGAGTTTCTTCAAAGTAGCCACCTTTGCCTTGATGACAGCTTTGCACACTCTTAGCATTTTCTCAACCAGCTTCATGAGGTAGTCACCTGGAATGCATTTCAATTAACAGGTGTGCCTTCTTAAAAGTTAATTTGTGGAATTTCTTTCCTTCTTAATGCGTTTGAGCCAATCAGTTGTGTTGTGACAAGGTAGGGGTGGTATACAGAAGATAGCTCTATTTGGTAAAAGACCAAGTCCATATTATGGCAAGAACAGCTCAAATAATGACAGTCCATCATTACTTTAAGACATGAAGGTCAGTCATAATGGAACATTTCAAGAACTTTGAAAGTTTCTTCATGTGCAATTGCAAAAACCATCAAGCGCTATGATGAAGCTGGCTCTCATGAGGACCGCCACAGGAAAGGAAGACCCAGAGTTACTTCTGCTGCAGAGGATAAGTTCATTAGAGTTACCAGCCTCAGAAATTGCAGCCCAAATAAATGCTTCACAGAGTTGAAGTAACAGTCACATCTCAACATCAACTGTTCAGAAGAGACTGTGAATCAGGCCTTCATGGTCAAATTGCTGCAAAGAAACCACTACTAAAGGACACCAATAAGAAGAAGAGACCTGCTTGGGCCAAGAAACACAAGCAATGGACATTAGACCGGTGGAAATTTGTCCTTTGGTCTGGAGTCCAAATTTGAGATTTTTGGTTCCAACCGCTGTGTCTTTGTGAGACGCGGTGTGGGTGAACGGATGTTCTCCGCATGTGTAGTTCCCACCGTGAAGCATGGAGGAGGAGGTGTTATGGTGTGGGGGTGCTTTGCTGGTGACACTGTCTGTGATTTATTTAGAATTCAAGGCCCACTTAACCAGCATGGCTACCACAGCATTCTGCAGCGATACGCCATCCCATCTGGTTTGGGCTTAGTGGGACTATCATTTGTTTTTCAACAGGACAATGACCCAACACACCTCCAAGCTGTGTAAGGGCTATTTGACCAAGAAGGAGAGTGATGGAGAGCTGCATCAGATGACCTGGCCTCCACAATCACCCGACCTCAACCCAATTGAGATGGTTTGGGTTGGACCGCAGAGTGAAGGAAAAGCAGCCAACAAGTACTCAGCATATGTGGGAACTCCTTCAAGACTGTTGGAAAAGCATTCCAGGTGAAGCTAGTTGAGAGAATGCCAAGAGTGTGCAAAGCTGTCATCAAGGCAACGGGTGGCTATTTGAAGAATCTTAAATATAAAATATATTTTGATTTGTTTTACACTTTTTTGGTTACTACATGATTCCATATGTGTTATTTCATAGTTTTGATGTCTTCACTATTATTCTACAATGTAGAAAATAATAAAAATAAAGAAAAACCCTTGAATGAGTAGGTGTGTCCAAACTTGACTGGTGCTGTTTAACATAACAAATAAATAATGGTTGTAGCAATCACAGATTGTCCCTTTAAGAGTCTCAAAAGGTCATTAACTGATGTTTTCATAGGAATGTTCCCGTGATGAGCAAGGAATGTTTCCAAGAGACCATTCCCTTAATATAAAATAGAACTTACCCAGAACTTGTTTACCATGTTCTCAGAACTTAAGATATTCATGTTCTAAACACGTTTCATTGGAACGTTACAAAAACATATGTGTCCAGTTTTCTGTGGGTTAGGAGAATATTCAATCAACGCCCCTCCAAACATACACAACATGGTTGCCATGTTCTCAGAACATAAGCTATTAAGGTTCTAGACACGTTTCATGGGAACATTGCCAGAACATTTATGTGTCCAATGAAAAATGTATTACACATCACGTCTTGTTACAGAGCCAATCAAGGCCCTGATTGGTGAACCACTGATCCATTCATTGCTCTTTGTCTGTTGGCAAGGTTAGGGATACTCACACACACAGTGCTTTTATTATACACTGAGTGTACAAAACATTAGGAACACTTTCCTAATATTGACTTTCACCCCCTACTTTTGCCCTCAGAACAGCCTCAATTTTTCGGGGCAGGGACTCTACAAGGTGTCGAAAGCGTTCCACAGGGATGCTGGCCCATGTTGAATCCAATGCTTCCCACAGTTGTATCAAGTTGGCTGGATGTAATTTGGGTGGTGGACCATTCTTGATACACACGGGAAACAGTTGAGCGAGAAAAACCCAGCAGCGTTGCAGTTGTTGACACACTCAAACCGGTGCGCCTGGCACCTACTACCATACCCTGTTCAAAGGCACTTAAATATTTTGTCTATTCACCCTCTGAATGGCACACATACACAATCAATGTCTCAATTGTCTTAAGGCTTAAAAGTTATTCTTTAACCTGTCTCCTCCCCTTCAGCTACACTGATTGAAGTGGATTTAACAGGTGACATCAATAAGGGATCATAGCTTTCACCTGGTCAGTCTGTCATGGAAAGAGCAGGTGTTCCTAATATTTTGTTCACTCAGTGTTCAAAGTTTTTAACTTACATATGTGACATACATGATTATATTGTGCATGTTCCTTTATACAATAATTATTATTCAACATGTCCTCACCTGGGATTTGAACTCACAACCTTTTGGTTCATGGTACTCCGATCTTCCTACTACGCTACTATGTCTGTGTTAGGTATCAGTCAATCTGACTATTCTGATCATTGATTTGATTTACTTATTTCAACAATTTAAGGGCTTTCAGTATAGTTCCCTAATGTAGGTGGGGCATATTAATCTGTTTTAATGATACTCCTGAAATCACTATGATCAATAAAAGTTTTTCTTGAGTGTACTTTAAAAAAAGCTAAAATGTACTTCAAAGTGCATTCACCCTATTGCTTACACCTATAATTACTGTATAAATGAACATGTAATCATGTATGTCGAAGTCTGACAAATATGTAAGTTGAAAACACTGTATGTTGAAAGCACTGTGTGTGTGTGCGTATCCCTAAACTTGCCAACTGACAGAAAGAGCTGTGAATGGATCAGTGGTTCCCCATTCAGGGCCTTGATGGGCTTGGTATTGGTATTTTATTAGGATCCCCATTAGCTGTTGCGAAAGCAGCAGCTACTCTTCCTGGGGTCCACACAAAACATGAAACATGACATAATACAGTTACAGTACGCCTTAATAGACAAGATCAGCTCAAGGACAGAACTACATAAATTGAAAAACGGCATACATAGCCTACATATCAATACATACACACAAAATATCTAAGTCAAATAGGGGAGAGGTGTTGTGCCGTGAGGTGTTGCTTTATCTGTTTTTTGAAAACAGGTTTGCTGTTAATTTGAGCAATATGAGATGGAAGGGAGTTCCATGCACTCATGGCTCTATATAATACTGTACGCTTTCTTGAATTTGTTCTGGATTTGTGGACTGTGAAAAGACCCCTGGTGGCATGTCTGGTGAGGTAAGTGTGTGTGTCAGAGCAGTGTGTAAGTTGACTATGCAAACAATTTGGAATTTTCAACACATTAATGTTTCTTATAAAAATAAGAAATTATGCAGTCAGTATCTCCTCAACTCTTAGCCAAGAGAGACTGGCATGCATAGTATTTATATTAGGCATCTGATTACAATGAAGAGCAAGATGTGCCGCTCTGTTCTGGGCCAACTGCAGCTTAACTAGGTCTTTCTTTGCAGCACTTGACCACATGACTGGACAATAATCAAGATAAGACAAAACTAGAGCCTGCAGGACTTGCTTTTTGGAGTGTGGTGTCAAAAACAGAGCATCTCTTTATTATGGACATACCTCTCCCCATCTTTACAACCATTGAATTTATATGTTTTGACCATGACAGTTTACAATCTAAGGTAACACCAAGTAATTTAGTTTCCTCAACTTGTTCAACAGCCACACCAATAATTATCAGATTTAGCTGAGGTCTAGAGCTTAGGGAATGATGTGTACGAAATACAATGCTCTTAGTTTTAGAGACGTTCAGGACCAGTTTATTACTGGCCACCCATTCCAAAACTGACTGCAACTCCTTGTTAAGGGTATCAGTGACTTCATTAGCTGTGGTTGCTGACACGTATATGGTTGAATCATCAGCATACATGGACACACAGGCTTTGTTTAATGCCAGTGGCAGGTCGTTGGTAAAAAATAGAAAAGAGTAGAGGGCCTAGAGAGCTGCCCTGCGGTACACCACACCCTACATGTTTGACATTAGAGAGGCTTCCATTAAAAAAAAAACTCTGAGTTCTATGAGATAAATAGCTCTGAGGTTGAAAAGCCATAAAACATATTTTTTCTCAACAACAGACTATGGTGAATAATATCAAAGGCTGCACTGACATCTAACAGTACAGCTCCCACAATCTTTTTATTATCCATTTATTTCAACCAATCATCAGTAATTTGTGTCAGTGCAGTACGTGTTGAGTGCCCTTCTCTATAAGTCTGTTGTCAATTTGTTTACAGAGAAACACCATTTTTTCCATCAGTTTGCTAAGAGCTGGCAACAAGCTGATAGGTCTGCTGTTAGAACCTGTAAATGCCACTTTACCACTGTTTGCCCTCCAGGCCTGAGGACAAACACCTTCCTCTAGACTCAGATTAAAGATATGACAGATACTTTGCCAATAAAGTAATCATTAAAATAACACCATCTGATTCGATGAAGATGGAGTTGAATTAGTCTTTCTGGACATAATTCATTTAAAGTACTCTAAAAAAATGTTCCCATCATTTTTTATATCATTGATCTTGGCTTCATAATACAGTTTCTTCTTCTTTTTGCAGTAAGTCAGCCAGTCAGATGTGCAGCAGACTTATTAGCCACTCCTTTTGCTCCATCTCTTTCAACCATACAGTTGATCAATTCCTCATCAATCCATGGAGCCTTAACCGTTCTAACAGGCAGTTTCCTAACAGGTGCATGTTTATCAATAATTGGAAGAAGCAATTTCATTAATTCATCAAGTGCAGCGTCTGGATGCTCCTTATTAATCACATCAGACCAACAAATATTTTTTTCATTATCCACATAAGTCTCAGCAAATATTTTGTATGATCTCTTATACACTATTTTAGAACTTTCCTGGATATAGCCACTATATTGTGATCACTGCATCCACTGGGTACGGATACAGCTTTAGAACAAAGTTCTACAGTAAAATATTAGTAAAAATGTGATCAATACATGTGGATGATCTTGTTCCTGTAGTGTTTGTAAACACCCTGGTAGATTGATGAATAACCTGAATCAGATTACAGGCACTGGTTACAGTGAGAAGCTTCCTTTTGAGCGGACAGCTTGATGAAAACCAGTCAATATTCAGTTCTCTGTTTACATCACATACACAATCAAGCATTTCACCCACATTATTTAGATACTGACTGTTAGCACTTGGTGGCCTATAGCAACACCCCAAAAGAATAGGCTTTAGATGAGGCAGGTGAACCTGCAACCACAGCACTTCAATAACACTTGACATGAGATCTTCTCTAAGCATTACAGGGATATGGCTCTGAATATATATAGCAACACCTCCCCATAATCATTCCTGTCTCTTAGATGGTATATCCTTGTATTGCTACTTCTGTATCATCAAAGGAATTATCTAAGTGAGTCTCAGAAATGGCTAATATATGAATGTTATCTGATGTTAGCAAGTTATTGATTTAATGAACCTTATTTCTAAGGCTACATCTTTTGATATGGGCTATTTTCAGCCCTTTCCTGGGTAGCTTCTCAAAGATCGACATAATATGGAAAAGAACAAACAAAGCAAGAGAAAAAAGAAAAGTTCAGCAGGCCATTAATCAGTTGGTGTGTGTAAGTGTGTGTGTGTGCTGCGCGGTTGATGCTACAAACCCATAGGCTTGGAAACAGTAACAAGGCCTGAAAACTGGAAACCAGAATGTTCATGCAACGTTCTCATGAAATGTGTCTAGAACATTCATATCTTCTATTCTGAGAACATGGCAACCCTGTCCTGTGTATGTTTGGAGGGACGTTGATGGGAATATTTTTCGAACCCTCAGACAACTGGACAAATTAATATTATAGCAACGTCCCATAAAACATGTATAGAACATTAATGTTGTATATTCTGAGAACATTGTAACCACGTTCTAGATAAGTTATCCTGACATTATGGGAATATTCCCCTTAACTTTTACACCAAAATATTCTAAAAAGGTTCTCAGAATGTTTTTTGCTAACATTGATAGAATGTTCCCCTAACTAACGGAGAAATGGACACTCAAACATTAAGGGAATATTATGGGTAACATTACAAAAACGCTCTCTCTCCCTAGAATTGTTAGCTGGGAAGCTGATCTCCCCTTGTGCTGGATCACTGACATTCACAAGTGTTCTCACATACTGAACAACCCATATTTCTGTCTGATACGTACCCAGACACATTTCTGACTCATTGTGAGTCATTCTGGTGAAATGTAATCTGCTCTGTTCTGATCCTGTGGGCTGCGTGTGTTAATCTTGGGTTGTGTGTGTGTGTGTGTGTGTGTGTGTGTGTGTAGTTGCCAAGTGTAAAAGTTTAGCGTATGTCAGTGATGGTGCAGGCTCAGGTTGAAGCAGTGTGTGCTTGTGTGTATGTGTGTGTGTGTGTATTTGCCAAGTGTAAGTTTAGTGTGTGTCAGAGATGGTGCAGGGCTGAGGTTGAAGCAGTCTGTGTGTGAGTGTGTGTGGTTGCCAAATGTGTGGTTTGAGAGTGTGCCAAGAGGCCAGCCGGTGAGACAAGGTTTGTGGCTGGGCACTGGATACTGGTACTGGGCTGGGGAGGCTGGGGAGAGAGCTGCTCAGACAGTGACTCAGCCTCCTGCCTCACTCCACCAGGGAGAACAGGCTAGCCCTTTGTACAGGGTGCTGAGGGAGCAGGAGCTGCCTGCCTGGGACACACTCCCTGAGCACCTCTGTAAGACACACACACACATGCAAGCGCAGGCACACATACACACACCAATGGGCTTAATTGGTCGACACACTACTCTCTCAAGGGCCACCACACAAAGACAAAAGAACAACCACAACAAGGAGAGCTCTGCACTCAGAAAGGGGGGAGCGATGTAGAAACGGAGAGAGAGAGAGAGAGAGAGAGAGAGAGAGAGAGAGAGAGAGAGAGAGAGAGAGAGAGAGAGAGAGAGAGAGAGAGAGAGAGAGAGAGAGAGAGAGAGAGAGAGAGAGAGAGAGAGAGAGAGAGAGAGAAGACATCTTACCTTAGCCATCTGAGCCTGGACTCCACCAGCTTTCAGTGCTGTCACTGCTTTCTGTGCCGCAGACGGACTGTCAAAGTCAACAAAGCCATAGCCTGCAGGGACAAAGACAGACATACTTACTTTGAGTTGTGACACTGAGAAGTACATACTATGGCAACAGGCCTAGGGCAGGGATTTTTCTGACTAGGACTATATGACCTGACCAGGAAAAACGTTAAACTATAGACTATAACTAGGGACCAGAGTTATTCCTTGCCAGGAACATGATAATGAAAAACACCTGTCCCTAAGCATGAGCATAGAGATAGATACAGTATCTACCTATGGGCATGACACCTCAAATCATGCAGGTCCTGTGCAGGTAAGCGTTGAATGGGGCTGAAACAGCAGACAGGTTAAGGATAATATGACAGAACAGATTCTCTCCACTACTGCACTGTGGTCAGGTTTAGGATAATGCTACAGAACAGAACCTCTGTTGTGGAGACAGGTTTAGGAGAATAGTCTATCCCTCTACTGTGGCCAGATGTGGAGTTACTGTATGTAACCAACGGTGGAGTTACTGTATGTAACCAACGGTGGAGTTACTGTATGTAACCAACGGTGGAGTTACTGTATGTAACCAACGGTGGAGTTACTGTATGTAACCAACGGTGGAGTTACTGTATGTAACCAACGGTGGAGTTACTGTATGTAACCAACGGTGGAGTTACTGTATGTAACCAACGGTGGAGTTACTGTATGTAACCAACGGTGGAGTTACTGTATGTAACCAACGCTAAGCTGCCTACAATGGCGTTATGGGTAACATCACGAAACACCTGCTGAGAATAAACAGACAGAGGCTCTCTGGGATGTTTGCACGTAATGTTTGAGCTGTGTGTGACATACAACTGCGTGTAGGTGTGGTGTGTTTGTGTGTGTGTTTGTGTTTGTGTTTGTGTGTGTGTCCATGCGTTTGTGTTTGTGTGCGTCTGTGTTTGTGTGTGTGTCCATGCGTTTGTTTGTGCGGGTGTATGTTTTTTTTTACAAAACACCTCTCCTCACCTTTGCATTTGTTGGTGGTCTTGTCCAGGATGGCTTTAGTGGACACAATTTTCCCATACCTGGAAAACACAAAGGTGGATGGATGGTCAGGGTTTCTGGGGACCAAACAATGCTTCTACTGTGTACAGACCATTTTTTCATTACTATCATCATATCATCTTAGCTGACAGGGTTGAGGTATTATAAAGGCTTTAGGGGTCTAATCTAGTTCAAAGTGATTACGGTATGTGAATTGAACTAATTGATCTGTGGAAATACGTTTTGAGAAGTGGAATGTGGTATGGAGTAGAACGGGTGGAGTGATTCCCAAAAGGATTCCCACATCCTACTCAATCCAACATCACTCCATCAATGTATATGAGGCTCATCATAACCCTGTCATCAAGGCGGAGCACACTGTGAAATGGAGTGTTGGTGTAGTGTAGATAAGCAATACTACATTACACACTGTGTATGTCACACCCTGATCTGTTTCACCTGTCTTTGTGATTGTCTCCACTCCCCTCCAGGTGTCGCCCATCTTCCCCATTATCCCCAGTGTATTTATACCTGTGTTGTCTGTTTGTCTGTTGCCAGTTCGTTTTGTTTCGTCAAGCCTACCAGCGTTTTTCCCCTTTCCCCCCTGTTTCATAGTTTTCCCGGTTTTGACCATTCTGCCTGGCCTGACCCTGAGCCTGCCTGCAGTTCTGTACCTTGTCACACCACCCTGGATTATTGATTTGCCTGCCCTGACCCTGAGACTGCCTGCCGTTATGTACCTTTTGGACTCTGATCTGGATTGTTGACCTCTGCCTGCCCTTGACCTGTCGGTTGCCTGCCCCCTGTTTTTGTAATAAACCTTTGTTACTTCGACACTGTATGCATCTGGGTCTTCTCCTGAAACGTGATAGTACGAACTGGCCATGACTGACCCAGCAAACTCGGACCAGCTCCGCAACGCCATCTCCTCCCAAGGAGCCACCATTGGAAGTCACGAGGAGTTGCTTCATGGTCTCATGGAAGGGTTCCAGACCTTGGCCGAACGCCATGACCAAGCGGGAGCAATTCCGCGGGTTGTCTGTTAGGCAGCCTACCACGACGGTAACCTCTCAGCCCCTCAGTAACCCAGATATTAGCAGCGCGGCCTCCCCGGCCACCCCGGTTTCCCGAGAACCCCGCTTACCTCCCCCGGAACGCTTCGCTGGAGAGTCGGGAACCTGTCGGGCATTTCCCGCTCAGTGTTCGCTCATCACCGAGCTGCAGCCCTCCTCCGTCCCCTCAGACCACTCTAAGATAGTGTACCTCATCCCACTGATGTCCGGGAGGGCTCTCGCCTGTGCTACGGCAGTGTGGGAACAACAGTCGGCCGTATGCTTCAGTCTGGAGGAGTTCATGCAGGAGGTAAAGAAGGTTTTCGACGCTCCATTGTCCGGGAGCGAGGCTGGCCGGAAGTTACTCCAGCTTCGGCAAGAATCCCGCATTGTGGCAGACTATGCATTGGATTTCTGCACGTTGGCAGCTGAGTGTGCCTGGAACCCGGAAGCGCTGTTTGACACGTTCTTGCACGGAGTATCGGAGGAAGTAAAGGATGAGCTTGCAGCCCGGGAACTACCGACAGATCTCGACTCGCTCATCGCCTTGACCATTCGGATCGATGGGCGACTACGGGAATGAAGGAAGGAGAGGAAGGATTCCACCTCGCCTCCGAGGCATCCCGGAAGTCCCCAACGGTTCCGTTGCTGAGAGAACCCGAGGCTACCCGAGTTCCCCCGAGAGTCTCCGAAGTCTGCCGATTCACCTCTTTCCGAGCCGATGAAACTAGGCAGAGCTAGCCTGTCTCCAGCCGAACGGCAATACAGGCTTCACACACATTTTTTTTAAATATTTTTTTTATTTCACCTTTATTCAACCAGGTAAACCAGTTGAGAACAAGTTCTCATTTACAACTGCGACCTGGCCAAGATAAAGCAAAGCAGTGCGATAAAAACAACAACACAGAGTTACATATGGGGTAAAACAAAACAAAGTCAAAAATACAACAGAAATACATATATATACAGTGTGTGCAAATGTAGCAAGTTATGGAGGTAAGGCAATAAATAGGCTATAGTGCAAAATAATTACAATTAGTATTAACACTGGAATGATAGATGTGCAAGAGATGATGTGCAAATAGAGATACTGGGGTACAAATGAGCAAAATAAATAACAATATAGGGATGAGGTAGTTGGGCGGGCTAATTTCAGATGGGCTGTGTACAGGTGCAGTGATCGGTAAGGTGCTCTGACAACTGATGCTTAAAGTTAGTGAGGGAGATAAGTGTCTCCAGCTTCAGAGATTTTTGCAATTTGTTCCAATCATTGGCAGCAGAGAACTGGAAGGAATTGCGGCCAAAGGAGGTGTTGGCTTTGGGGATGACCAGTGAGATATACCTGCTGGAGCGCAGACTACGGGTGGGTGTTGCTATGGTGACCAATGAGCTAAGATAAGGCGGGGATTTGCCTAGCAGTGATTTATAGATGGCCTGGAGCCAGTGGGTTTGGCGACGAATATGTAGTGAGGACCAGCCAACAAGAGCGTACAGGTCACAGTGGTGGGTATTATATGGGGCTTTGGAGACAAAACGGATGGCACTGTGATAGACTACATCCAATTTGCTGAGTAGAGTGTTGGAGGCTATTTTGTAAATGACATCGCCGAAGTCAAGGATCGGTAGGATAGTCAGTTTTACGAGGGCATGTTTGGCAGCATGAGTGAAGGAGGCTTTGTTGCGAAATAGGAAACCGATTCTAGATTTAACTTTGGATTGGAGATTCTTAATGTGAGTCTGGAAGGAGAGTTTACAGTCTAACCAGACACCTAGATATTTGTAGTTGTCCACATACTCTAGGTCAGACCCGTCGAGAGTAGTGATTCTAGTCGGGTGGGCGGGTGCAAGCAGCGTTCAGTTGAAGAGCATGCATTTAGTTTTACTAGTGTTTAAGAGCAGTTGGAGGCTACTGAAGGAGTGTTGTATGGCATTGAAGCTCGTTTGGAGGTTTGTTAACACAGTGTCCAATGAAGGGCCAGATGTATACAAAATGGTGTCGTCTGCGTAGAGGTGGATCTGAGAGTCACCAGCAGCAAGAGCGACGTCATTGATATACACAGAGAAAAGAGTCGGCCCAAGAATTGAACCCTGTGGCACCCCCATAGAGACTGCCATAGGTCCAGACAACAGGCCCTCCGATTTGACACATTGAACTCTATCTGAGAAGTAGTTGGTGAACCAGGCGAGGCAATCATTTGAGAAACCAAGGCTATTTAGTCTGCCAATAAGAATGCGGTGGTTGACAGAGTCGAAAGCCTTGGCCAGGTCAATGAAAACGGCTGCACAGTACTGTCTATTATCGATCGCGGTTATAATATCGTTTAGGACCTTGAGCGTGGCTGAAGTGCACCCATGACCAGCTTGGAAACCGGATTGCATAGCGGAGAAGGTACGGTGGGATTCGAAATGGTCGGTGATCTGTTTCTTGACTTGGCTTTCAAAAACTTTTGAAAGGCAGGGCAGGATGGATATGGGTCTGTAACAGTTTGGATCTAGAGTGTCACCCCCTTTGAAGAGGGGGATGACCGCGGCAGCTTTCCAATCTCTGGGGATCTCAGACGTTACAAAAGAGAGGTTGAACAGGCTAGTAATAGGGGTTGCGACAATTTCGGCGGCTAGTTTTAGAAAGAAAGGGTCCAGATTGTCTAGCCCAGATGATTTGTAGGGGTCCAGATTTTGCAGCTCTTTCAGAACATCAGCTGTCTGGATTTGTGTGAAGGAGAAGCGGGGGGGGGCATGGGCAAGTTGCAGCGGAGGGTGCAGAGCTGGTGGCCAGGGTAGTGGTAGCCAGGTGGAAAGCATGGCCAGCCGTAGCAAAATGCTTGTTGAAATTCCAAAATGCTTGTTGAAATAGTTGCCTGTATTGCGGGACTACTGGTCATTTTGTGTCCACCTGTCCACTAAAAGACCAGGCTCACCGGTAGGATCGAGTACTCTGGTGGGCCATACGGATACCTTTTCCTCTCCCCTTACTCGCACCCCCTTTCATGCAATCTTGCTGTGGGGGAACCAGTCAAAATCTCTCTGGGTACTCATCGACTCTGGGGCCGATGAGAGCTTAATGGACGCTACCCTGGCGTCCCCACTCAGCTCTTCTCCATTCCCATGGATGTTAGAGCGCTGGACGGGCGCTCTATAGGCCGGGTCATCCACAATACCACCCCCATCAACCTACGAGTGTCAGGGAACCACAGCGAGACGATCCAATTCCTGCTAATTAAGTCTCCTCAGGTTCCCGTGGTATTGGGTTTATTGACTGGTCTACTGGTGCCATCATGGGCTGGAGCCTGTTCTGCCACGCTCATTGCCTGAAGTCAGCACAGCCTTCCCCGGGACGTCTTCCTGGCGGCTCGAAAGTTGCCTCGGCCCTCTCCGCCATTCCCACGGAGTACGAGGACCTCCGGGAGGTGTTCAGTAAGGCACGGGCCACTTCGCTTCCACCGCACCGACCCTACGACTGCGGAATCAACCTTCTCCCAGGCACCACTCCGCCCCGGGGACGACTGTACTCACTGTCGGGTCCGCAGACCAAGGCTATGGAGACCTACATTGAGGACTCCCTAGCTGCCGGGTTCATCCGTCCTTCTGCCTCCCCCGCCGGCGCAAGGTTCTTCTTTGTGGAGAAGAAGGACAAAACCCTGTGCCCGTGCATCGACTACCGGGGCCTCAACGACATCACGGTGAAGAACCGCTACCCGCAACCACTCATGTCCTCGGCCTTCGAGCCGCTCCAGGGGGCCAAAGTATTCTCCAAGCTGGACCTACGGAATGCCTACCACCTGGTGCGGATACGGGAGGGGGACGAGTGGAAGACTGCCTTCAACGCGGTCACTACAAGTATCTGGTCATGCCATTTGGCCTTACCAATGCCACAGCTGTGTTCCAGGCCCTGGTTAGTGATGTTCTCCGCTACATGTTGAACCGGTTCGTCTTCGTCTACCTCGACGACATCCTCGTCTTCTCCCACTCTGCCCAAGAACACGTGCTCCACGTCCGACAGGTCCTCCAACGCCTCCTGGAGAACCAGCTTTTTGTGAAAGCTGAGAAATGCGAATTCCATCGCTCCACCATCCCCTTCCTGGGCTACATCATTGCTGCAGGGAGTGTAGAGATGGATCCCGGGAAGGTGAGAGCGGTGGTGGATTGGCCCCAGCCTACATCCAGAGTGCAGCTGCAACGTTTCCTGGGATTCACCAACTTTTATCGCTGCTTTATCTGGGGTTACAGCACCCTGGCTTCCCCCGTCTGCACTCATCTCTCCCAAGGTTCCGTTCACATGGTCCCCAGCTGCTGAAAGGGCATTCCAGGACCTCAAACACCGTTTCACCACTGCTCCCATCTTGGTTCATCCTGACCCGTCCCGCCAGTTCGTGGTGGAGTCCGACGCTTCGGATGTCGGAATGGGGGCGGTCCTGTCCCAGCGTTCGGCCCTGGACCTCAAGTTAAATGCCTGCGCCTTCTTCTCCCATCGCCTCAACACCACGGAGAGGAATTACAATGTGGGGAATCGTGAGCTTCTTCGCAGTGAAGATGGCATTGGAGGAGTGGAGGCACTAGCTGGAGGGGGCGGAACATCCGTTCATTGTGTGGACGCACCACAAGAACTTGGAATATCTCCACACCGCCAAGCGTCTCAATTCCAGGCAAGCTAAGTGGGCCCTGCTTTTCACCCGGTTCAACTTCTCCCTCTCATACTGACCGGGATCCAAGAATGTCAAGCCAGATGCGCTGTCACGACGCTATAGCCCCGCGGCTACACCCCCGGAATCCGAGACCATCCTTCCCACCTTGTGCTTGGCGACGGCACTCCGTTGGGGAATAGGGAAGCAGGTACGGGAGGCGCAGCGTTCCCAGCCGAACCCCGGGGGGGGCCCAGATTACCGGATGTTTGTTCCTGACGCTGTCCACTCCTTGGTCCTGGAGTGGGCCCACTCCTCCAGGCTTACCTACCACCCGGGCTCCTGTTGGACCCTGGCCTTTGTGCGTCAATGCTTTAGGTGGGCTATCATGGTTCCTGACATCTCCGCGTTCATCGCTGCCTGCACGATCTGTGCGCAGAACAAGACTCCTCGGCAAGCTCCGGCTGGTCTCCTCCAACCTCTACCTGTTCCTCACCGTCCCAGGTCTCACATATCCCTGGACTTTGTCACAGGTCTTCCCCCGTCTGATGGCAACACCGCCATCCTGACAGTTGAGGACCGGTTTTCCAAAGCCACCCACTTCATTCCTCTCCCCAAGCTACCCTCCGCCAAAGAGACGGCCCAGCTCATGGTGCAGCACGTCTCCGACCGGGGTCCTCAGTTCTCGTCCCAGTTCTGGAAGGCGTTCTGCACACTCATTGGGTCGTCGGCCAGCCTGTCCTCCGGTTTCCACCCTCAGCCCAACGGCCAGTCGGAGCAAGCTAACCAAGATCTGGAGACGACTCTGCGATGCCTGGTCTCTGCCAACCCCACCACCTGGAGCCAGCAACTAGTGTGGGTCGAATACGCCCGCAACACCCTTCCCTGCTCTGCTACGGGTCTTTTGCCCTTTGAGTGTTCCCTTGGTTATCAGCCCCTGCTCTTCCTGGAGCAAGAGGAAGAGGTCGGCATACCCTCGGCCCCGATGTTTGTCCGCTGCTGTCGTCGTACCTGGATGGCTCTTCTCAAGACCACCTCCAGGTATTGACGACAAGCGGACCACCACCGGACCCCAGCTCCCCGGTATCGTCTCGGGCAGAAGGTATGGTTGGCCACCCGAGATTTGCCCCTCCGGGTGGAGTCCCGCAAACTTTCCCCCCCGGTTTATCGGCCCTTTCCCCATCTCCAAGATCATTAGCCCCTCTGCTGTTCGTCTTCTGTTGCCCCGTACCCTCCGTATACATCCCACTTTTCATGTATCTAGGATCAATCCCATGTCTCACACCCCTTTGTCTCCTGCTTCCAGGCCGATCCCTCTCCACGTCTCATTGACGGCCAACCGGCGTACATGGTGAGGCGTCTCCTGAAGGTTCGACCTCAGGGCAGGGGCTTCCAGTCCCTGGTTGACTGGGAGGGTTATGGCCCGGAGGAGAGTTGCTGGGTCCCCGGTAGGGACATCTTGGACCCAGGCCTCATCGCTGAGTTTCAACGCTGGCACCCCGGCCAACCATGTATGCACCCAGGTAACATGCCAGGTGGCGCCCCTAGAGGTGGGAGTACTGTCACACCCTGATCTGTTTCACCTGTCTTTGTGATTGTCTCCACCCCCCTCCAGGTGTCTCCCATCTTCCCCATTATCCCTAGTGTATTTATACCTGTGTTCTCTGTTTTTCTGTTGCCAGTTCGTTTTGTTTTGTCAAGCCTACCAGCGTTTTTCCCCTTGCTCCTGTCTTTTTCAAGTTCCTGTTTTCTAGTTTTGACAATTCTGCCTGCCCTGACCCTGAGCCTGCCAGCCATTCTGTACCTTGTCACACCACCCTGGATTATTGACCTCTGCCTGCCCTGACCCTGAGACTGCCTGCCGTTCTGTACCTTTTGGACTCTGATCTGGATTACTGACCTCTGCCTGCCCTTGACCTGTTGTTTGCCTGCCCCCTGTTTTTGTAATAAACTTTTGTTACTTCGACACTGTCTGCATCTGGGTCTTCTCCTGAAACGTGATAGTGTAGTACTAAATATAACTAAACCAATACGCTTTCCCTCTGTTTCCTAGCAACCATACATTGCTGTCTTACTCATTTTACTCATCTGACTTAATCATGTTCTTTCCAGGAGGAACATATAGGGCCTGTACATGCTGTCTATTAATGCATATTGTAGCGCTAGCTTATAATAAATGACCCAATGCATTATTGATCATTGTTTTGTTGTAGTTGGAAATATAGTGATCTCCAAAAGTATTGGGACAGTGACATTTATTGTGTGGTTTTGGCTCTGTACTCCAGCACTTTGGATTTAGAATGATACAATTACATTATTTACCATTCATTTCTATTGGGCACCAAATAATCTGAAACACAACCAAAACAAAACAGCAAATGCATTCAACAAGTTTGTAAAATCACAAGCTTGATCTAATCATTGCATGCTAGGAATATGGGACCAAATACTAAACTTTGGACTACTTTAATACACATGTGAATTTGTCCCAATACTTTTGGTCCCCTATGTACAAAAAGTGCTGTAATTCCTAAACGGTTCACCCGATATGGAAATACCCTCAAATTAAAGCTGACAGTCTGCACTTTTTTAACCTCATCGTCATTGTATCGTTTCAAATCCAAAGTGCTGGAGTACAGAGCCTAAACCACACAAAATGTGTCACTGTCCCAATACTTTATAGCTCACTGTATATGTAGAAGCCTTGACTTAATTATCTGTGTTCCAGGAGGAACACATTGGGCATGTACATTGCTGTATAGTAATTATTTGTACTGTAGACCTAGCTTTACGATCTCCCTTGTTTCTGCACCAACACTGCAGAAGCAGGATATCAACTCCCTGCATCTCTCTCGGCATGTGCATGTTCTGTAACCTGATCTCACTCTCCTTGCCTTGGCTGTGCTGTTATGTGCTGTACAAGCAAACCTGCCTGGCTGGCTGGCTGGTTGGGATCCACCGCAACACTCTCTCTCTCACTCTGCTAGCTAACACAACACCCAGAACAGAGCCTCATCTCTGGGTCCTACTGCCCCTCTATCTACCTAGCATAGCTACCCCAGCTTTACAGCAGGGTTTAGGCACACACTAACCAAAGGAGTAAGGGCTGCCCTTGCCCTTCTCTTTTAGCACAGATTTAACTTTTTTACTACAGCATGTGAACATCACACACTTGTTAAGGAGACGGGTGTTTTGAAAATCCTCTCATTGTTTCTCAACCTGCACTGTACTGCACTAACAGATACAGACAGGACAGGTAGCCCCTGTTCTTTCTATACACATGTTCCTCCAACTGGCATATACAGGTATTTGGTATATTCCAAAAATAGGCTACTAAAAGCTAACAGGAAAATAAGCTATTCTGCATATATTACACTGGTGTCTCCAATTCCAAACAACTTTAGAGATTGAATTAGCTAAAGTACATTCTCCACCATACTGTAAATGTGCTTTAAAGCAAACTTGTGCTATATGCATTTGACCTCTAATGTAACATTACTATTTCATATTACGTTTGATGATCTATGCAGGATGCCATCAAATACATTATGCTTTGGCATAACATATCCATTATTTTCTAGTGACATCAACAATACATTATTTATGGGTAGTATTGCTCTGTGTGCAAATGAAAAGCACTCCTAGAATAATCCAACTGCATGGGGGAAACTGGTTGCTACTAGCTCTCTGCTCTGGGCATTATATCGTCTTTGCAGGCCTCCTTAGTTGAGCTGTGAATATCCCCATAGAATACTGCATGAGGGAAAGATTGCTACAAGCTCTCTCTCTCTCCTCCTGGGTACTAGCTGTGTACAGTACAGTTTTTGCTGGCCTCCTTAATTGTGCAATGAAGAGATGCCCATCTACTAGTGCATTCAGCTGGTAGGTCTGACTCTGTGGCTATATAATGTGGAGAGGGGGAGGTTGGAGGGGAAGGAGACTCAGCCATGTGTGAGAGAGCAGAGAGCAGATAGTACAGTGTCTAGCACAGCACCCATAGTCAGCTAAAGCCAGGCCAGAGCCAGCCACTCAAAGAGGCTGCGCTGCTGGGGCTAGGAGGCAGAACAACCTCCCATCCATTCCCCCCAGACCTGAGCGTTTGATTGCGCATGTCAATTGTGTTCCAGATGGGCAAGGTTTGCACTTATGAAACTCGTCCATTGATTCCATTGCACCAGGCAAGCCTAATCAGATAGTATTTGAAGGATTTAACATACTATCTGAACCCAGGTGCTCAGAGTTCCTCGCCTCACATGGAGCAACTGGCAGTTAGTTATGTCAGGCTTCATGTTTCCTGTAGTTTTCACTTCGTCATTAATTTCATGACTTTATTCATGTTCTTCCCCGTATCGCCAAGCTCTCTATAGTTACATACACTGATTGTAGAAAACATTAGGAACACCTTCCTAATATTGAGTTGCACCCCTTTTGCCCTCAGAACAGCATCAATTCGTCAGGACATGGACTCTACAAGGTGTCGAAAGCGTTCCACAGGGATGCTACCCATGTTGACTCCAATGCTTCCCACAGTTGTGTCAAATTGGCTGGATGTCCTTTGGGTGGTGGACCATTCTTGATACACACAGGAAACTGTTGAGCGTGAAAAACCCAGCAGCGTTGCAGTTCTTGACACAAACCGGTGCGCCTGGCACCTACTACCATACCTTGTTCAAATGCACATAAATATTTTGTCTTGCCATTCACCCTCTGAATGACACAAATACACAATCGATGTCTCAATTGTCTCAAGGCTTAAAAATCCTTCTTTAACATGTCTCCTCCCCTTCATCTACACTGATTGAAGTGGATTTAACAAGTGACATCAATAAGGGATCATAGCTTTCACCTGGATTCACCTGGTCAGTCTATGTCATGGAAAGTTCCTAATGTTTTGTACACTCAGTGTATATACAGTAGAGTAGACCTTGCTTAGCACCATCCATTCTTATTTTATTGTCTCTTTTTAACATAGCATATTTTCATCTCAATAATGGTATAGAAAACCGTACACCTTGTTTAATGCCCTCCTCTACTCAAAAGCAAATTTCATGTAGTGATTTTATCTACTCTGTAAAAGCAGAACTACCCACATACCACCTCACACAGAAAACCTTAACTCCCTACATTCCTACGCCTAATTCCCCCTCTCTCTTCAACCCCGCCCCCTCTCTCCCTCCATCCCCCTCTCCCTCCCGCTCTCTCTCTCCATCCCCCTCTTCATGCCACTGGCCTTGTTTGTATTTCCCTTTTCCCTGGGCTCAGGGTTTCCTGTGGGGTTGGGCAGCCTCATGTGAGCCATATCTTCCAGACAGCTGGAAAATAGCAGACCTCACTCCTTCTCCTTCTCTCCTTCCCCCCCCCCTCTCGGTTTCTCTTCCTCTGATTCCTTTTCTCTCCCTCTCTACTTCCCACCCTCTCTCTCCTTCATTCACTTTCTCCCCCTGTTTATCTCTCCTTCCCTCTCCCTCCCCCTCATCTCTCTCCTTCCTTCCCTCTCCCCTCTCTTTATGTCTCACACTTTCTACTGTTTTGTTTCTCATCAAGCTCCAGTATTCAATTAAGAGCAGCAAACTCATTCATCTTCACCCAACTGGCTTTTTCATGTGGTGTTTTATTGAAGATCTAACAGACACAGACCAAGTGGCTCTGGCATGGCAGTTCTGGTTATCACTGCTGTGTGTATAATGCATATTGGAAATGCTGTATATGACTGCAATCATATTTTATTTTTTTATATGCAGAGATACCAACCACTCGGACCACTGGAAGCTGAGTGAGCTCATTCTCTGGTGATGGCAAGACCATCATACAGAGAGGAAGCACCAGGGAGAGAGACAAAACGTGCTTAGTAAGCTAGCTGTTGGAAAGTCTGCCCTCAGTTGTGCCAGCCTGAAAGGTCTGAGGTTACAACCCAAGCTCCTGTTGATCTTTCCACAGGCCACTGACTGGTGACATACTTGTGAAATGTGCACCCACTTCTTGCCTTTTCAGCTAAAGCATTATTTCAGGCCCTCTCTATCCCCATTAACACAATTTCCTCTTCCACCTCAGTTCATTTATTTTACACAGAGCCATAGCTTCACTGTGAGGTGTTGTGTGGTAGAGGAGTGATTTGTTGATGAGCTACTCACGGCTGACACAGTTTGACAAGGTCCTGGTCTGTGGTTCCCGGGTGGAGGCCGCGGATGTAGAGGTTAGTTTTGCTCAGCTGCTCTGCACTGAGGCTGCCGTTACTGCTGCTGCTGGTGGTGGTGGGGTTCGGGCTGGTTAGAGACATCTGGTGGCTGGAGGACACATATGTCGGCTGGGGCGAGACAGAGACGGGATATGACATCAGCAACAAGATATGATTACATTGGGTAGTAGCTGGCTAGCATGTACACAAGATTTGATTCTGGGTGAGATTAGACATCTGGTGATGATGTAACGGAGGTGGTTTGATAAAACCAATTTGTGTGATGAGTAGGCTAACCTTGCTTGAGACGTTATGCCTATAGGCTTTGGCTCAGCAGGCTAAAATGGGCAGGAAACCCAGATTTGAACCCCAATCTGTCACAGTAAAATGCTACAATCCTCTACAGTCCACAATCCTGAAAAGGCACGTCCATTAGATCACATCTGGGCTGTTATCAGTCAACTCTCCAGGCTGTTCATGATCCACCTACTTATACTTAACTAGAGTGTAACCTAATCTACAAAAATCTATTAAGAAAACAATTAGCAGGATCACCAGTTACAGTGGATGGTTAAGCAAAGGGCAACATGTCAATATAGCACCCAATGATCCGGGGCCAGGGCTGAGAAATCAATATCAATTTGGTTATTTCACTACACTGCCTCCTAGATAGGATTTCAGTGTACTTAACTGTCTGCTAGATAGGATTGCAGTGTACTTAACTGTCTGCTAGATAGGCTTTCAGTGTAAGGCTACCATGGTCTGTAATGGGGGCAATCATAACATAAAACATTACCATCATGACCTATAATCACCAGACCATGGATACACTTCTAGACAGAGAACTCTTCACATGAATCACATTTCAGTTGAGTCGGCACTCTGCAGGGCTGCAATAGACACAACTCAATTTATATCAAGACTGAGCTAACCCCGCTTTGGAGGGGAAATTGGATGGACCTCAGTAGCCGAATGAGCTTGATTCCAGCCCCCAGTAGTCACCTCCCACTCTGTTAATAACCCCCTGCTCCACTCTGCTGCAGTACTAACCTAGTGGTGTCCAACTACCTGGACCATTGGTAACCCGCTCTAATGAAACAGTTGCTCTTCTTCCTCTTTCCCCTCCTCCTCCTCCTCCTCTTCTCTCTCTAACAGTTTACATCCTTCCCAAACCATTGCTCTACTGCTGTACCTTTCTGTCTGTGTTTCCACAGTTTTGTATTCAACATGGCCATCACAAGATCCAGCAGCACCCAGCCTTGAACCCCTCCATAAACCAGAAGAGTTTTACCACCCCTTCATTAATCACAGTTGTTACTCTCACAGAGCCCATTCATTCACCATAGCCATTCTACACCTCTAATCTGCCTCTTTTCAGCATCAGTAGCATGGCAGCACACTGTTTGTTTTCCCACAATCACAACCTCTTCCTGTGGCTTGCTCTTGCCTTCACTCCCAGCCTACCAGCCTGCATGGAGACCCTATCAGGAGGGATGCACCTGCCTGGGTACTGGGTAGATAGTATCTGTATGTGGCTGGTGAATGGATGGTGCTGGGTCAGGGTATGGCTATAGAATCTGTATGATACTGAATGGAGTTGTATTAAGCCTGGTGGTAGATAAAAATCTGTATGCTGGATGGGGCCTAGGCCTAGATGAGGCCTGTCTGGATCTGTGTGTTGGATGGATGATGGGGCGGGATAGATGTGGCCTGGGCCTGGCTAAAGGATTGATGTGCTGTTTGATAGAGGATGGAGCCTGGCTCTGGTGCTAAATAGAGCTGTATGCTGCTGGATGAGACCTGTCTGGATATATGTGATGGATGGATGGGGATGGATGGATGGGGATGGATGGATGGGGCCTGGGGGAGCTAATTGGGGAGCTTGCTAGAGGAAGGCACTAATCCCTCTCATGTGCTCTCCAGTCAGAAGGTACTGTCTCATTAAGGCTGCTCTGCTCTGCTCGTTCTAAGACAAGGAAGATGGCAGAGAACCAGCGAATCAGATGGATCCATACCCACCAGGCTCCCATCTGCCTGCCTGTCTGTCTGCCTGCCTGCGGCCTGCCTGTCTGTCTGTCTGCCTGTCTGCCTGCCTGCCTGCCTGTCTGCCTGCGGCCTACCTGTCTGCCTGCGGCCTGCCTGCCTGCCTGCCTGCCTGCCTGTCTGTCTGTCTGTCTGTCTGGCTGCTGCCTGCTGCCTGCTTGCCTGTCTGCCTGCGGCCTGCCTGCCAGCTCCAGGTGTTCTGTTCTGCCAAACAGTACAGAAGGGCTCCCATGAAAAAGAGATTCATATCTCAATGGGACTCACCTGGTTAGATAAAGAACAAATAATGTGTGCAGTCAGTGTGTGTAGTTCATCTTTCATTTGTTTCTGAACATGCTTATAAATCACAAATCTTGTGTCATTACCACAGCAGCAGCAGCAGCAGCATTAGAATGTGGAGTTAAATTATTTCTTTACATTCCCACGCCATAAACAAATGTTTGTGTTAGTTAGTTACCCTCAGAATGGGGGGTAAGACAGAGGGTGTTTCTTTTCTACAGCCGTTTTCACGTTCTCCACATTCCTAAAAGCCTCATTAGTACCGGAACACAGACTAAAGAATGTGTCTCTCAAGACAATGAAGGCTTAAAGGAAAGCTCCACCCAATAACTATGTTTTGGTATTTGTTTCATTAGTCCATTGTTAATATAGTCCCAACATCTTTTGCATGTCAGCAATCATGTTTTCAACATTTGTAACTTTCAAAATACATAAATATGATGCTGCGTTTTGCATCATATGATGCAAAATGCATCATACCGGCTGTATTTCTATATTTTGAAAGTTATATATCTTGAAAACTTGATTGCTGACATGCAAAATATTTTGGGACTATATCAACAATGGACTAATGAAACAAATACCAAAATATAGTTTTTGGGTGGAGTTTTTCTTTAAATGTGACTGAGTAGTGGGAAAATCCTAGTCTTGTCCCATACTGTTTGTATGTGCTGTAGCCGACACTTCTACCATTGGCAAGCCATACATCTTTGGCATACCAATGATCGAACACAGAGAGGAGTTGGCTAATAGCACAAGCAGACAGGATCCAGCACCAGGCTAGGAAAACCCTACTTTTAAAATCCCCCGGTTAACACTTTATTACCTAAATGTACAATGCTCTATATCTTGTTAGAAGCACTTAGAGCCTTTAGAATGTATTGCAATAGGGCTTTATACAATATAATATCCCAAGTGCAGTCTTTCCATTCTTTACCAGTACATAATAGGACATATTTAAGAGACATTTTAAAGTGTGGGTGATTGCTCTGAGCTGTTCCTTCTTCTCTCATTGAACTATAGCACTGTACTATTAGCCCTGGAGGTTATTGGGTGTCTGTTTCCACAATGTACAGTATGTTGCTGTACACAGCACGTGATGGATTTTTGCTCACACACCTCAGGCCACAGCTGGGGTGAATCTCAAAAGTATGTTCTTCGATTCCTCACATCCACACTCCTTACCTCCTTCTCAAAGCGTCACAGGGAAGCAAGGAAAGCTTTGGAGAAGAAGATCCAAGGAGAAAACCTTGATATTTTACTGATATGATCCCAGTTCTATTCATATTCAGTTCTCAATAAACACATTTTCAAAATCTGTCAACATTGCACATTCGGCACAAACACATCACACATTGCATGACAATCTATTTCTGTGAAAATAAATACATGTTTTATCTTAAAATACAGAAGAAGAAAAATCTGTCTGAAAAAGCAAAGGCCTACCTGCTTGGCACAAGAGATTTTCAGAGGCATGGTAGAAAAGATCATGTTTATGAAAAAACAAGCTCTCTGTTTTTGCTGCCTGGTACTGGATTCTGCCACAGTGTGCAGAAAAGGTTTTGGGGTGAAAAAACAGCGATGGCACTCTTCTGATGCTTCTACTTCAACCTGCAACCTCACCAACTCTTCAACAATATAGAGACAGCAGGTGGGGCTTCATCCTTCTCCTCCTCTCTCTGAGTCAATCCAATTCTACACTCAAAGGCACAAAAAACCTAAACCTGCAAACTCTTTTTGTTTTAGATACGCAGAAAATACATTAAAGAAAGAGAAAATGAAGAAAGAGCAATCTGAAGAAAGAGAAAAACACATAGGGTTTGAGAAAAGGGGTTCGCTTCACTCTATACAGAGGAAAGATCTGGTGGCTCCCTTGTCCATGGGATCTGAACCACTCACAGCCAAAGAAATCAAGGTATGTGAGAGGGAAAAAATAAGAAAATGGGGGAGGAGGGAAGAGAGGAGGAGAGGTGGGTAATCAAAAGCAGGAGAAAGAAAGAAAGAAAGAAAGAAAGAAAGAAAGAAAGAAAGAAAGAAAGAAAGAAAGAAAGAAAGAAAGAAAGAAAGAAAGAAAGAAAGAAAGAAAGAAAGAAAGAAAAGAAAGTGAAAAAAAATCTTAATCCCTCTCTTTCCTCCACCCTTTTCCCCTTGTATAAAAAATACACAGAGCAGAGTTTGCCACTTGACCTTGGGTTTACATGTTTTCCCTCAGAGTGACTTTTGAGCTCTCACAATGAGCAAAAAAAAAGGCATGAGTTTGCAAAAGCGGAGTAGCAGACACCCCTTCTATCCTGACATGAGCACCTTGTTTGAAGCCAGAGTAGTGCACTGTATAGGGAATAGGGTGCCATTTGGGATGCAAACAGAATTCCATGAATCTGAGCAATCTGAATTCCTGCTAACCATGACGCAGGGAAAGGAATAACACAGCCCTGGGAGGTGGGAACTAGTGTTATGTTTCAGGAAAGTTAAACACTACCATGGCCTATGTCAGCAATGTTGCACCAAGTCAACACCAAGATTCACAATGTAGAATAATAAAATATGCTATTGACAGAAGAAACATGCAATTTTTCCCATCCATAATGTGAAAGCATCAGGATCAAAACTAGGATCACAAAAAAAGTGAATTATAATGTTTTATTTTACAATTATGCTACCTGTGAAAAAATATGTGCTTTATAGTTTCTTAATTTCAATTCCCTTAATATCTCACCCAATCCAACACTCCATATTCAACTTCATAGTCCCCTGTAGTTCAGTTGGTAGAGCATGGCGCTTGCAACGCCAGGGTTGTGGGTTCGTTTCCCACGGGGGGACAGTATGAAAATGTATGCACTCACTAACTGTAAGTCGCTCTGGATAAGAGTGTCTGCTAAATGTGTAAAATGTAAATTATATTTTTTCTGTTCTCTGGATGTTATATAGCAAATCATCAGAGTACATCTTTAAATGGTTAATAAAAAAATTAAAAAATCTTATCAACTGCCAATCAATATCAATTATCATTACAAACTGTTCAGTTGTTACAAATTGTTAAATAATAATCAATAAGCATATTGAATTGAACTATTTCAATAGGCTACAGTATTCATATTTCCATATCTATAAATCACTGTATTATATTGGCCAATGTTTCCAGCCATCAGATCATATTGGATTTCACAGCCTGGTCTCATAGACTAGACGTAACATAGTAAATGTAAATCCTTATCGCTTTAACATAACCCCTAAACAATCCTAACACCTAAACCCTAGCCTAGCTAAAGTTAGCCAGCTAGCAAACGTTTGCCACCTAGCCACCTAGCTAGAATTCGTAACAAATCATACCTTTTGCAAATTCGTAACATAGCATATGAAATGAGTGATGGACATCCACAAATTAATACATATCATACAAACCTAACATATCATACTAATTGGAGTGTCTCGAATTTACATACAGAATTATACGAAATGCTCTGAGACCAGGTTGGATTTCAAGGGGTTGTGCAAACCTTTACGCTAAATAAACTTATTTGGTTAATTTAGGTTACTGGTCTATTCAAAGAGAGACCTTACTCTCAATTGGTCGTTGAGTTTACAATTAGCCATTGGTATTAAACCCGAGAACTAGCGCAAAATGATCAAGGCTATTCGCCGCGCAAGTTTAATCCGTGCATTGACTTTCTCTGTGCCAATGAATAGAGCGAGGAAGAGCGCTAACGTTCACCCCGACGCATAGCCTAAAATAAATGCATGCATTATACCGGTATTCTATTCTATTATCTATTCACAATCTTATTTGGAGGATAGAAAGGAGTTAAAAGCTATTTTAAATCGACAAAATAGCCTATAGTTGATTTGTATCGTATATGGTCCACTTTCAAGGACACTGCAGCTTAATAGCCGAGCAACCTAACTGCTACAAACGATCCAGGAGGAATGAGACCGGCATATAACCTACATATAGCACATTATTCAGATGGAGTCAAATACATCGCTTTACCTTTTTACTAGTTCTGCTTGTATAGCCGTTGTATGGGTTGAATCCTGTCCTCGGCGGCACAGAGAGCAGCATTTTTACAGCAGCAGCACTATGTCTGGAGCGAAGAGCGTAGCCAAGGCAGGCAGTCAGCTGACGTCAGACAGGGAAATTCAGTTCAGAATCTGACTGGGATTGTGATTTGACTAGCGCTCTCCCAGCTCCCAGCCACTGGTAGTGTGTAGCATTCTATGTGACTGTGCGTTAAAAAGCGCGCTTTTCTGTGTTCCTCTTTCCATGTAGGCTATTTGTTAAACCTGGAAACCACCAGACAGTGAACATGTATGACTTTGGACATTAAGACTTTTTTATGTTACTATTCCGTATGACAGTCTGGACACACATTTAACCTTTATTGGTATTTTATAAAGGCTTTTTGTAGCTTGTATAGTCTTCAAAAACATTATCCATTATAAATACATATCATTAATCATATCTAACATTGGGACTAATATAATTATATTGGCCATGGCCCAACCTGATGATATTTTGGCAAAGGTGCATGGCATTACACTATCACCATCAAACCTTATGTCATTATCAGGACACCAGCAGGTATATCTCACTGGTCATTCCCAAAGCCAACACCTCCTTTGGCCGCCATTCCTTCCAGTTCTCTGCTGCCAATGACTGGAACGAATTGCAAAAATCTCTGAAGCTGGAGACTCTTATCTCCCTCAATAACTTTAAGCATCAGTTGTCAGAGCACCTTACCGATCACTGCACCTGTACACAGCCCATCTGAAATTAGCCCACCCAACTACCTCATCCCTATATTGTTATTTATTTTGCTCTTTTGCACCCCAGTATCTCTATTTGCACATAATCTCTTGCACATCTAGCATTCCAGTGTTAATACTATTGTAATTATTCTGCACTATAGCCTATTTATTGCCTTACCTCCATAACTTGCTACATTTGCACACACTGTATATATATTTTCTGTTGTATTTTTGACTTTATGTTTTTTTACCCCATATGTAACTCTGTGTTGTTTTTATTGCACTGCTTTGCTTTATCTTGGCCAGGTCGCAGTTGTAAATGAGAACCTGTTCTCAACTGGTTTACCTGGTTAAATAAAGGTTAAATAAAAAATAAAAAAAACACTGATGTCCTGGGATGGCTCATATTATCATGTAATGGCACACGTGTTTTTATAATCAACTGCAAGTTGCTTGGCAACACAGTCCCTTAACACTCTGCCTCCTTGTGTATCTACCCTGATTAGCCCTCAAGTGTGCACAATGTGTGTGTGCAAAAGCTCACTCTCAGCCACATAGTAGTATGAATGTGCATAGAAGAGAATAGAAATGAATAGAATAAAATAGAATCACTTTATTTTTCCCAGAGGGAACTTTTGTTGTGGCATTCATATTAGATAATAAACACATAACAGCATAATTCATTAATTCACATGACAGCTACAACTACACCTGTTCTTTCTGATAGTGAAATACACAGAACAGCCACAAATTACAGTTGAAACCTCCTTTAAAGGCCAATTTAGACTAGGCAGCACACAGAAATAAACTCTCATCTCCTTCATATACAGTATATAATGCACTTGGGATTTCACCCAGATGTCATCATAGTGTCTAGTCAGACAGAGTAGAAGCAGAGTGGAATGATAATATGTTTCTGTCTTGAGCCAGGATAGTGTGACTAAAGTGACTTATACGAAATTATGAAATGTTATTGTTGGCTGGGTGCAAGTGCCCTGTATTTAAATCCAAGTTATCATTTTGAGAGTATATTGTTTCATTTTCATGGGGGCAGGTAGGCTGTAACAGTTATAAGTAGGCTACAATCTATGTAGCCTACCACTATTGTTATTACCATAGACAATATAACAATGATCCATATCTAACGCTATTACAATAAGTTGTACCATATAATTGCGATACAGTCAGGAGACAATACAAACAACAAATCAAAATCATTTCTTTCATTTTTTATTTAAAAAATATGTTTTAAGCCATCCTGATTGGGAGGGCCAGTGTTCAATCTGGCAGGGCCTATGCCCGGCCCTGCTATGGCTTCGCCTCTGTCCAGCAATGTTGATGTTCAGTCCTGGCAAGAAGGGGTGTGTTTCCCTCTGCTCAAGGACAGTTTGTAGAGTGACTCAGTCAGTATGCGTCAGAGCCAGCACAAAGCCCACAGCCCACACTGGGATTGCATCCCAAATGGCACTCTATTCCCTTTATAGTGCACTACTTTTGACCAGGGCCCTATGGGGGGCTCTGGTCAAAAGTAGTGTAATATGTAAAGAATAGGGTTCCATTTGGGAGGCAGCCTGGGACTTCAGCTTAACTCTCCTCATCACAAGTAACGGGAAATAAGTACTCAGGAAAGGGGCCTAGGTGACTGAGGTCGGGGTGAATGGAAATGGTTAGTACTTATTTCCCGTTACTTGTGATGAGGAGACGCAGACTGATTCCACAGATATGCTTTTCAGTCTTTGGGCAAAACTCTGTTGTGTTGTGCAATGGTGCACTTTTTACATTCACCCCTCGATATACCATTTTCGCTATGCCAAAAACACTGATAATTCCATTCCATTCAGCCTTGTACAAACAGTTTTTTCCCTTTCCTTTAAAAAAAGAAAAAGATTACAGGTAATCTAGGAATTCAGTGAAAGCGTCAGGGTGAACTTTGAGCCTCACAGGAGAGAGGGTTGTTCCGTCAATGAGGGTTTGAGGGAGGAAGCGAGGAAAGGGGGGTGAATGTAGGAAGGGGGTGAGTGTAGGGAGGAAAAAGAGGGTGATTGTAATAGAAAGGAGGTGGGGGAATGCCAGTGTAGGGGGAGGGAAGGGAAAGGTAGATGAGTCTAGGGGGAAGGGAGACATGGAGGAGAGGGGCAGAGGGGGAGGGGTGTAGGGGTAGAGGGGGTAAGTTTAGGGGGAAGGGACAAGTCTACATTCCTCAGGTCAGCTTTGCCTGCTAAGTAATTACCTATCTGTGATAACATGCAGATACTCCCTTTACCAGGCTAGATACCCTGGAAGGTAACACACACACACCCTAAACTAGGCTATAGCTACAGTACCTGAAAGGCAGCCTAGGGGAAGCAGCTCAGGAGATTACATACACTGAACAAAAATATAAATGCAACACGTAAAGAGTTGGTTCCATGTTTCATGAGCTGAAATAAAAGATCCCCGAAATTTTCCATATGCACAAAAAGCTTATTTCTCTCAAATGTTGTCCACACATTTGTTTACATCCCTGTTAGTGAGCATTTTAGCCTTTGTCAAGATAATCCATCCACCGGACAGGTGTGGCATATCAAGAAGCTGATTAAACAGCATGATCATTACACAGGTGCACCTTGTGCTGGGGACAATAAAAGGTCACTCCAAATGTGCAGTTTTGTCACACAACAAAATGCCACAGATTACAAAAGTTTTGCGGGAGCGTTCAATTGTCATGATGACTGCAGGAATGTCCACCAGAGCTGTTGTCAGATAATTCAATACAACTGCCGCCCCAATCATCATCACAATTGTCTCGTCTTGTCAATCACACACACCTGGTTCCTATCCCCTAATTAGACTGTGTATAAGTGTTCCCTCTGCCCCTTTGTCCTTGTGGGTGATTGTTAATTGTGAGAGTAATGTAGCTCGGTGGAGCTACTCATAACATTGTGTTGCCAGGGTAGATTTTCCCCCTGTGCCTATGTATTATTGGATTCCGTTACAGTGTAATTGCCAGGGATGTTTGTTTCCCCTGTGCCTGTTTAGTTGATCGCTATTGGAGCGCATTTGTGTGTCAACGAAGGAATAAACTCTGTATTCGGTGATTACCCTCCTGCGCCTGACTCCTTTCACCACATTCACCACAGTGCAGGTGAGGTTGGAAGCCCAACAGGGCAGATATAGAAACCACACCACAAAAAATATAAGTACACATTTTTTTGTTAAATCTGTTAAACAAGCACACTAATTAAAATGTGTACATGATATACACAGTACACAAGAAAAAAACATGTTGATTTCACTATTACTGAAACAGGACCCAGGTGGTAAATATAAAGATCCAGTCCATAAAAAAAATTGGAGGCCCTTTACACCTCAGTGTTGTGACGCAAAAATTCTAGCAAAATGCATAACGCATAGAATTAAAAAGGTATTGTCGAATATACGACAAGTACTGGAAACAATAGAACACTATGAAAAATCTGGGAAACCAGGCCTGGTATTCATAGCTGACTTTGAAAAGGCTTTTGATAAAGTACGACGGGAATTTATATATAAATGCCTGGAATATTTCAATTTTGGAGAATCTCTTATACAATGGGTTAAAGTTATGTATAGTAACCCTACGTGTAAAATAGTAAATAATGGCTACTTCTCAGAAAGTATTAAACTGTCAAGAGGAGTAAAACAAGGTTGTCCACTATCAGCATAATCTCTTTATTATGGCCATAGAAATGTTAGCTATTAAAATCAGATCCAACAACAATATCAAGGGGCTTGAAATCCAGGGCTTAAAAAAAAGGTGTCATTGTACGCTGATGATTCATGTTTTCTTTTAAATCCACAATTTGAATCCCTCCATAGCCTCATTGAGGATCTAGATTATTTTTCTAACCTCTCTGGATTACAACCAATTATGATACTATATTACGTATTGGATCACTAAAAAATACAACTTTTACATTACCGTGTAATTTACCAATAAAATGGTTTGACGATGAAGTGAACATACTCATATCCCGAAAGAACGAAAGGATCTCACTACAATACATTTTTATAGAAAGTTAGCAAAAATAGATTAAAACCAAGCCATGAGGTCGAAGGAATTGTCCGTAGAGCTCCAAGACAGGATCGTGTCGAGGCACATATCTGGGGAAGGGTACCAAAAAATGTCTGCAGCATTGAAGGTCCCCAAGAACACAGTGGCCTCCATCATTCTTAAATGGAAGAAGTTTGGAACCACCAAGACTCTTCCTAGAGCTGACCGTCCGGCCAAACTGAGCAATCGGGGGAGAAGGGCCTTGGTTAGGGAGGTGACCAAGAACCCGATGGTCATGCTGACAGAGCTCCAGAGTTCCTCTGTGGAGATAGGGAGAACCTTCCAGAAGGACAACCATCTCTGCAGCACTCCACCAATCAGGCCTTTTTGGTACAGTGGCCAGACAGAAGCCACTCCTCAGTAAAAGGGACATGACAGCCCACTTGGAGTTTGCCAAAAGGCACCTAAAGGACTCTCAGACCATGAGAAACAAGATTATCTGGTCTGGCGAAAACCAAGATTGATCCCTTTGGCCTGAATGCCAAGCGTCACGTCTGGAGTAAACCTGGCACCATCCCTACGGTGAAGCACGGTGTTGGCAGCATCATGCTGTGGGGATGTTTGTCAGCAGCAGGGACTGGGAGACTAGTCAGGATAGAGGGAAAGATGAACAGAGAAAAGTACAGAGAGATCGTTGATGAAAACCTGCTCCGGAGCGCTCAGGACCTCAGACTGGTGCGAAGGTTCACCTTCCAACAGGACAACGACCCTGAGCACACATTCAAGACAACGCAGGAGTGGCTTTGGGCAATCTCTGAATGTCCTTGAGTGGCCCAGCCAGAGCCCGGACTTGAACCCGATCGAACATCTCTGGAGAGACCTGAAAATATATGTGCAGCGACGCTCCCCGTCCAACCTGACAGAGCTTGAAAGGATCTGCAGAGAAGAATGGGAGAAACTCCCCAAATACAGGTGTGCCAAGCTTGTAGCGTCGTACCCAAGAAGACTCGAGGCTGTAATCGCTGTCAAAGGTGCTTCAAGAAAGTACTGAGTAAAGGGTCTGAATACTTATGTAAATGAAATATTTCAGTTTTTTACTGAAATACTTTCCGAATGCACTGTATATGGGGGATACAACCATCCCAGCTCTGCAGATTTTGCTGCGAAGAGACAGAATCATTAGATCATTTGTTTTGGTACTGTCCATGTGTAGCTTGTTTTTGGTCGCAGGTTTAGGAATGGCTGAAGAATTGAAAACATTTACCTGGAGTTAACTCTGCATATAGCACTGCTGGGTGATCTGAAAAGTCATAATCAATTATATATTTATACTCTCAGCAAAAATGTTTATCTTTAATTTACAATCTGTAGAAACTATGAGAATAGAAAGGTTCAGAACTTTTGTGAAATATCACAGCACAGTTGAAAAATATATGGCAAATAGAAATCAAAACTGGATGGTCTTCAGAGATAGATGGAAGGGGTTGAGACTAGCTGAATGATGGGACTAAAAACAAACAAAAGATAACTAATGTAAAATATCCAGTGTCCGTAAAATATATACAGTATGTATAAGCTGGAAGTAGAAGCTTAAGTGTTGTTGTCCATTAGTTTTCTCCAATTAGGGGAGGGGTGGTAGGGTTAGGAGAAACTAATAAAGAAAAATATATATATAAAATAATATATACTGTATACTGTATTGATAAAAAAATATATATGGGGGATTGGAAATGATGCAGACAATTACATTGATAGACGCCACAATCTATTTCCAATATTAAAGCTGATCCACCCCCTAAAACAAAAATGGGATGATGGCTCTGGTGGCCATAGGAGGGCAGGAGTCAGTGCCCTTTGGATTAAGCATCGGTGTGAGGCAGGGGTGTGAGCTGGCACATGTACTCTTTAACATCTTCCTCCTATGTGTCACCTAGCTTCTCCACAAGGAGCTTGAGGACAACAGTGGTGTTGCGGTGGACTTCAGGTTGGATGGAAACCTATTCAACATCAGGAGGCTCCAAGGAACCACCAAGGTTTTGACGGAGCGGGTTCTTCAGCTGCAGTATGCAGATGACTGTGCTCTTGTGGCCCACACTCCGGAAGACCTTCAGTCCATCCTTGTAGCGGCTGTGAGGGTCTATAGTAGGATGGGACTGTCTATCAATACCACCAAGACAGAGGTGGTCTGCCAATGGAGATCCAGCCCTCCACCCACCATGCCTGTCTTCACCATTGAACACAAATCACTGGCAATAGTCCCATCCTTCAAATACCTGGGCAGCATCCTCTCGGAGGACTGCAGCATCGACTTCGAAATTCAAAATAGGATCAAGCAAGCATCAGCTGCCTTCGGGAAACTCGCAGGGTCTTCCAAAACAGGGATCTCCACCTCCACACCAAAGTCGCCGTCTATCAAGCTGTCTGCATCACCACACTTCTTTACAGCAGTGAAGCCTGGGTCACTTACAGCCACCACAACAAGCAGCTAGAGCGATTCCACATAGGATGCCTGCAGCGCATCCTGGGAATCACCTGGAGCGACTGTGTGCCCCATACAGAAATACTTGCTAAGACCAACTGCAAGAGTATGGAGGCTATGGTCACCCAACACCAACTAAGCTGGCTTGGGCATGTCGTTACGATGTCTAAGGAACGCTTGCCGCGGAAGATCCTGTATAGCCAGCTACATCTTGGCTGGCGGTCTGCAGGGGGGCAGATGAAGCGCTACAAGGACCAGTTGAAAACGTTGCTGAAGAAGTGCAACATCAAACCCACAGACCTTGAGGATGCTGCTGCCGACCGTTCCACCTGGCGGCAGCTCTGCCAGAGCGGTGTACAGAGGTGGGAGGAGGATTGGAGCACAGACTGCATGTGCCCCACCTGCAATAAAGTTTGTGGATCTCGGATTGGACTCTACAGTCACCAAAGAATTCACCATTAACTCAGAAGTGGAAGTCATCATCGGATACGATGGACTACCGAAGAGAGTGTAAATGAGTGTAACAACTAGCCTACATGGAGAGGACTACTGGGTAGTTTGGTTAATCAGGCTGACCCCTAGTCTACGCTTGAAGTTATTGAGGGATGATGATGTTTTGGCAATGCGAAGATAGGAATTCCAGAGTATGGAACCTCTGTCTCTGCTAGAGAATTTACAATGCGAGATGCGGCAGTGGGAAGGGTGAAGGTTATCGCAGTGTCTTGTGTTGTATGCATGGATTTGGGAATTAACCTGGAAGAATCCATTGAAGGGTTTAGGTAGGCTGCCTGGGAGCTGGAGGTATGTACATTTGTAGATTAAAGTGCATAATTGGAGTATATTAATGTTGTAGATAGACAATATAATGAGTTTCTTAAACAGATGGTCAGATGGAGCCATGTAGTTAGAGGAGGTGGCTAGTCTTGCAAATGTATTTTGTGTGATGAGTAATTTATGTAGATAGGAAGCATATGTACTAGCCCAGATAATATTGCAATAAATGAGATACAATGCATTCAGAAAGTATTCAGACCCCTTGACTTTTTCCACGTTGTTACGTTACAGCCTTATTCTAAATTTGATTAAATTGTTTCCCCCCCCCTCATCAATCTACACACAATACCCCATAATGACAAAGCAAAAACAGGTTTTTAGAAAATTTTGCAAATTCATAAAAATAAAAAACGGAAATATCACATTTACATAAGTATTTAGACTCTTTACTCAGTACTTTGCTGAAGCACCTTTGGCAGCGATTACAGCCTCGAGTCTTCTTGGGTATGACACTACAAGCCTGGCACACCTGTATTGGGGAGTTTCTCCCATTCTTCTCTGCAGATCCTCTCAAGCTCTGTCAGGTTGGATGGAGAGCTTCGCTTCACAGCTATTTTCAGGTCTCTCCAGAGATGTTCGATCGGGTTCAAGTCCGGGCTCTGGCTGGGCCACTCAAGGACATTCAGAGACTTGTACCAAAGCCACTCCTGCGTTGTCTTGACTGTGTGCTTAGGGTCATTGTCCTGTTCAAAGGTGAACCTTCGCCCAGTCTGAGGTCCTGTGCGCTCTGGAGCAGATTTTCATCAAGGATCTCTCTGTACTTTGCTCTGTTCATCTTTCCCTCGATCCTGACTAGTCTCCCAGTCCCTGCTTTTGAAAAACATCCCCACAGCATGATGTTGCCACCATCATGCTTCACCGTAGGGATGGTTCCAGGTTTCCTCCAGACGTGATGCTTGGCATTCAGGCCAAAGAGAACAATCTTGGTTTCATCAGACCAGAGAATCTTGTTTCTCATGGTCTGAGAGTCCTTTAGGTGCCTTTTGGCAAACTCCAAGCGGGCTATCATGTGCCTTTTACTGAGGAGTGGCTTCCGTCTGGCTACTCTACCATAAAGGCCTGATTGGTGGAGTGCTGCAGAGATGGTTGTCCTTCTGGATGGTTCTCCTATCTCCACAGAGGAACCCTTGAGCTCTGTCAGAGTGACCAACGGGTTCTTGGTCACCTCCCTGACCAAGGCCCTTCTCCCCCGATTGCCCAGTTTGGCCGGGCGGCCAGCTCTAGGAAGAGTCTTGGTGGTTCCAAACTTCTTCCATTTTATAATGATGGAGGCCACTGTGTTCTTGGGGACCTTCAATGCTGCAGACATTTTTTGGTACCCTTCCCCAGATCTGTGCCTCGACACAATCCTGGCTCGTAGCTCTACGGACAATTCCTTCGACCTCATTGTTGGGTTTTTGCTCTGACATGCACTGTCAACTGAGGGACCTTATATAGACAGGTGTGTGCCTTTCCAAATCATGTCCAATCAATTGAATTTACCACAGGTGGACTCCAATCAAGTTGTAGAAACATCTCAAGGATGATCAATGGAAACAGGATGCACCTGAGCTCAATTTCGAGTCTCATAGCAAAGGGTCAGAATACTTATGTAAATAAGGTATTCCTGTTTTTTTTGTTTTTGTTTTTTTCAAACATTTCTAAAAACCTGTATTCGCTTTGTCATTGTCGGGTATTGTGTGTAGACTGATTTAATTTAATCCATTTTAGAATAAGGCTGTAGCGTAACAAAATGTGGAAAAAGTCAACGGGTCTGAATACTTTCCGAATCCACAGTTTGGGCCAATGAAGCTGTAGTATAGTGTTAGGAAGCAAGCCTGATGAACCAAACCACTAATCTTTCTGATAATACCAACGGACTTCAGACAGATGTACACACTCACACAGATAGGCACAAAATCTCTTGAGAAGTCATTCTTCTTAAAGACAGGCTTATTGAAAAGGCACACATAACTGTCTCCAATTCATTCAAGGCCAAGGCTTTGTGTACAGGCACGTACATGTTCTTGTATTTTTCCTTGCAAACATACTGTAGATGGAGCACAGCATACTAGCGGAAGCTGGACATGATTTATTTTATGCAACAACAATCCATCTTTTTCCAAGGCTGAGGGCTGATGCACAGCTCCAGTAGTGGGACACTATTCAGCTCCTGGTATAATGGGGTTTTTACACCAGTGCGAATGTGCACCTCAATCGCTGTGTGACACCAACCTCCGTCAATCCCATACTGTCAGCATATGGGTCCATGGATTCACATTTAAATTAGATGGCACGTTAGCTTATCTTAGTCCACCTCCTCAGCTCTCGAAGACAGGTTTTTGTGTTGTCTTTCATCTGTTAAATTAGCCCATATATCAGCAGGTAGACCTAACTCTCTTGTCATTTCACCTGGCCTGGGTTGTGTAGGGGTTGTCGGAGGGTTCTCTGTCTGTGATACTGAGGGAAGCAGGTTCTTTCTGTCTGGGAAAATGACCCTCCTCACCTCCTCCTCCACTACTTTTCCCTCTTTACTCCCCCATTAGACTCCCTCCCCCCTCCACTCATTCCCCCTGGCCTAGTCTTCCCCTCTACTCCTTCTCTTCCATTCCACCCCTAGACTCTCTCCTCTCATCCCTGTCTCCTCTCCTTGGCTGGGTCAGTTAAACAGGGGGATTGACTGTGTGCTGCTGCAGATGTGCAGTCTGGAGAGAGGCCAGATTGCCTTGCTTCTTGCCTGGGAGAACATGTGGTCAGGCACTGTTTACCTTGGCACTCTCTCAGACTGTCTCCCACACATGCTGTGTCCATGCCAGTTTCACAATGCCAGCACTGACTGAACACCTTGCCTTCTTCTAGGAGGATTATTAGGTTGAACTGTTACAAATTATCATTGTTGATTAATTGCATTAACAGAACAAATTCCGACTAAATATGATCCTATGTCTCTAAAAGGAATTCAAGTATATGCTAAACTAAGTATAAAAGCCAGTCAGATATGTTGCTTTGTTATGAGGTTGATTCACTTCAGCTTCCCCAAGCTTGTTTATTCTCAGCTAAGGGCCGAGGAGTGATTGTCTGGACATTCTGCTGGGGTCTAGGGATACCCAGACACTTTTTCACAGATTCTTCACATACCTCACATTCTACCATTCTGTGCTTCTGTCTCTTAATAAACATCGATGGCAGGGGTCAGCAACAGGTGGCCCGCGGGCCAAAACCGACCCTTGAGTAATTTTTTTTGCCCCACCAAACGTAAAAACTAAATACAAAAATCACCAGGAATTCAGCAAAAAAGTTGCTTCATTTAGGAAACCAAGTATTCCCACAAATATTAGTTTTTTTTTTTTTTTTTTACATATGTGATCGTGTCTCAATGTAATCAAAGAATGGAATGATTGTCATTTTCAAATACAATGTCTTTTTGGGCTTAGTTGTGGTCAATTTGCAGTGTATAAATTATTATAATTATGTTCTGGCCCTCCAACCATCCGCTCCGACAAAAATCGCCCTGCGGCTGAATCTAGTTGCCTACCACTGATCTATGTGTTGGAACACTTCTGCACCAAACACTGTAAACATCCACACCCTGCAGCATTTGTTGGTGAGAGTAAGCTGAAATGTAACATTTGAAAGCTGCAGCCATTTACTTCTATAAAATGTTTATCCCACTTTTTAAATGAATCTCTAAGTTATTGGTATATTATTACAATGATTAAATGGCATTTGTGCTCTTATATGAAATAACAAAAGTAAACGTATTAAAGACCTGTAAATATGTGTTGATAATCATTTGCCATCAATAATCATTTATCCTAAATATTTTGATGTTTGATATCCATTGAAGGTCTAAATCTATACTTTAGTGAGTGTTCGTTCCATTTACACCATGTGACGTGTTCAGTGCCCTCTGCAGGTCTGGGAGGGTTACTACATAAGAAGAGTTTCTGCTGTCTAGAATATGATGGTGTTTTCACACTAAAATCAACTGTCCATAAGCTCTCTATCTAGAATCCACCAGAAGGCATATCATCACAATATAATTACTTTTTTGTGTCAATAAGTTCTTTGAGATAGTTTGCTGATATTGTAGTTTGATTATGGTAACAAACCAGGTCAACCCCTGTGCACAGAAGTCATCAGTAGAGGCAGGCAAAATATGTGTTTGTGATCTGATGGTCTGTCCCTTGTCTGCCTGACTTGGTTTTACATACAGTACATGTATTCTTAACTGCCCTAGGTATCACTGTTAAGGTAAATACAGTACTGTTATAGTCTCAATATGATAGACTTAGTAAGACTGGAAAGGGATACAGTGAACCCAGACATAGAGATTCCCTCCAAATCCCTCCGCCTAACAGTAGGAGCCAGCCTTATATTGTCTCCCTTCCAAATGGCTCCCTATTCCCTATATAGTACACTACTTTTGACAAAACTAGTGCCCTATATAGGGAATAGGGTGCCATTTGGGACATAGACATTCTCTCAGAGGGGGATCTAGACAGGATCTCTGGATTCTGACTTCCCCTCTCGCTCCAGGCCTTGGAAACCACGGCAAATCCCTCTATGCTTTCTAAGTCCATGATAATGGATTATGAATGGGCCGAAGTTTGCTACATCTACATGTTTAGACACCGTCTACGTGCTTTAGATTCAAATCCACTGCCTTCCTAGAATTTCAAAGGCTGTTTTGAGTGACTGGGATAGTCATACTCATTATATAGTATATTTTGTAGGAGGTTAGAGCAGTTATCATTTTCTTTTCAACTCAGTCACTCAGATTCTTAGAGTATCAGTCTTCAAACTAGACTGAGAGAGAGCCTGGAAGAGAGACTGAAAGAGAGAGATAGAGTTCAGTAATGACCACAGGCACAGTATAGAGGGCCCCACTAAATCCCACAATCTATTTCTGTTATGGCTAGTTATTTTAGCCAGCCTCAGATCTCTTACTCTCTCTCTGAGGGGGACATAGACAGTCTCATTGTCTCACTACACCAGATGGAAACCAACTTCCTCTACTGCCTTAAGCCTTGTCTGCTTCCCAACTGCCATCCTATTCCCTATGTAGTGCATTGCTTTTGACCAGGGCCCATAGGGAGTGCACTATATAGGGAATAGATTGTTATTTCAAATCAAATCAAAGTTTATTGGTCGCATACACAGTTATCAGATGTTATAGCGAATCTGCAGCGAAATGCTTGTATTATTAGCTCCTAACAGTGTAGCAAAAATGTACACAAACAATATTAATAATAATAAAAACAAGAAATCACGAATGTCAGAACGAATCCAGTTGACAATCCATAAAACACATTCAAACGCAATCTATGCATATATACACCAAAATATACAAAGTATGTGGACACCCCTTCAAATTAGTGGATTCGGCTATTTCAGCCACACCGTTGCTGACAGGTGTATAAAATAGAGCACATAGCCATGCAATCTCCATAGTTAAACATTGGCAGTAGAAAGGCCCGTACTGAAGAGCTCAGTGACTTTCAACGTGGCACCGTCATAGGATGCCACCTTTCCAACAAGTCAGTTCGTCAAATTTCTGCCCTGCTAGAGCTGCCCCAGTCAACTGTAAGTGCTGTTATTGTGAAGTGGAAATGTCTAGGAGCAACAACGGCTCAGCCACAAAGTGGTAGGCCACAGAAGCTTACAGAACGGGACCGCTGAGTGCTGAAGCGCGTAAAAATTGTCTCTCCTCGGTTGCAACACTCACTACCAAGTTCCAAACTGCCTCTGGAAGCAACGTCAGCACAATAATTGTTCGTCGGGAGCTTCATGAAATGGGTTTCCATGGCCGAGCAGCCGCACACAAGCCTAAGATCACCATGCTCAATGCCAAGCGTCGGCTGGAGTGGTGTAAAGCTTGCCGCCATTGGACTCTGGAGCAGTGGAAACGCGTTTTCTGGAATGATGAATCACGCTTCACCATCTGGAAGTCCGACGGACAAATCTGGGTTTGGCGGATGCCAGGAGAACGCTACCTGCCCAATACATAGTGCCAACTGTAAAGTTTGGTGGAGGAGGAAAAATGGTCTGGGGCTGTTTTTCAAGGTTAGGGCTAGGCCCCTTAGTTCCAGTGAAGGGAAATCTTAATGCTATAGCATACAATGACATTCTAGACTATTCTGTGCTTCCAACTTTGTGGCAACAATTTGGGGAAGGCCCTTTCCTGTTTCAGCATGACAATGACCCCGTGCACAAAGCGAGATCGGTGTGGAAGAACTTGACTGGCCTGCACAGAGCCCTGACCTCAACCCCATCGAACACCTTTGGGATGAATTGGAACGCCGACTATGAGCCAGGCCTAATCGCCCAACATCAGTGCCCGACCTCACTAATGCTCTTGTGGCTGAATGGAAGCAAGTCCCCCGCAGCAATGTTCCAACATGAGTGGAAAGCCTTCCCAGAAGAGTGGCAAAGGGGGGACCAACTCCATATTAATGCCCATGATTTTGGGATGAGATGTTTGACGAGCAGGTGTCCACATACCTTTGGTCATGTAGTGTATACTTAGAATGATATGTACAGCAGTAGATATACTGTATTACGGTGAGCTACAGTGAGTATTGAGACAGTGACACATTTTTTGTTATTTTGTCTCTGTACTCCAGCACTATGGATTTGAAATGATACAATGACTGTGAGGTTAAAGTGCAGACTGTCCACTTTATTTTGAGGGTATTCTCATCCATATTGGGTGAACCGTCTCGAAATTACAGCACTTTTTGTACATACAGTTGAAGTCGGAAGTTTACAGACACCTTAGCCAAATACATTTAAACTCAGTTTTTCACAATTCCTGACATTCTAGTAAAAATTCCCTGTCTTAGGTCAGTTAGGATCACCACTTTATTGGAAGAATGTGAAATTTCAGAATAATAGTAGAGAGAATGATTTATTTCAGCTTTTATTTCTTTCATCACATTCCCAGTGGGTCAGAAGTTAACATACACTCAATTAGTATTTGGTAGCATTGCCTTTAAATTGTTGAACTTGGGTCAAACATTTCGGGTAGCCTTCCATAAGCTTCCCACAATAAGTTGGGTGAATTTTGGTCCATTCTTCCTGACAGAGCTGGTGTAACTGAGTCAGGTTTGTAGGCCTCCTTGCTCGCACACGCTTTTTCAGTTCTGCCCACACATTTTCTATAGGATTGAGGTCAGGGCTTTGTGATGGCCACTCCAATACCTTGACTTTGTTGTCCTTAAGCCATTTTTCCACAATTTTGGAAGTATGCTTGGGGTCATTGTCTATTTGGAAGACCCATTTGCGACCAAGCTTTAACTTCCTGACTGATGTCTTGAGATGTTGCTTCAATATATCCACATAATTTTCCTTCCTCATGATGCCATCTATTTTGTGAAGTGCACCAGTCCCTCCTGCAGGAAAGCACCCCCACAGCATGATGCTGCCACCCCCGTGCTTCACAGTTGGGATGGTGTTCTTCGGCTTGCAAGCATACCCCTTTTTCCTCCAAATATATCGATGGTCATTATGGCCAAACAGTTCTATTTTTGTTTCATCAGACCAGAGGACATTTCTCCAAAAAGTAAGATCTTTGTCCCCATGTGCAGTTGCAAACCATAGTCTGGCTTTTTTATGGCGGTTTTGGAGCAATGGCTTCTTCCTTGCTGAACGGCCTTTCAGGTTATGTCGATATAGGACTTGTTTTACTATGGCTATAGATACTTTTGTACCTGTTTCCTCCAGCATCTTCACAAGATCCTTTGCTGTTGTTCTGGGATTGATTTGCACTTTTCGCACCAAAATACGTTAATCTCTAGGAGACAGAACGC